GAACGCAAGAAGGAGAACATCATAAACGACGAAACGCGACGAAATGAAATGGCCTTCGACCACACGCAAGTTTGTTAGTTCGAGCTCCGAGATATCATTTCGACCTGAAAACCGGAAAATAATTAATGGATAAAAAGCAACGAGCAACGAGCAAAAAACACGGCGGACAGTGACAAATACGAATTGAGTCTCTCAAGAGGCGCAGAGAGAAAATCGGTGATCAAAGTAATTATAATGTTGTTGATAAAACGTTTTTTGGTCACCGAAGAGAATATTGATTAACTGCTCCATTGTAGTCTTGTTTACGCAAGACTGACAAAATTGATGTCATTTTCCCAATGAAACTCGGTAGATCAAAAAATCTCGCAAGCTGTGTTCCATGAAACACAAGAAATATAAAGAAAATTGATTATCTATTTTTTTTATTTTTTTTTTGAAATTGTAATTTTGTACATTTTTGCATTTGAAAAATTTGTATTCATTTTTTGCATTGCCTGAACCGACCGATATGTAAAAAACCAATTTTTTATTTGGAATGATTTGGGGGGGGGGTCGATTTACTACAGCGAGACGGAACCATTAAAAAATTCAACTCGAACAAGATATCGATAAAATGAAATGAGTACAACATATAAACGAGAGATCTCCTACAAACTACAGCGAGTTTTTAATGAATTTATAATATACATAATTTCATTCGAGTTTTTGAAACGTTTTCAACATCGTGTGAGCGAATTTATTAAAGGAAAACCATTCAATTTACATCACAAGTGTGCACGCAATCACTCAAAAAGACGTTTCCCCAGTGATTTTAGTGATTTCACCCATTGCGCAGAAGGCGTTCAGTAAGACGCCCATTAAGTATCTACCGTGGATGTAAAATTGTGCGTAAGAGTTAAAATCTAGACGTAGAAACTAGGGCAAAAAATATGCACTTTCACTAAAAATAATTACAGTGATCGAAGCATATTTCCCCGGACGGATCGACTAAGTGACTAAGAAGTGAAGTGACTTCTTCTGTACCGAGCCTCTCCGTGGCGAAGAAGATCAACCACACCACCTTACAACTCTAGCTAGTAGATTTGGTCACTACTAGTAGGTGTTCTTGTGGGCTAAGAGGTACACCGCCTCCCGCAGGTCGGAGGTTTCGTCCACAACTCTCCTCCCTAAAGGCTCAACTTTAGCACAGCAAGCTACTGTTGGGTATCCCAGGGGCAACCACAAAAGCTACAAACAGCCTTCAAAACTGCCTTAGTTCTCCGCACTCGGCCTCCTCATCAGTTACGGTAGATGCTGATGAAAGTCGAGAAAGGCGATCTAATCTCGGAGTCAGCACCGTCTACCTTCAACCAATCCAGGAACACCGGAAACCCCACCAAACCCGAAAAATCAACGCCCGAATCGCAACATTCAACTGCAGATCATTATCCAACGGAACACGACTCGAAGAGCTGCTAAACGAGACGCAAAGAATCGAGTACGACATCGTTGGCCTCGCAGAGACGAAAAGAGCATCAGAATCCCACGAAACACACATCGACGGCACCGGAGTATTTCTCGGATCCAGAAATGCTTCCTCAACATCTGGCGGTGTTGGATTCATTGTCCACCGACGTCTTATGAAAAGTCTAAAAGAAGTCGTATTTGTCAACGAAAGGATCGGTTATCTCAAGTTCATGGTCAACAAACGCTTCGATTGCACCGTTTTCCAAGTCTACGCTCCGATTGCTGATACTGATTACGAAGAACTAGCGGATTTCTATGAAAACCTCGAAGATCTCTACCACAGCAGTAGAAGCAAGTTCAAGTTGATAATCGGAGACTTCAACGCAAGAATTGGAGAACGAAAAGCTCAAGAAAAATACATTGGCACCAATTCGATGGAACCACGGAACGAATCAGGAGAACTGCTAGCCACATTTTGCGAATCAAACAGAATATGGCACACAAATTCGATGTTTCAAAAGCCTCCGAACAAACGCTGGACCCACGTGAGCCCCAATGGAAACCATAAGCACGAAATCGACCACATTTTATCAAATGGAAAATTCGTAACCGATGTGAACGTGCTTCCCTCTTTCACCACGGGAAGTGACCATCGCCTGCTTCGCTGCAATATCCATTTCAACATCAAGAAAACCAAGTCAGCTGAAATCAGGAAGAGAATGCCACCAAGAAAATGCCTTGATTCCAAAATTGCTGCTCAAATCACTACCGGAGCTCACCTTCCCACCACCCCAAATATCGACGAAGACTACGAACGTCTGATATGCTATCTTCAAGGTCTTCAAGAACAAGCCCTCATCAAGCCTGCAAATCACGCCACAAGGAGAATCTCCGAAAACACGAAGAAACTGCTCGCCAAACGTCGCTTCATGAGCAGAGACGATCCCACATTCAAATTGCTATCGGAACAATGCCGAACAAACTTGAGGAAGGACCACGATGAATACGCCAAAACCCGACTCCTTTTCGCGGCCGAAAAAAGAATGAGTTTGAAAAAAGTCGCTCGCGACATAAATCAGTTCAAATCAACAATTCCATGCCTCAAGAGCAGCACCACTGGAGCAAGGATAACATCAAGAACAGGTATCGAAGAAGAAATTGGAGCCTTCTACAGCAGTTTGTTCGCTAGCCACATGCTCCCGCCACATCCTACCGCTCCACCCGACACGTCTCAAACACCATCTTTTCTCCTTGCCGAAGTAAAGCACTCGCTCAAATCTTTTGCAAACGGAAAAGCAGCCGGAAGCGACAAGATCTCGGCCGACTTTTTGAAACACTGTGACGACTCAATTCTTGAACTGATCGCAAATAGATTCAGCTGGTACCTCAAATCAACATCCATCCCTAATGCTTGGAAAACATCAAAAACCAGCCTGATTCACAAAAAAGGAGATAAAGAAGATCTTGAAAACTATCGCCCCATAACATTGTTATCAGTTTTATACAAGCTCTTCACAAAATGCCTCCTGGCGAGAATGCGAAACCAACTTGAAGAAGCCCAACCCGTCGAACAAGCAGGTTTCCGCCGTTCCTTCTCTACAATGGACCACATTGGCACAGTTCAAAAAGTACTCGAAATTGCTCGTGAACATAACATGCCTATTGCTCTTGTCTTCATAGATTTCCACAAAGCGTTCGACAGCGTCGAACCTAGAGCAGTATGGGAAAGTCTGCGCCAACAAGGAACTGATGAAAGCTACGTCAAAATCCTCGAAGCTTGCTACACCGATTGCTCCACAACCTTCCGACCCTTCTACAACAACATAGACGTTCCGATCACACGAGGTGTTAGACAAGGAGATCCCATCTCTCCGAATCTATTCTCCGCTTGCCTGGAAGGAATATTTCGACAGCTAGACTGGTCGAATTTTGGAGTCTCGATTGATGGCAAGAAGTTAAATCATCTACGATTTGCCGACGACATCGTACTCATCAGCCACACACCTCAAGAAGCCACGGAAATGCTAGAAAATCTGGTCGATGCGAGCAAAATAGTTGGTTTGAAAGTCAACGAAAGGAAGACCAAATCTATGAGAACATCTCTTTGCGACCCGTTGCCGATTACTATTCACGGATACCCAATCGAAGATGTAGAAGAATATGTTTATCTAGGCCGCCAACTCAACCCTCGGAATGAACTCCTCCCCGAGCTTCATCGAAGACGAAGAGCCGCATGGGCGGCGTTCAACAACATCAGATCGACCACCGACCACATCACATGCGCTAAAACTCGAGCCCAACTATTCGACAGCCACGTTCTCCCCTCGCTTTGCTATGGAGCTGAACAATGGACCCTCACGAAAGCTTTGGCAAATCGCCTTCGTGTAACGCATGCCTCATTAGAAAGAAAGTTGGTTGGAATCACCCTTCTGGAACAACGAGAAAGAGGATATCATGGAACGGACATCCGCCAACTATCAAAAGTGAAAGATCCAATCAAACACCTAGTGGAATCAAAACTGAGATGGGCCGGACATGTAGCTCGAAGAACAGATGGAAGATGGACAACGTCGACTATGGAATGGTATCCCAGAGACTGGAAACGACCGGTAGGAAGACCACCGATGAGATGGAACGACTCGCTGAGAAAGAACCACTGCGTACGAGACCGGAACAACCGCATCGTCAAATACTGGACAACTCGAGCTAAGGACAGAGCCGAATGGAAAGCTGTGATCCGCGCTGCAAGCGAAGGACGGATCGACTAAGTGACTAAGAAGTGAAGTGATCGAAGCATATTTCGCAAAGCTATTCTAAAAAATCGAAATTACGTATATTTTTTCGATTAGAATTTATATCCCTGCTCTTCGTTCAAATCTTGCGATATGATCTTGAGATTGTTATTTGTAAGTGTCAAGTTCGGCCACTATTTTTCTGTTTGTTCGCATTTTTTTCTTGGAAGCCATTTAATTATTGACAAAGTTTGAAGAGTTGGCGTGAGGGAGCTCGACATATTTGTTTACTAATAACGATGTTTTGTTGAACTTTAGTGATCAGGGACGACATCTTTTCAGTGAAGAAGAGCGTTAAATTGGAGAAACCTGGTTATTTCGATGTCTTCAACAATCCTTTGTTTACGGATTTTCTTCATTAGCTGATCGCAAAATATTCTAAGATTTTTTCTCCAACAAATAAGCAACTTTTAGCAGAAATGAAAAGCCCAAAAACCCCAAACTTTGCCAAAATTATTACGGTAACTCATCGGAAAACGGTATTTAAAAGTACTAGCAAAACAAAAATTCCAATTAATGCAATTTTTTCGCGAATTCTTTGTCGAAATTCTCGATTTTATATTTTGAAAAAGAAAAATGGGCACCCCTGATCACAATTGTCAAATAATTCGAGAATTCCTGACCTCTGCTCAATAATCATGCGTTGACAATTATTCTCAAAATCGTTGTTTGCGCTTCCGTCGACCAACTCCTCCCATTCCCCGAAAATCTGCGCGCGGGAGGAATGAAGCTCATTCTTTCTCCACAGCACTCGACAACATAATGGCCACTTGGGGTGAGTTCTCCTTTTCTCGTATTTTCCTATTTTTAGCTAAAAAAAAATTCCATTTCCAGAGCATGAACTTCGCGAGATGTTCTCGCAACATGACAAGGACATGTCGGGATTCATCAGTAAAGACGACATCATCTGCATGCTCCTTGGAGCTGAAAAAGTAACAATGAAATCATGAAAAAATAATTTAAAAAAATAAATTCAGGACGACAAGAAGGACCCAGTGTTCCGCACCAACCTCAAGTTCCTCATCCAGGTGATTAAGGAGGCGGACAAAGACGGAGACTCTAAGATCACATTTGATGAGTTCAAAGAGTACATCAACAAGGTTACTTCATAATTCTAATAGTTCTGGTTTTGTACTTTATATATGAAATAAACCTATTCAAATTATGACACAGTGAACTCTCGAAGTCTCCAGCTATTTTTGGCATCATTAATTTTTTCAAAATCCAATGGTAATGGAAGTTGCGAATCATCAAGCATTTCCAATTTACGATGGGGTTTCGTGTAGTCATACGCGAAAAGTCCCGCAATTCTGTAAAAATCCGATTTAGTTTATATTTTCAACTGTCTGAGCCAATAAACGTTGAGTGCTCTTTCTTCGTCAAACTCGTCGTCATATTTACATTTCGCGACGGCGATTTTACAACGAAATTACCTTCTGCATTGCTCAAAATACGCGTCAGATAAATCGGAAAATTGCTCGATCCCGAGCCGAATCGATGTCGTCGTTGGATCGATTCTCGTTTTTCTCAGCAATTCATCTGTAAGTTCATTGGCCAACTGAAAATAAATTCAATTTTTTCAAAACATGTATATCTTTTTTTAACCTCTTTGGGATACAGTGTCTTCAATCCCTTATTCACGTGCTTCTGTCTATAATGGAAAACATGTCTGCACACTTTTTCGACGACTTCAAACGGCACGTTGATCAACGGCGTTTTCCTGGGCTCGAACCTCACAACACCTACATCCACCAAGGGTCTCGGCACGAAAGAGCTTCTCGAAATTTGAAAAACAAGTTTCGCCTCCGAAATGTATTGCGACATTATTGAAATTCGGGACCGGGCGTCTGAAGCAATCGGCGAGCATATTCGTTTAGCGACTTCTAGTTGAAAGGTTAGGGTTAACGGTACTCTTCCATATTTCCAAATGCTTCGACGATACGACATATCCCGCAAATATTTAATAATCAAAGGTGAGGCAATGTTAAATGGAAGATTTCCAATTACATGGATGGGCGGGCACTCATCGTGCCATAATGTGGCAGAAGGCGTATAAAACTCGGAAATATCCGTCTTCAGCGCATCAGCCTGATGAATGAACATTCTCGAATTCGATGCTTCAGCAACATGCTCAAGAGGAGGAATGAACCGATCGTCTATCTCAACCACATCCAATCGAGAGACACCAGCTTCGAGAATCGCACGGGTTATTCCACCAGGTCCCGGACCGATTTCAACAACATAATCATTAGGTTCCACGCGTGCATTCCTCACAATCTGCAAACTGAAAAATAATCTGGGAAAATTAATTCGATATATTTTCAGTTCTCCTATTAATTTATTTAGGCATTTAGCCATTATTTAGGCATTTAGCCGATTTTCCGCAGTCGCGCGACGCCGACAATATCATTCTCTACACTGCTCCACAAAAGTTTACCCATCTTTTTTCAAAAAATTACATTTTCACGAATTTCTTTTTAGTATCCCATATTAGATTTATATTTACTGAGTAATTAAACAAAATGTGCTTTATATTCCGAAAATTGCGTTTTGGCGATCCACAAAAGTATAGCTTCACCTACTCTTTTAACCGTTTATTTTTTGCTTTATTTTACTTGAATTTTTCCCGCCCCAAAGCCAAACATGATAGTGGTCTTTAAAACCGACAAATCGTTCGAGATTTGGGGCGTAGCCCAAAAATGATAAATACATAGTTATCTGACGAGTCCATCCGAATATGGTACTGCGACAATATCTGGATGTCCAACAGTATTTTCTAGCCGAGATATCAGAATGATCCTCAGCAAATCTTGAGCACCTTTGTGCACCAAAATTAAATCAGAAATGGAACTACAGAGACGATTCGACTTGTACTGAGCAAGTACGGGTCAACAAGATTTTCGAAGGAAATAAGTCGTATTGTCGGTGTCAAACGACTGAAAGGAGGCGGGGCATTTAAATTCGCGAAATCAGTGAAGATTTAAATTTTTCGTTGACTGAATATTAAATGCGCGTACGCTTAAATACAAGGTACGCAATTTCACGTGCTTCTCACTGCCTTGAGACGCATTGGCACATTGCCAATAATTTTTTTAATTTCGTCAAGTCGTTTGATTCGGCCAATTAGTAGTGGCTCGTGAAAAGTGGCTTGGCTCGTGATATTTGGCTCACAAAAAGTGGCTCGTACTTACTATATTCTTTGGCTCGCGAATTTTGGCTCGTTATTTTTGGCTTGTGATCTTTGGCTGCCATTACCATGAAAAAAGACAATTGCCAATAATTTGTTTGAAATCGCTGGATGGAGGAACGTCTACTTTTTGTCTTAATGGGGGAAATGACTGTATGGGGGTAAAGTTGAAAAATTGTATTTATTGAATGGGGGGTAAGACTATTTCTAAGTAATTTTTCATTTCTGTAAGCGTAAAAATTACGAAATTGTTTTTTTTTCTGGAAGAAAAAATTATTGGCAATTGTATTTTTCTTGGTAATGGCAGCCAAAGATCACAAGCCAAAAATTACGAGCCAAAATTCGCGAGCCAAAGAATATAGTAAGTACGAGCCACTTTTTGTGAGCCAAAAATCACGAGCCAAGCCACTTTTCACGAGCCACTACTAATTGGCCGTTTGATTCCGACAATACGATAACAGCTGAAACTGACAATTATCGAGGCTTGGAAAAAAGTCGACCAACAGCTGATTGCCAATCCATATTTATCGATCGACAATCGATTCTTCCAAGTGGCACGCAATCAGGGAGGGCCGTGCAAAAGTTGAAAATTCGAGTAAGATAAAGCAGAAAAAAACGGTTAAAAGCATGGGTGAGGCTATACTCTTGTGGATCGCAGAAACGCAATTTTCGGAATATTTTTTTTTGAGAATTTCCATATTGGAAATCAGAATGTATTTGACAATTTTTTTCGATTCGCTGAATAAGTTCAACCATGAACAATCGCTAAGACTAGACCAGATAATCTAAAATTAATTCGTATTAAGAGCTAATCCCACCTTTCTCGTTATATTCATATCCATGAGATAATTCTGCGATAAGATCTTTTTTGCCTGAAGCCTATACATATGAATAAAGTCACGAAGCGCCGGCAATGAGGGTAACCGAGACATCTAAAGTTAGAATTTTCACTTGGAGTTTAATATATATGTGTGTGTACGAAATGAAAGTATTTGTAACGAAAAAAACATCAAAGAGCAAAAACACAAATAATATATTATTATTATTAGCATGACGAACATGAACATGAAGAAAACTTGGAAAAAAATGTAAATTTGAAAAGATTGAATGGGATAAAGCCATTTTACCAGAATTCAAAGTGCAATTCAAATGAATCTGATGAAGAAGGACGAGCGGGAATTTACTAAACACAACCGCTAGACACAACAGAAGGAATGGAGCGAATATGCATGACTGTTCATCAATAAGAAGTTCGAAGAAACGATATTCATTGGAAAGCCACTAATTATTTTTTTGGGTCGTTTTGCTGAGATCTTCCTTGATTGTGTCAATGAACTCCGCATAAGCACGATCCAAATTATCATTAATTATAATCTTGTCGAACAGAGTTGGATTTTTTTCAACTGAAACGAAATTAATTCAAAATTCAAATTTATTTGAAGTGCTTTTGTCTTACCTTCAACAAGATCCTCCTGAGCATGTTTGAGTCTCTTTTGAAGAGATTCCTCTGATTCTGTTTGTCTAGCTCGAAGTCTTTCTTCCTAAATGTTTAATAAATCTTTCGCAGATTTATGTCGTCCGCACTAACCAAAATCTTCAATGATGGAGCTCTAATGAGAATATACCGCGCATCAAGATGGCTATTCTTGATATTTTTAACTCCCTGGAGTTCGATATCGAGTACACAAATCTTTCCTGTCTTTTCAACCTCCTCAACAGCTTTCTTGCTGAAGTTTACAATGGTTTCAATCCTGGGCCTCATATAGTATACCTAGTTCCATAAATATTTCCGCCGAACGTTGCGTGCTCAAGGAATTCATTATTTCTAATCATTTCCTCCATTTTCTCCTTCTCAGTGAAGTGATAGTGGATTCCATTTTCCTCGCCTTCTCTCGGTTTTCTCGTTGTATCTGAATATCATCAATAAGCCATTTCGACCAAAACATTTAGTTTTCTCACGAGAAACGCTGAAGGCGAAGCTATTAGGAAACTCAAGCATGGCTCGAGTAAGAATCGTACTTTTTCCACCTCCAGATGGCCCAGAGAGGACGATTGGTCGGCACTGCATCTTCCGAACTGAAAAAAAAATCAATTCGGAAATTCCAAAACATCAAGAAAAGGTGTACCAAGTTTATCGAGTAGCATGGTTGAAAATCGCATTTCACGAAGAAAATTTTCAATTAGTAATACTATCGCTCATTCGGCTTATTTTCACGGGGTTTCGAATTTAAACAAAATGTCATATTTTTCAACAATCCTCATAATCTAATGGAGCGCGTTTGCCACAGGCAATGAAACAATTTTAATTTAATCCTAAAAATGCAACTTTTGTAGTATCTTAAAGAAGACTGTTTAGTGATAAAGTGGGAAAATGAAGAAAAACTGACTTTAAAAACCAGGAATCGCAAAAAAATAATTAAAATTTAAAATTTTTTATGGCCTAGAATAGTAGCCTAAAAAAGCTCGGCCATCATATTACACTTTCCACTCTACAGGTGATTTTTAAAATTTTGATAGAAGCACTTGGAGCCGGAAAAAAACGATTATAGCGCAGCGATGTGGCAATAAACACGGCATGCGCGTTAACTCTGCGTCTCTACAGCGCTGCGGCCCCCTTCATTTGACCTTTTACCGCTCAAACGTGATGGCCAAATCTATTACATGTAAACGTGGTGTCCGGTTATCAATAGGGCCTAATTAGTCATACCTTCAAGCTTTTTACGAGCATGATGAAGCAAAAATAAGGTGTACATTGAATTGAAAATGAATGGAGGTTTTCCAACATACTTCACTAATCCCTAATCCAAAAAATCGATGCAATTGGATAGATGAAAGCTTGCAATTCTCTGTGAACTCACACATATGGCCAATTAGTTTTTATCAGCTCTCAATTTTTTAAATAAAAATGAATTTTTCGATAAAATTTACGAGCACACCAAATGATAAAATTCTTCAATTCGTTTCGTTTAATATAAGCGCCGAATATACGCTTTTGATCGCATTATGACACGCGATGTGGTGAAATATTGAACAATTTTCAGAGAATATGCCGGAAATTCAAGATTATTTTTTAAAAGGATTTCAACGATGGAAAAACAATTTATCCAATGTGTCACGAGATTCTAGAATTTTACATATTATATATTAAATACCTTCGCGAAAAAACGAGATTGTCGACGTCGCGCAATGACGCCAATATGAAAGGAAAATAATGAACTTTAAACAGCTTCAACATCAAGTAAAATTTTTTAAACATACTTTTTTTCACAAAAAATTAACAGAAAATACTCACTCAAATTCCTGAATGGACTAGAGACCGGAAGAATACCCATGGCGATTAAGGAGTCTTCTGAATAATAAGTTTAAAATATCATTTAGTAGCCAATAATTAAGACTTCGGAGCAAAAATCACACAATTCTTGCATTTTTTGAATATTTATTTGTTTATGACCATAAAAGAAAGTAAATTATATAGTTTATTGCTTAGTTGGTTTCTGAGTGATTGCCTGACCGGATGGCGTATGAATTGGAATTGCGCGAGCGGTTTTCTCACCAGCGTTCAACTGAAATTTCCAAATCGATTTTATATTCAGAATTGAAATTGAGAATTTAACGGAATTTGCATAAGTTGATTTATAAATTGAAAATTGGCAAACCTTTGGCACATCAATAGCCAATTGTCCTTCCTTGGTGATGACGGTATGAATGGCATTCAAATCGGCATCCTTTGGGAGAGTGAACTGACGAGTGAACGAGCGCTTGGTATATCCATGCTCGGACTTGACCTCATGCTCTCCACTGATAGTCAGCAAGTTACCCTCGAGATTGACCTTGAGCTCTTCCGGTGCGAACTGAGAAACGTCGAGCTTGACGGCGAACTTTTGATCATTGTTCTCAATCTGCAATTCCAAATTTTGGTAAAAAATCGAATGAGCAAGAAATTAACTTTTCCAATTTCTTGCGCCATGTCGAAGTTGTTGGAGTTGTTGCGAGTTGACCAGAACGGAGCCATCAAAAAGTCGTCGTCAAAGTATGGGCGCATTATAGGCCAGTGATTGAATGGAGTAAGCGACATAGTTAATAAATAACTTGATTATCGATTGTCAAATGACACAAACTTCATTCTTTTATACTGCACACAGTTGTTTACAATAAACTTGTTATTGTTTTCGCGAATATTCTGATTTATTTCACTACATAGAAAAATAAGATGTACTGTATGCAAAAATCTGCAATAGTGCGCCGGATGTTTGAACATTAGAATTTTCTCGAGTTTTGAAAATTCATGTTCTTAAGCTTGGGGGAATGAAATTTCATCTTCAAGTATTCATTTACTCGTACGGCACAACATTAAGCTCCCGTTGGATATCCTCTAATTGCTTATCGAAGTGGTTTTCCCAGTCATACGCCAAGAAAAATCTGGATGACTTGGCCTGCTCAATAACCCAAGGAAGTCGTTTATCAAGCAATTCCTGTCGATGTCTAAAGCTTCCAAATTCTTCTATCTTTACCAGGTTCCCATCGATTACTTAGTTAGCAATCGGGCGCCACCAAATATCGCTCCAGTCACACACATTGGAAGTCCGAATTGAATTCCTTCGAAATATTTGACTGTTACCTCGCCAATCATGTTCGTGTTCTGCTCGAGAACAATATGCGTGAAGTCATGGGTTTCGCGATATCTTTGCATTACATAAAGATACTCCAAATTGTCAATGTATTTCACGGGCGGGCGCGCATCAGGTGACGTCTTCAATTTCTCCAAAAATCTAAGTAAAATTTTAAAATTAAAATCAGGCTTGACGTTTCGGCCGGCCGAAGCAAGACCAAGGCGTTTTTCTCAAATTCGGCCGAGTAAGCCGAGATTATCAAGAACAATTCATTATTAAATGATTTCCATATCCAAATTACTAGTCAGTAACATTCGTTTTAAGAAAATTCTTTTATCCAAAAAATTTTAATTCGCTTAGGTCCTGCTCGGCTCAAAAAACAAGCCTGATTAAAATTGTTTCTTAATAATATAACTCAGAATATTTCCGTCCAAGAGTTCCTCGCGGAAAACTAGCCAATGTTTTTCTATCAATTGTCTGATTGGTGATGCGAGGTTTCTCTTTAAGCAATTTCCTACCAGCAACATCGCTTCCCATTCGTTGTCTAAGAGTTTTTTTTTTTTTAATTCGAATTAAATATTTTTAAACCTTAGATTTTCCAAAATTGGCGTCAATGCAGTTGTTTCACCCATCGCTGCCACCATGTCGCCTCTTCTTGGATCAGTAATTGCTGTGGCCGCAGATCCAATCCCCATCAGAATCTTGGATACTGGAGACAGCGGAATGTGAGAAGGATACAATTTAGACATCTCCAAATTTTGAATTTTGATTAAAACTACAAATTATTTCGAAACCATTAACGGCCGCCATAACGAAACGAAAATATTTAAAATCTTCAAAAACGTTCACGGAATACTATTCATTTTCGAATAAATACTATACAGTACATGTTTTTATGCATTAAAGGACTAGTGAATACTATCTCAAGAAGGGCAAGGGTTAAGTAAATAATATTAAATCACTAATTTAAGCTGGTGAAAGGGCATCGACTCCTGGAAGATTCTTTCCTTCAAGAAGTTCGAGACTGGCACCTCCTCCGGTTGACACATGGGAAACCTTATCCTCAGTCTTGTACTTCTTAGCGGCAGTGGCAGTGTCTCCTCCTCCTGGAATTAAAGAAATTCATAGGACGAAACACGTTTTTTTTCAAAGCGGTGAAACGGTGCAAATTACGTGATTCGCCAAAACCGAGAATAACCACAGTTTCGTCCGATGATTGTTACGATTAATTTTTTCTTTCGTTGTTTAAAAGAAATATCATACCGATGATAGTTATTGCTCCATTCTGAGTGGCTTTGACAACTTCATCCATAATACTCTTCGTTCCGCTGGCGAATTTGTCCCATTCGAATACCCCAGCGGGTCCGTTCCAGACGATGGTCTTAGCGCGCTGCACGGCAGCAGCGAAAATCTTGTTGGATTCCGGTCCAACGTCAAGTCCCATGAACCCATCTGGAACTCCTTCGGAGGCAGTCGCAACTCTAGCAGACGCGTCCTCAGCGAACTTGTCGGCGATTACAAAGTCAACTGGGAGATGGATCTTGACATTCTTAGCCTTGGCAGCTTCCAAAAGCTCGTTGACAATCTTAGCTCCCTGAAAGTCAATAAAAAACAATTTTAATGCAACTTCGTCCATACCTCTTCATCATAGAGGGAGTTTCCTATCTTAATTCCCTGCGAGACCTTCAAAAAAGTGTACGCCATTCCTCCTCCAATGATCATTTCATCGACCTTGTCAAGCATGTTCTTAATGAGTTGAATCTTGTCAGCGACCTTGGCTCCTCCAAGAATCGCTAAGAATGGTCTCGTAGGGTTGTCAAGAGCCTTGCTAAAGTAAGAAAGCTCGTTCTTCAACAAGAAACCGCTGGCGCGTTGCTGATGCTGAACTCCAACCATCGAACTGTGGGCTCGATGAGCAGTTCCAAAAGCGTCGTTGACATAGACGTCTCCCAATTTTGTGAGCGATTCGCGGAATTTCTTGACATCATCAGCGTTCGCCTTGATCTTGTTTCCCTTATCGTCAACTCCCTTGCCTTCTTCTTCCAAATGGAAACGAAGGTTCTCGAGAAGAATTACGGACCCATCAGCTGGATCAGCACAGGCTTTCTCAACTTCTTCTCCAACACAGTCGTTGAGGAAAATGATGTCCCTTTAAGAAAATTAACAAGTCCTATTTTTGCCGTTATTTGATATACCTCTTAAGAAGAGCCTTCAGTTCATCAGCAACTGGTTTCAAAGTATATTTCTCCTGTCTACGGCCATCTGGTCTTCCCAAATGAGACATCAAAACCACCGACTTGGCGCCATTTTTCAATGCATGCTGTAAACAATGTATCAAGTTTTCGAATATTCATAAACAAATACCTCGATTGTTGGAAGAGCAGCGGTAATGCGCTGATTGTTTGTGATTTTACCCTCCTTGAGAGGCACATTGAAATCGACACGAATCAAAACGCGTTTTCCAGCAAGGTTCAGCTTGTCAATCGCTAATTTGTTAAGAGAGCTCATTCTGTAAAATTAAAACTAAGAATGTGAAAACAGAATGGCTGAATTGAAATTAAAAACTGATAAGAACCAAAGTTCGACGTAAACAAGCGGAGAAGAAAAGACGTGCAAAATGCGAATATTTCGACGGCGTCTCTCTTTTCTCTGTCTGTGCCTCTACTTCGAGAACATTTCCCCGCTAGAGAGACCGCATACAATGAGACGATAGAGATTTGCGGACAAAAAAAATTATTGACAAAAAATGGTTGCAAGTGAATGCAGAACGCAGAGAAAAACATGAAAATTGATCGAAGCAATGTTTTGATTTGAGTCCATAGATCAAAAACAGTAATAATAGATGGAACAATTGACCCAAAAAATTATTATTTTAAAGTCTGATTCTATAAAATGTTTAGGTTGTGCCGTGAACAAAAAAGTTAGCCATGATGAAAAACAAAAAGGTTTCTGCTGTGGATAGAACTTAAATTCGGGCCCTATCATGTAATGAAAGAAATACATAAATAACTAATATTTTCCATTAAAACGCGTCACTTTAAAAACATGTAGGAGAACCTAATTTGAAAAATGTAATTGCCATACAGAAATTTTACGAAAAAAATACTTTTTCCCCCACCTCCATCCTCCGACATCGTACCTGATAAACATAAATCTCTCATATAAATATTACGATCACAAAAAACATAAACCTGGAACAATTGTGGTATATCATCGTCGATTTAAACATTGGGAACTCACAGGTACCGTACTACGGATAACAGGTGAATCAAAGTCGTCGTCAATTTACGCAGGGTTCTCTTGTTTTTACGAATGTAATAATTTTATTCATAATTTGTTAAATATTTCAAACCCATTCCCAACTTGCAACGATCAAAAAGTTCTTCAATTTATCCGTACACGTTATGTCCCCCTCCCATTAGCGATCTGGAGCCTTTGTGCAAACAAAGTAGCCGCGTGACAACTAGATGAATCGATTGAAACCAAATCGCCAACAGAACTCTTTCTCCGAACAATTACAGCTGATCCCGAACGAGGAAAACTAAAAATCCTATTACTTAAACAAGTTCGCTGTTCAAAGACGAATTAAGGAAAAAATTGAGATCTTCTTTCCGCACAGTTCAGATGACCTTTCAACATGTTCCATTTTCCATGGCAATTCGTCAACGGATAATGTCCGTCGTGTCCGAATACATACAACACACAAAACGGAAGATGAGGTAGGCAGAAAACACAAAAAAAAACTTCGCAACATTGACAAGTCGTTTAGTAATCCGTCATTGCTACCCAATTTAAAAACTCGACCATTGTCTGGCCAGCCGTAAAAATTATCATTATATTTACACACCACCGACCGACCGGACGGCCTCGACGCAAGCAAGTCTGCGCACACAATTATTATAATATTCCAATATTTATCCATTCGATATGACTCCCCCAAATCCACACAACTCCTCCTTCTCCTATAATAACAATTGTGGTGTTGTAATCCAAAGTATTCCAATTACGAATACATATATGTATATACTTCATTCCAACAAAGACATCCTCCCGACAAGAAGCGTGTCAAAAACCACCAACTAACCGCTATTTGTTCTAGTAGTCATCTCGCATTTCTCGCAACTAATTATATGTATTCGGTATATTTATGGAAAAAAATCACACCAACTCCTCGCGCTTTCCATTAAGGGTCGTGAGACGCCAGCCACGCTAGTTTCGAAATTAAAATTTTGTCGAAATTTCGGAGCGGAAAGTAAGCTCCACCAAATAATTCCGGTTCGACTGTCCGGCAGGCCGCATGCCGGCAACACATTTGTCCACCGCCGCGAATTTTCGCGCACAACGTCACTTGCCATCAATATCATCCTAATCATCTCTATACCATCAATTCCAATTGATATTTTGGGCAACTTGGGCGCGCATCCTTTCCCCCGCGATACGCACTTGACGCCTCGTTGTTTTTTTTTTTTTATTGTAGGGCTCTCCAATTTTTCTCGAGTCACTTCAAAAATGTTATTTCCTGGTCAATGCGACCGAATTTTTTATTTGGGACTCTCTCAACATAAAAATTCCCTATCTGAGCATTTTTACTACAACAATTTTGGATATTTCATCTGCATACAAATAAACATGTCATCCAACATTTTATTAACGCCAACATATTTTTGGAACTTAATAATTTTCTCCCTTTTTAAAAATATGGAGAAGATTTAAGCCCACACGAATAAAAATTCGTATAAGCAATAATAAAATTCTTTTCTTTATTGAACCCCTCTTCTAATCTAAACTATACGTTTCCAATAGAAACCTCTCATTCTTACGAAAGCTATGTTCCACTGGTATTATTATCATAAAGAATCTGTTCAAGTGTAACATGGCACCCGCAATGTATTAACGCAATTCGATAATCTCTGGTAACTCGAAATCAATCGGATCCGACAAAATTCGGCTCCGGAATCAACCTTATCCGATTGGTAATTCTACGAATAAGATTGGGAAATTGCCGGATCCGATTGGTAATTTTATGGATAAAATTGGTTATTTGTCGAATTCGATTGGAATTGAAATATTAAAACAAAACGGATTCGAATAATTAACAATCGGATTCGAAGAAAATCTAATCGAATCCGACAATTTTCCAATTTTATCCGTAGAAATACCAATTGGATAAGGTTGATTCCGGAGCCGAATTTTGTCGGATCCGATTGGTTTTGAGTTACCAGACTTAATCTCTCCAAAAATCTCACTCTTCTCATGACGTTTTGTTATAACACAATTACCTCCCGACAACCAATTAGATATGTGCGCCAATTCAATAAAATGGAGTAGACTAGTGAATAGCCCGTATTTTTTGCATATCATCTCTCGCATCTCCGCCCTTTCAACTCGATATCGTTTACCTTGGAGACTTAACAGAAAATTGACCAATTTCCCTTCATTTCTTACTTTTCGCATTCCTTCTGCTTGATTTTAATTCGTTGCAACCTGGGATTGAGGACACAAACTGCTACTACTTCTTCTGCATAATACCATACCATTTTCCGGTCTTTTGTGTCGCGCGCCCTCCCCCGCCAATTTGTAGTAACAGTAGTCGCCTTTCGTTTCGCTCGTCACCCACCCCCCCCCCCAATTTCTTCATAGGAAATCGAAATAGGTTTCGATTTCTTTTCTCGACCATAAATTGTTGCGGTTCTACAACCTCTTCGTCAAGTCATGTCATGAATGTTTTTCAACATGTATCCTCGCTTAATTAAAGTAGCGGGGTCATGACTGTTTCAACGAACTCAATCTACATTTCAGATTTTTCCTATATTCGCTTTTAATATTCTGATGCATGTAGGCAAACACGATTTTATGATTTTATTGTCTCACATTTTTTTCTATACAAATTAATGGCATCCATCTGTCAATATTAATTCAAATAGCAACGAAATGTCGATATAGATAATCCGCTTTGCCGTTTATCATGTTCGAACATTAATAAAAACTACAATATTCTTTTTATATTTTTTTTGGAATTTTTTTTTTACAGAATTCGCTTTGACTTGCTCCACGAGCAATGAGTTTAATGAAATTAGTAGATTAGAAGATTTCTGCAAAGAGCTATATTTGTCGAAACACTAGGCACTATTAGCCGATGGAGTACCCATATGGGGCAGGTACTGTTAAGGTAAGCCTATTTTTCTAGAAGGGCTCAAATTCAGGTAGTTGAGCTTGGAGAAAAACTCATGAAGCCGATTAATTCCATTTTTAACTTTAAATATCGAAGTTTTGTAAAAATCGCAATAACCAAACTACGTACAAAGATACTCACTGTTCGAAATTATGAAATTTGAGTTTGTAGATCATACCTGCCTCTGCTCTTCGCGATGTCTCACTCTACCAGCAGCACAATCAATATTCCTACGAATATGGCCAGGTTTCTATTTTTCACTTTTCCATTTCAAACCGCCACCGGACAATTAATCTGTCCACAAGGCGCCACGCATCATTGGCAAAACTTTTGCGAACAAGACATTCGCGTCGGATTACTCGCTTTTATACAAACAATTCGCCATATTCAAAAAAGCGGCAAAAACACACCCGAGAGGGAATATTTCATGAATTACTCTTTAACTAAACAGATTACAAAGTTTCATACATACTCCTCCATTTCAATAAAATCCTCATGACTAGTTCCGCCAATCATCGTGCCAGAAAATTCAATCACATTATCTAGCAAATCCACATAATTACCCATGTTCCGAACACACACTCACACACACTCGAACTTCTCCGAAGTCTTCCAAGCCCCTTGCCCTTTCGCGAAACCTACTCACTTCAATATCTCAACAATGTTCGCGACACAAAGCGGGTCGTCAATTTTAGACGCTTTTCAAACTCATAATCAGTGCACACTTCTCAATCCGAAAGGCGAGTACCTCTTTCGCGCGTTAATCCGTCCCATTCTTAATTCAAGTATGCGTTCAATTTTTCTTTGTTTTTCAACTTAAGCCACACTTCGGGTCCCAAAACGCATTCAAAACTAGGTCGAGACATGCGAAATGTCATAAACGACAAAATGAGTTTCACATCACTTTCGAATAATCATCATATCGTAGAACATCAACCCTCTTAAATCATTTGTTTAACTGTCTACCTTCTGACCCGTTCTGTTCTTATTTCTATTAACTTCCCCATTTTCATCCAAGTTCGAATAAAATTGAAACAAATACTTCTCGGTTGACGTTCATTTCCAATTTCCAATTCGAAAGTGATTAATTTTGTGGTCGCCACACCTATTTTATTACTCACAAAATTTTTATTGCGTTTCGTGAATTTCTCACACCAATCAATCTCTTAATTTCATCGTTAACAAATCCGCTATGAGAATCTCCAAAATAGGAAGTATCTTCGAATAAATGGCCAGATTTCTCAGGTTATTTAACTAATTATTCAAAGATCGATTGATAGATAGATAGATAGATAGATAGATAGAGGGAGGGAGAGAATTAGAGATATAATTTTTTTCAGTTCTGGGAATTCAAATTTTAATTAAACATATTACCGGCGTCAAACGACTTGAAGAAATTAAAAAAATATTGGCTACTTGCCAATGCGTTTCGAGACAGCGAGAAGTACGTGAGACTGCGTACATTGCATAATAGCGTACGCGCATTTAATATTCAGTCAACGAAAAATTTAAATCTACACGGATTTCGGAAATTTGAAGGCTCTGTCTCCCTTCAGTCGATTGACGCCGACAATATAGTACTTGGAATAACTTGAGTTTATATGAAAAATTTCAAAAAAAACTAGAGCGCACGTGAACCACAAACGCGGCTAACCGCATAGAATACGGTAGCCGTTTTTTTTTTTGGGAAAACAGAGCATAACAGTTTTTTGCTTTCTATACGGCATTCCTAAAAAGCACGAACCTAACTGGTTAGTTAGCCAAATTTTCAAGCGCCAGTCATAAGCTGACAAGATAAGAAGGTTTTTAGAATGCGAAATTTACGTTTCCATTCGTCGGACAACTCCCCTAACCCCCCCCCCTCCACCCATTATCTAAATCGTTCGGCGTGTTCCATGAGATGTTATTGGCAAACGGGCGGCTACAATAACATCGCAAAATGCAACATTTTCTAAGGCGATCTAGCGCTGTCGCGCTGAGAGATTTGAATATTATTTGCGTTTGAGGGGGTAGAGAGCAGAGCGCTACTTGACTACGAAGCTCCTCGAGCACCTAGAGTCATGTCGTGTATATTTAAAATATGTGCGTACGCATGTTCGGATATACAGTCGCACATTATTCTTAATATAATTATTGCGATTATTTCTTTTGTGCGCCGGCGCCGCCTCCCATACTAATCTTTTATTTTATCACACCATTCCATTGATTCACTTTTCACTTCATTTTTTATTTTCCTCCACTTCATTTTAAGTGTGTCTACTGAACAGCTATTATAACTATGAGTTATGACTTAATCCGTGCGGAAATAGGGTTCTACTACTATGATTCAAACATTTCTTTTCCCATTTAGCCAATTGTCTGTGGTCGTGCGACGCTGACAATATCTTTTTAACATAATTAAAAATATTTAAATATTTACCTTGAAAATTCTAGAAAATGTCTTCAAAATGGATAATTGTCTACTTAAAATCACGCTCAATACCAAGTGACGCGGTAAATAGCCCGCACTTTAGCAGAAACAAAAAACCCTCAAAAACCAAAACACGTTTGCTAAAACACTGTTCAAGGTTTCGGAAAACTTCAAATAAGAGCAACACATTTCCAAAAAGGACAAAGAACAACTAAAGAGTCAATAGAAGCAATGTGGGCCAAATTCGATTGTTCCCGCTTCCGCGCCCCTTCGTTTTAGTTCATACGTAACTTTTCGAGTGCGTGCGTCCTACCAGCTCTTTCAACCGACTGGTTAAATGCATGTAATGTTTATAAACCCTTGTACATAGTTTGTTCACAGCTCTCGTGTTGGAAGCATGAAATCTTTTATTTGCCTTTCATTTCAAAGAAGATGGGTAATTAGTATATACACGAAACATGTATGCAATCACATAAACTAGATTTTTTTTGTAAATATGAGGCAAAACTTCTAGAAGTTCAAACGAGCAAGATTGCAGGAACCACTGGGGCACCCGATAAACGGTGCCTACTACATGGGTGGCGTCTACAATCCCGCCTACCTCCATGAGCCGTATGGACACAATGCTTATATAGGTTTGTTGACTATTCAGACTCGAACTGTAAAAGCGAGAAAGGAAACGAAAAATTCAGAGGATACATTAGAAATAATTGTAAAATAGACATCAACTGAAATAATTTTTAAATTTTTTTGTTAGGTTAAAAAACGAACTTTCTTTGCTTTTTTGAAAAAAAAATTATAACGGTACAGAATTTTGAACCTATATTTGCTAGGACTATATTGTCGGCGTCAAACGACTGAAGGGAGGCGGGGCCTTCAAATTGCCAAAATCAGTGTAGATTAAAAATTTATCGTTGACTGAATATTAAATGCGCGTACGCTATAATGCAATGTACGCTGTCTCCCGTACTTCTCGCTGTTTCGAGACGCATTGGCAAGTAGCCAATATTTTTTTTTAAATTTCTTCAAGTCGTTTGATTCCGACAACACTTCCAAAATAAGGTTTTATTCAAAGTTTGTTTATGCGGGCTTTACAGTTTTTTCAAGTTCATTTATTGAATTTTGATTCATAATTAATTTTTCTTAAAATTAATAATTGTCGTCATCTTTTAACACGTGCGATATTTTTTTTACAAATTTCCACAACAAAATTGAAAAAAAACCAAAAATTTAGATAGTGTTACCAAATAAGCTTGCTTCTTTGTTTTAACCATCAAGCAAATATTTGCAGATCCAACCTACGGCGACACTGGACAGCAACAATACCCTTACTATGGATACAATTATTCCCCCTATTCCTATCAATCTGCATATCCCGGGGCCTATGGCCCCTATCCCGGCGCTTCTGGCGCCTATCGACCCTATCCCCAACCACAGCCCTCACCTCCTAGAAGGTCCCGAACAGCACCTTCACGACCGCGATCAACTACCAATATGGGCACATTAGGAGCTGAGAGTCGAAGGGGCGCTCGGGGCATCTCGGCGGACCCATTCGATCGGCGACAGTACAAAGTTTACACAGGGGGCGCCACGGTCGTCGGTGCGCCGAAAAAACCACCACCAATGTATCGAAAGCGACGCGAACCGGTTGTAGGAAGATACCAGGAAACGGAGTTTGGCGGCACAGAGTTCACACCCTACCAGCGGCAGTACTACGGGGCAGCGACTGCCGGCGAGGTGAGTTGTCTGTTTAGCCAAAGATTTTCTATTACTCAAGACACCCATTTACAGACACAGACACATCAAAACTTAACGCTACGAAGAATGAGACCTTTCTATGCACCATCTTACACCACATACCCACCATCCATAATGCACCCAAAGCACTCCCAAAATGGCAGAAGGTATCCAACATATGCAAGAATGGCCTTAAAGGCAGCCCAGTTGGTAATTGGTTCCCAAATTTTCTACGGACTCTATGGTATATTGTAGATTCTTGGCGCTGCGATTATCGGTCTCGTACTAGGACCCATGAAGGGGAACTCATTCCATGATTTTGTGATTAGGACCAACACGGAATGGCAGGGGTTAGTGCTCGGCATCGCCATCATTTTCTCGATTTTCGCCGGTATTCTGCTGCTCACCTCGTATCTTGCGAACGACGTGCACGTTTGGCGTAAAGTGGACGGACTAATAACTGCGGCTGGCTGCTTCTTTTGGCTTCTTGCCGCATTCGTCGAATCTTACTTTGCCGCGTGTTATCCACCCAACGGGCCACGCATCAATCTTGTGTGCCATCGTGCTGAATGGATTATTGCTTGTGTAAGCCGCAAAGTTGCAAACCGCCACAAAGAAAAATTTCAGATACTTGCGTTTATCAACTGCGTCGTCTACGTCGCAGACTTCGCAATGTCCTGGATGGCCGGAGTATCAATGCTCTAACCTACAAGTATTGCTGCAATTTGCACTCCGATACCCAAATGGTGCCTATATATCTTACTCGAATCCGGTCAGACTCACTTGACGATGTGATATTAAATGCTCAACTAATTATATTTGCATTATTTTCTAGTCTTTCTATTCTCTTTCGACCGCCGATTTGACCATCTGTCTTTCTTTAATTTAAACACAAATTATTTTGTTCAACTTTATTTTTCTGTAAATTTTGGCTGATCGACTAACTATTTCTGTTCAATCCCTTCCAGAAATTTTCAAACTGCCCTCCACTCCACAAAACAATTTTCACATTTTCGAAACTTGCATTCAGGTTATTTTGCTCAACAAAGCTCAAAACATTTGATTATACGATAATTTTTTGTTTTTAATTAAGGCTCAATTTGGCTCAAAATTTTATAAATATTTATTATTTTTAAATTTAATAATAGACGCACCTTTCCAAAACCGTACTGCTCGGATTTTCCAGTTTACGCAAGACTGCCAGCCTTCTGAAAACACGAAAATATAATGCTAATGTTTGCTCTTGGCGTGAGCACGGCGAGATAAAAGGACTTATATTCTAAAACAGGTTTTGGGCTCGTTCTTACAATAGAGATTACCTTAATGTTCGTAATAGTCATTATTGTTCGACGAGGGTTCGAATAAATAAGAATAAAAAAACACAAAATTCAACGGACGACGGCTTCTGATAAATAAACGTTGAGAATCATTATTTACATCTAACTGGGCATAAACGCCATTATAGAGGTATGAAAAACTGTTAGACTATTGTTTTCAGACATATCACCGGAAAAAATCAGCGATTTTTAACGGCCTACTTTTGAAAAAACCCAATCCCAAACTCGGAAAACTTAATTACGACAAAGATAACCCACAAGAATTAAGAATGCAAGTCTGCGCTATCGCACTTTGGTTCGCGGGCGTTATTCAAAATTGTTGTGACCTAAACAGCCGCAACGCGAAACCGCACGCGGCCAACTACATTAAGAGTTTTCGAAAATAAGCGTTTAATTATTCATTTAATATTCGACGTTCATTATTTTACAATTCGAGAAAACTATTCTATTTTTCACTAATCTGGTTTTTTCTTCATTACTGGAAATTGGTATTTGTCGCCATAAATATTTTTTAGGAGAAGTTTTATTGAGCAATTTTCAGTATTTTTGAAAAAACCGCAAACTTGAGATAGCGGTTAAGTGCGGCATATTAGTCAAAAACTGTATTTATATTTAGATGTTCGTCGAACCAATAGTAAAATTTGTCGATCGGTTAACGCTGATTCACGGACGTGATAATTTCACCGAGCGCGTTGTTCACTCATTTACTATATGGATTTTCATTTTTTTCACATGTTTGCTGAGTTCGAAACTTTTATTTGGCAAATTACTAGTGTGTCAAGCTCCAGCTGAATCTCCAGACAGCTGGGTTAATTACTATCATGACTATTGCTACTATCAAGACAAATATCGTCAGGAAAATTGGAGAGCAGAACAGTTGACTCCGACTTTTGCCGAGTAATGTCGTAATTTTTAAGATAAATGTTGGGTTGAATATTTTAGGATTAATAAGAATCGAAGAGACAAGGATCTAGTGTTACGTTATTCCGCTGAAGATACTGATATAATCACTTACTATCAATGGATTCCCTACGTAATGATGTTACAAGTGTTGATTTGTTTAGTACCTTCCCTCTTCTGGAGTCACGTAGGGCTTCGTTGGTTTCACGGAAACGATTTCGACGCAGTTTTAAAAGGATTCGTCGCCAAAGTGGCAACCGCTGAATCTGAGAAAGTTTGTGAGCGTTATTTATCCGATGATCAGTGGAAAAGAGTTGCGAAAGATGCACATCGTTTACTGAAAATAAAGAAAAGGTTTAGAAAATTGTTGCATCTTTTATTAATTTTAAATTTACAGAGATCGTTTCGGCTTGCACTCCACAATGATTGTCTACGTAATAACAAAATGGTTAAGCTTTTTCTGTGCGCTGATTCAATTCTGGATAATGGCAGGATTATATGCAGACGCCAGTTTTTTCTGGGGATTCCACGTTATTGATCTGTTTGAAACTGATTTCTTAAATTTTTAAATTTCAGTTAACCTATGAAATTATTAATGGAGTCACTAAAGATTTAGCGAGTGGATTGTTTCCACGAGTTGTTCAGTGTCACGTAGCAAGAACGGTATAATTTCGAAATTGTTTCGTTTTATGCAATTTGAAATTAAGGCACTTGGTACTGTACAAGGCCAGGAACTGCATTGTCTCTTAACCCAGAATTTTATTAACGAGAAGGTTTTCTTATTCCTCTATTGGTGGATCATGTTCACATTGTGTATAACGTTCATTTCGGCATTTCGATTTACCATGTTGCTCTTGATTCCGGCGTATCAGAGATACACAACAAAATCTTTAATACCTACTCAGGAATATTTCCTAGAAGTAGCCGGAGGACAAGGACAATCACCGACTTCTACAAATTGTGACCTTCTCGAGTATTTTATCGATTACCTGGGGTACAGAATACATTCTCTGATTGTTATTTATTGGCATCACGCGACTGCTGAAAATTGGCTAAATGACTAAAAATTAGAGAGAGAGAGAGGTGTACGTGGTGTGCAGTGTGCGCCTTTAACCTAAATGCGTAGATCGGAAATCTACACAATTTGTTTTGCGCCGAGAGAACAACTGCCATTGATTTTATGCATTTCGCTTATTTTTTCACAGTCGCTGCGACACAAACAATAATCATTTTATTTTGGATGCGATGGTTTCTTGCTTCTCCAACATATTTGCGACATGATGCATATGATGACTGTTCGTCACATGTCCAAAGAGCTTTGGCGACGAATTATTGTACAGAACGATGCGGACGACGACGAGGAAGCTAATGGGTAGAATTAAAATTCTAACTAAAGAAATAAGCATGCTTATTTTTAGTACACAAATCAATCCTACTGCTCCACCTATGGATGTGCATGATGGTGGAGGAGACATGAGATCAAGCACTGGAAAGTAAGTAAATTAGGATACCGAATAAAAAGTCATAATTTATAGAGAGAAGAACAAAAAGAAGAGTTTGAGCCAACTCAAAAAAGATATGGATGAGCTGAAGAAGCGACTTGCCTCAATTAATATTGAGGAAGAGCAGAATGACGAGACTCGGCCATTGATTAGTGAAGACGTAATAAATGCAAGCACTGAATTTATTCCCCTTCTTGTAACGAATAGTTGCAGCCGTCCTCTTCCTCTAGCCGAACGCCATCTCCCCCAATGGTTCAAAACTTTCCAAACGACGAAGTGTTCAATGAGAGCGAGCTTGCCGAGAATTCGTAAATGTTTCAAAATAATTGTCATTTCGACATAACCTACATTTTTTACGTTTCCCCATTTGTTTTCTCGATAATGTTTTGACCAAATCATTTCCTAATGTGGATGATTCTTAGCATTGTTTTCTCACCGATGGTCGCTTGGCGTTCCCTCTAATTCCCGTTAATGAACAGCTAATGTTTTACCTTTCACATTTTAACATAAATACTCTCGTATATCCAATTTTACTACGAGCTGATCCCTTTTCATTTATTTTTGTGCTCATTCGCCCAATTTTGTTAGTTTTTCTTAGGTGCCCATTTTCAATACTTCTATTTGTGCAACACTCAATTTAGAATTATCAATCAATTTTTATTTTATACTACTGTCAAAAATGAATATAAATGCACACACATGCAAATCCTACGTATACTTATATATATATTTACCGATGTCGCGCGACATCGGAAAGCTGGCTAAATGCCGAAAAATTAAATCGCAGATCTTAGTGCAAAGTTTGCGCTTTTAACATATACCCCTGAATCTACGGTTAGTTTTGCGCCAAACCAAAATGAGAACTCTGCGGTATATCCACTTTTTATTCGTAGGTTATCATTAGTACGTTACACTAATTACCTCTTTAAATCCTAATTTGACTTACCGCCCCGATAAATATGATGGTCCACAAATTCACATGGTGTTTGTTTTTACGACGGTAATATATTTGTATATATATATATATATATAGTAAAGGGGTTATGCTGCCGTCCTACCGAATAGTGGTAGGGCAGCGCTACCTTTATTTCACTCACTTTCATATGCGTTAGGAACTAACAACGATTCGAAAAAAACTTGTTTATTTCTTCAATTAAGTGAGGAAATTACAAACAATATCGCGGTGGATCATAATAGTGAGAGTTGATAAAAACGGAGCCGACATACGCGACTCATGAAGGAAGGAAAAGAGGCCTGGATTGATGGTTACGGGGGTTTATATGTGGTGCTGTTACAATCAAAGAATTTAATAAAGGATTGCATCAGATCCGGTTCGCCCACGGCTTCCGGTGGAGCTGATGAATTTTGATTGAGTTTTTGTAATAGAACCTGATGAGTTTTTATTTATAATATTTAAATCACAAGTCTACGAGCTCGAAGCTCGCTTATTGTTTCTCAATTGCCCTTCTGCCTTTTGAAGGCGTTTTCTCAATTCTTCTATGATTTTAGCGTCATGTTCAATTCTTTCACGGTATTTTTCGAGTTCAACAACCTTTAATATATCAATGAATCTTCAATAAACTTCTCTACCGAAAAACTTACTTGATCCTTGAGAAAATCGTTTTCAGCTTTCAGTTGCTCTGTTACCGCATCTAAAGCTTTCTCTTCGTTTTTCGACTGATCATTTGATGTTCTGTAAGTCAAAATGATATACTTCCATTTTCGGGGTAATTACTCATTAACAACGAAATTGCAGCAATTTGTCGAATCTATTGGCGGAATTGTATAAACAGTTTGCACACCAACATGAAGTTTTATCTCAGACGGCGGGATTCTTTCTGTTTCCTTAAATGTTGATATTTTCAATATCAATTGTTCAGGTTCCAATAACCTTTGGTGCCTTCTTCTCTTCTTTCTCTGCGAAATTTTGTTCTATCAATTTGTTACGTTCTTCCTGAATATAGGACATGAGTATATTTGCATTAGTTTCGATCATACAAGGAGAATGTCGTAATTATGTCGAAGGGATTCCGCTTCCTCTCGAGCTCGATTTCTTTCGTCCCGAACTGCGCTGTAAAGAAACAAAAACTGACTAATCGGTCGACTACCATAAAACATACTATAATTTACAATAGGTAATTGAAATTTGATAATATTTTATATGGTTTTTTCGAGAAATTTTATTATGGCCATATATTAACAAACACCAGAATAATTCATTTCAGATAAAAGTGTTCTAACCTCCAACGATTTCTCCATTCTGCCGTACAAGTTGACCACCATCTCATAGTTTTCTCCATTTGCGCCGCTCGATCGCGAGCCTAATTTGGTTAATTTAGTTTTTAAATCTTAAAAAAATACTTCTTGTAACTCGACCAGCCGAATTGTTTCGCAAACATCCCAATCGGTATGCTGGCATCTTCGAACTGCCCAAGTACGCAGAAAATGAATGTCCGAATCTATAAAATAAATTATTATGTTAATTACAGCTCATCATACCGTTACTATCAGTATACCGATTAAACACTGAGGTAACCGAATCAGCCATTTCAGAAAATCAATAAATTGTAAACGAGCAAGTTCAATACGTTGGGCGAGGAGCAACAGCTGGTTGCCCAGAATATGTGTAAAGTCGAAACACAACCAAAAGTTATGTAGTACTTCAAATTTATTTGCCAACATTGAAAAACTATTAAGATAATCAAATTGAATGCAAGTTACTGTGATTGAACATTAAAATGAAGCCGTTTCAGCATTCCATTATTCTTTACAAAACTATTTTTCGATTTCGCCCAATGATGACTTCGAGATTTCGGCCGATTTTCCTCGCAGCTTTGTCGACCCGGAACTCCAGAAGGAGATGATGCCGGACTGTCGTCGGTTATTTCACCCTCATCCGAATGTTCCTTCAATTGCTCCTCTGAAGAAAAATTGTAATTTCGAACTTTACTTATAATCGAGGCTAGTAAGCTAAATTAACTCTGATATACCGCCTCATGTTAAAATCTTATGATTTAGTTATTTTCCGTAGTCGTGCGCTGTCGACAATAACCATCAACAAACGCAGCACTATTTAGTTTTCGAAACCCATGTAGCATCCGCATTCACCTGTACAATATGTCAATAAACAACCAAAACAGTAAACGCGCAAAAAACAAATACTCTCATCGGTGCTATATAACGAGATGCGCGATGATTATTCTCAATTCAAAAATGTTCCACATCTTTCGCTTTTTTTTTCTGATATCTTTGGTGGGAGCGGATCTGATATTCACAACGTGCGCCAGAATGAATACGCCAGTGTTGGAGAAGGCAGCGCGCGCACTTTGCATTACTAGTTGCAGTGCTCAAGTATTCATATTAAAAATATTCCTAATTACAACGTATTTTTCAGAATTGTGGAACAGGATACTGTGAAAATCGGAAGGGGCGTCCAACGTGTGTTTGCTCAAGATGCGCCAACGGCGGAAATGTTCCACTTGACGCTCTTGTGAAAAAAGGATAATTTTCTATGAATTTTTGTGAATAAACAAACATTCAAACCATTTTTTTCTTCCTCGTTTGGCTTCTCAGATGGTTGGTACAATTCTTCATCATCATAGCCCCAATCAAGCTCCTCTACCTCGTCCGAACCACTTGTCTTCATCTCAGGGCTTGACAAATGAGAGTAATTCGAAGATTTATTAGTTTCGTCCTGAAGATGTTGGTCAAATTTAATATCAACATTCAAATCTTTAGTCGGCATTGGATCACTTCCATCTTCATCTTCTTCTCCGCAAGTAAACGAAACTTCAGTAGAAGCACTTTCAGGGAAATCCAAATCATCACAAGATAACTCATCCTACAACAATATAAATTAAATTTCAGTAAAAAATTAAATAAATCCCTTACTGAGTCGATTTCCACATCTCCAGTTAACCAATAGCTCATATCATCTTCGTCTTCTTCGACTTCTGCTGATACATCCGGATGATCAGAAATTGCCTCGTTTAGTTTTTTAGGCTTTTCACTTGAAATTTCCGAAATATCCTTAGTCGAGAATTTTGTTGTCGCAACAGTAGCTACGCTTTTCGTTACAGGAACCTTGTATGTTGGATTATTTAATGAAGTCCGACGAACTGGAACTTTATAGACCGCTGGTGCCGACTTTACTGGCACTTTGTAAGTCACTGCTTTATCAACGATAGGAGCATGCAATTTCGGAGGTGGCTGTGTTGATGGATCCTCGTCAAACACAATTTTGCGCCGTACTTTTCGAGTTGGTTCTGGTACTGGGTCATTACATGCTGATGAAGAATTTAGCACATTTTCAATTCGCTGCGGTTTCTTGGTTTGATTTCTTCTAGAATTTTCTGCAGTACATTGTCTCGGTTGCTGACAATATTCCGAGGACTTCCGCCCAGATTCGGATCTCTGAATTCCAAACCTCTGAACTGTTTCGCCACGATCCTTATTATTTGTTTGAAATCTTGATGCTGATTCAATTGGGTTTGCTTTAAAATCTTTATCATCATATTTCCCTGCTTCCAATCGTTGGCCATAATACTTTGACACATCCACATTGCCGCATAATTGTCTCCTGCGATCGTCTTTTCTATCAACATCTCGAGAGCATTCAGCACGATTTGAAATTCTATTGCCGGTTCTTTTCTCGTCGTTGACACTTTTAGGTTGCACGAATTTGTTTTCTATATGTTTTTCGACAGGTTTCTTCACCCGTGGTGGAATAGTCTCAATCTTGACAGCACTTCTGTGTTCCAGAGGCTTTGCTTCATTTAACAAAGGACGTTTGCTAATCTTTCTCGTGTTTTTCTCCAACCCATTATTATCCTGAATTGAAATACGATCCCGAAATGCATGGTTATTTTTTAAAACAGAAGGTTTATCTGAAAATGATTTGAGACAAATTAAATACTTCAAGGAAATCTACCTTCTACTTTATTTTCAGCGTTATAATGTAGAATTTTCGGCTTTTTCGGCGTTGGTGAAACCTGCTTTGGTTCCTCTTTTTTGATTATTTCTATTCGAATTTTTACCCCCTCTTTCGCAATTTTACGCTTTCGGACCAAATCGTGCATCTTGCTACCCAAACTGTTTAAAGTCTCAGTTCTGGGTTCTGGGTTGCTTTTCTTTAGAATAGTAGGTATCCCGTCCGAGTTCATCTCCAATTGATTCAAGTAGAGCCAAGTGTTGAGATCCTCAACTGTGCGAAACTCGATTTCTACGCATCGACTTGCTCGAAACACCTGAATAATATATTTGTTGATCAAAAAGCAAAATCTAAGAAACCTTCATATTAAGTGGCCTCAAAAGATGATGACGATCTTTGAAATGATGGTTACAATTCGGACAAACAACAATTCCAGCAGCTTGCGCAGCATTTTTCAAATTCTCCTTAGCTTCCTTCACCTCATTTTCAAGAGACTTCACTGTTTCTCGAAAGCCTATTAGGAGTTTTCGAATTTCGTCAGCAATTTTATCCTTCTAAAAAAACTAAATTATTTCCAAAATCGCGCGATTGCGAAAAATTGGCCATCTGCCAAAACTCCAACGGCAGTAGCCGTGGTCTTTGCGCAAAAGTGTCGTGTGTGATTAACAAGATAAATAGGCAGCGGAACACAACCTCGACTTAAATTTTTTGGTATTCAGCCAATTTTGTGCAATCGCGGAAGATATACCAATTTCAATGTAAAAATTTGAAAGAACCTTTTCTTCTGTTTTCTTCGGAAATTCGGCAGGATTCGCAAGATTTTCTGAAAATTTGCTACTGTCTTTGAGTGAAAATTTCAAACATTTACCTTCATATAATGTTTCCAACGCCAAATCATACAAGATATCTTCGTCATTCATCTATTATATCAATTGAAAGTTGGTTAAATTTACAAAAAATATTAATAATAAATAGGGAAATCCCGTGAAAAAGTCATTTTATAAAAAAAAGTGAAAATTTATTTAGAACAATAACAATAAACACAACTCAAAGCGCAAAATAAATAAAACTAGGCGGTTTCGTCATCATCATCTTTTTTAAGGCCTCCAAAAACTTGGACGGGCACGGTTTTCGTGTCAATATCCATTGCTTCTTCCTCTTCGTCACCATCCAAAGCAATCTCATCCGGATTTTCTGTCGTGTTTTCCTGCACAGTCTTTCCAGCACCACGAACAAATGAAATGTTGCCCTTATTGAGGGAAACTTGAGTGATTGAACCTCCAAATTTCTAAAAAAAAAACACTTTATAACGCGCCACTACGGAAAAAAATGCTTTAAAAAATTTGAGACACGTCAGGTCTCGAAGCCTGTTGTACACATGTAACCTATCCTTATACTTAGTCTTTTAAATCAACACTTTTAGTTTTGCGCCAAGAGCGCTGTCATCATTTCTGATACTCAGCCAATTTTCAACAATGGCGCGACTAATTTTTTTTTCAAAATATACCTCTTCTGCTTCTTTTTCCAACGATGACATTGGGTTTGAGCTTCCAACAATGCTCTGAAAAGCAAAAAAATGAAATTAAAACTTTATCGGGATAACATCCGTACATCTTGAGCTTTCCGCTCCGCGTCAACTCTCATCTGCACTGAGGTCAACGTGACATTCACATTATAAGATGCCTCTACAGACCGTCGAACTCGCAACATATCCCGAACAGTCGCTTCATTTCCATGAGAAACTTCAAAGTTTTTCCAAGTATCCCAAAATTTGATGTGAACTTTTGGATCAGAAATTTCGGCCGCATGAGCGTAAAGGGCTCGAGCTCTGTCGATTTCTCCAACTGTCGTCTCTAGTTGAGCATACCGCAAACTCATCGCTCTACAATTACAGGGTTAAACGATTTTTAAACTGAATAAGGCCTTCCGCTTCAACCAGTTATATCAGAAAAAAATTTAGATACGACGCAGATTCAATTCTTGCTGCACCCCTTACCCCAAAGGCTTTTTGGCAATTTCTTACCTTGACTTATCCTCCGGCAATTCTGCGATCGCTCTCTCGAAAATCGGTCGGCATTGTGCAATTCCGTACATTTCTTGAACTTTCTTGATATAAATATTGTACATCTAAAAATGTTGAAAATAAAATTGAAATACAAGTAATATCATGCCAAATGCATATCACTTCGATCTACTCCCGATGTGGCGCGATTATAAATTGACAACGCATGCCTCGCCAATCCGTGCTCTTCTTCGAGTTTCGCATAGAGTAGAAAAATATCTACAAAATTTTATTATTGTTTTAGTTTTAACACAAAAATTACATTTAGCAAATTTCGGCGGGCAATTCTCTAGACACTGCTCAAATAAATCGCGAGCACGTTCCAACTTTTTTCCACCCTATAACAAATTAAATTTAAATGTAAGATAAGTTCGTTCAGTCTTACATATCGCTTAATAAATTTTACAAGGTAAGTATTCCAAATATCAAAAACATTTGGCCAGCGGAACAATGCAATTCCCTTCTCATACGCCTGAAATAACCATTTTCAGATAACAATATTAATATAATAAGCTACTTGGAAAGCTGCCTCGAAATATTCATTCTCTTCAAGAAACAATGCATAATTCATGACCATTTGTGGTGAGGCGACTCTCAAATCAATCATCTTATCATAGACCTTCTTGCATGATTCCACAGTTCCACAACATTCCTCATAATCCGCGTACATTGCCCAAAGCATAGGACTTCGATGAACACGAGATTGCACTGATTGCTTATTATCATTATCACCAATAAGCGGAACACTGCATGCTCGACTCAGAAGTGCAATAGCAACTTTCGGGCGCCTGTAAACGTTTTCTTTTCTAACGTTTTGCGAGATTTCACATACTTGTGTTTCATTTCCATTTCAGCATACGCACACCACACATTTGCAAGCTCACTAACACCTCCATAATTTGCAAGAACTGCTGCTTCAAAAGTCTTTCGAGCCGCATCCAAATCCCCGTTATCTTCATAGAGCTTGGCAAAGGCGATCCAAAGATCTCGAACTTTTCCAACCTGCAGCTTCGGATTAACCGACTTAACAGCCTCCTTGAATGTTTCAATTTGCTTCTCATAATCGCCTTCAAAGATTTTGACGCGGTTCAACCATTCGTTCACATTATGCGGATTTTGACGAAGAAGAACGCTGTTCAATAGCAAGTTCTTGCGTTCCATTAAATTTTGATATCTGCATGAAATTCGATATTAAATTATTAAAAACTCGAAATACCGTTCGAACATCCATTCAAGATCAGTTTCTTCTTCCGGATCTCCACTTTGTTCAACTTCTTCCATCATAATCGAGACCTCTCGTTCTTCAAAAGCAGCATAGGCGTCATAAACTTGAGCAAAATCGCGAACAGTCGACACTTTCGACATTGCTTCTTCGTAAACATCGCGAGCCTAAATTTTAGAATACAAAAAATAGAATTTGAAAAAAAAAAAACAAAAAAATTATTACTCTCTCAAACTCAGCACTTCGAATATAATAATCTGCCAACGAACACCAAAGGAATCCCACCTGGAAAATAAAACAATTAGATTAAAAAATGAAAATTTAATTACCTGATCAGTGTATCTATATATTCCTTGTCGGATGATTGCATCTACGTTCAATGAAAAGATTTTAACAGGATTTTTCGAAATGAGATCGCAAAGTTGTGTCCATAATTGATGTGCGGTTTTTTTTTTCTCAGAAACTGCTTGATCCATATTCACAAGCGTCGCAAGTTCTTTTGCTGCTTCATCAATTTGATCTCTGGCAATTAAAAATTCGATATAATCTTCCCTCGCTCGCGGGTTTAGTTTCAAATATCGTCGATATGCGCGGATTGTCGTCTCAGGAAGGTCGTGTGATGTCAAAAACTCAAGATAAGGAGTCCAAATTCGCATATGCTGTGTCACTGGAAGAGAACGAAGCGCTCTGTCGAAGACCCGACGGGTTTCAGTAACCAAACCACGCTTAATCATCACTTCACAATAACATTGCCAGATACGAGGCATCTGAATAAGAACATTGGTAATTATAAAATAATAAAGATTTTTCAATTTAAAGTATCTCTTGCACAGTGTTTACTAATTCATAAAAAATACCTTATGAAGTCTCATCAAGCACCTCTCATAAGTATCGCAAAGTGACGCCCACGCTGGATCAGTGGGGCATTTATGAGAAATTGAGCTTTCTCTGTATTTCAAATAATGAAACCATAGCTTATAACTTCGCTCAAATATCGCCAACGCTCGCTCGTAAATCTGAAATCGTCAAATTATGTTAATAATGATGTAGAACTATTACCAAGAAAACTTGTTTGAACGATGATTTGTTTTGCTTTTTATGGTCAATATAACGTTGCCAACAGTTCACCGAAGTTGGATTTCGCAAAATGTCTTCCTCGTATGGAATATCATCGGGAGACTAAAACATTTAAAATAATTTTGTTATTAGGAACAAATCTTACAATCGTTTTCAAAGTGTTGAAGTTTGGGATTCTCTCCAATTTCGTCGAAATGTTGTCGATGTCCTTCTGCGATGCGTCCTCATTTTCTTTATCATTCATGCTTTCCTAGTAAATATCAAAAAATAAATTGTCATATTTGCTAATAATATTTTTTAAAAACGCGAAAAAAAAGTCAATGGGGAGAGTGTTTTTTCGCTTTTGTCAAAAAAAATTTGAAAGAAATTGTAGCAAAAAAAAATAGAAAATAGCTGTTTTCCTCTAAACGGCGCAACCTGGGTGGTTCGCCAAAACCAATATATGCTGGCGTTTCGACCGATGAGTTTGCCTAGAAAAGATTCAAATATGTGTCGTCAAATTATGTGCATGCAGACTTAACAAAGTCCGCAAACTCAGTAACCTCACACCGTACCATTGTCGAAATACGTGGATTTAATTTTTTTTCCCATTATATGGAAAAATGTCTTCTTTCCGTCAATTCGTATGGGATCCTGCGCTAATTATAAGTCAAATGGTTTGTATGCAAAGCACATTTTATGGCATTCAAACTAGTTTGATGTTTATTGCGAGTTTCGCATCATATGAGCCACAATTATCAAATATTTTTGGAATTCAGGTTTGAATTTTTGAATTTCACAATGACACATTCTTTCGCTTGAAGGTACAAAGAAGCACAGCAATTCTTCAAATTTTGTCGGCGATTGGTGTTTCATTCTCTCTCGCCCATCTGGTCCAGCGCGCCAAACAATGTCTGGACTTTGCTTGCACCGTTCATTTCTTTCATTTAATTTTTGTTATTTTCTATAATAAGTCGTTTCCTACGCATCTCACGTGGTAAGTAAACAACAACTACTCAAAATTTCGATAAGGACAACCCGCATTGTTTTGGTATAAACAAGATGACCCAAATTTTAAGGAAGTTCGGTCAAACTGTCGTTGTTCGTCCTAAAAAAAATTATACACAGTCAATTTAGAGTGTCGGAATTAAACCATTTGCTACATTGGTTCGTTCCGACTAACTGATTTTTTACTATTTGAAATAAAAGAAAATTGAATGAAAAATTTGTTCCAAAATGATCCGCGGGTATCCAAAACCAAATTGTCGTTGTTCGTCCCGATCGAATCGCTGAGTATCCCAATCAAGTAAAATATTTAAATCTAGGTGGGCTCTTCAACTTCTTTCCGCAACAGTGTGCACAGTACTCGGTGAATATTTAAGTATGCGCGCTGAGTCACGTGAAATCAAGCTCGAAGGAGGACCATCGAAATACGATTTATAATAGATCATTTTATTATTCACTTGTATATAATACGAAGCAAAAGAAACCAACGGGTATAACGGTGATATGACCTAAACAAATAAATTATTTAACTAGAAATCGTTTAATCACAGAAAATAGTACTATGTAGTTTAGATAAATGCAGCTAATTTTGATTCATGCGTTTCATTTGAGCCATTAGTTCAGCCAAACTGTTTGAAGAGGCTTTTGGAATTTCAATTTCCTCTCCAGTTTTTTCCGGAGCTTCGTAAGCCGACTTCAACCCTGATGCGGATGCAGACAATGTAGGAGCTGATGCAGGGACCGATTCATCAACAAGTTCTGAAAAAATATTAAAGCTTAATGTCGATAAAAAATAGTACCGATTCCCCAGCAGTTTTCCTCGTGAACAACTTCGTCATTTTCTTCTTTTTTCGCTTCAATAATTACAGGTTCATTCGCTAATTTTTCTTGGTATTCCTTCTGTCGAATTTGGCAGTATTGATCATCGCAGCAAGGGTTCGGCTGAATGGAATCTCGTGGAAAGAAATCGACCAGAGCATTGTAGCCGACATACGGCGAAACTTCTCCGAATTTTAACAAGAATCTAATCATTTTCAATATAAAACTATAAATTTTATTTTAATACTTGAGTGCATTCATCACAAGAAATCCTGCCACTACAGCCATTGTGGTTGGGAGCGACGCCGCGCAAACTCCGTCTCGCTTCAATGTTCGTTCATCAATGTTAGAAGCAACAACTAGTGGCGGAACGCACTTAAAATCATACATGAAATTTTAAAATCAATATAACATACCGCAAAACATGCAGTTTTCCCGGGTTCAATATATTGAATATGACCAGAAACAGCGTTCTCGCTAACTCCGGATTCAATCCAAATTTGATTCTCCTCGTTGCACGCTGTATTCACAGTCATTCGAGCTTCGAAATTGTCGACGCAACTGAGCACCAAATCAACTTTTCCGTCGGAAATCGAGCCATTTCGAAGACGGCTGACGAACGTTTTGAAATTGTCAATTGTCGTGATATTGAAATTGTGAATTTCAATATCAACATCGGGGTTTACGTGGCTAAACAATAATTCAATTTTACGAAAAAAAAAAACTATTAAATTGTTACATCAAAGTATCCCTAGCGGCTTCAACTTTACTAAGTCCGGACTGATGAGGCTGGTAGAATAATCTGTTCATATTCGCGATTTCAACTTTATCATAATCGAAAAGAATCAATTTTCCAATTCCGCATCTTGTCAGCATTTCAGCCACTACACTTCCCACTCCTCCTACCCCAACTACGGCAATGGTTTTTTGCCTAATTTGCTCATAATCCTTGACAATTCCCATTCGCTGCAGAGCCATTAATCGACTATAAGGATTAGAATCGACAACCTGAATGTTTATATAAAATGGAATTTTCTCATTTATTATTCAACTTCCGCGCTCAGTTTCTCAATCTTCTCCCTATAAGCTGCTGGCCTCTTGCTTTGCTCGACATTTAACGCTTTAGATTCATCGATCGTGTTTTTAAGAGAATCAGCCATACTTTTCACGCGCTTCGCCAACTCATCGATATTGTTACTCATCTATAAATGTAAATTAAATTAAAAACAAGACAAAAAATCGGCAAACTCATCGGTATAAACAAATGACAATTTTTGTAAGAAACAAATAATCGAAAAAAATTTGCTTTTTTCCTCAAAGCAGCGAACCAGCGTAACCTGCGTATTTCGCCAAAAAGAAGAACTGTCAGCGTTCCACCGTGTGAGTTTGCCAAAAAGACGTCAAAAAATTGTAAATGCTGATTTATGCGTTGCAGACATCAAGAAAGTATAAATGTAGCCTCCAACGTGTAGAATTACGAAGCCCCGCCTCTTTTTGCAAAGAACGCATAGAAAATTTCATGAGGACCGCACAATGTACTAATTCAAATTTAACTTCGCGAGAATTTTTTTTAAATCGAATTCGAAAGATTTTTCAATCGGATAATGAATCTATTCATAAAATAAAAAAAATTACACATTTTTGCATTGCCGAGTTAAAAAAAAGCCAAAGTATTTTTTTTTGCATTTTTCGTTAAAAAAAATAATTTCATGAATAGGTTCATTAGGTTAATTTTTATTCCATTTTTTTTTCGATTATTTGCTAAAAAATAAATAATATTAATAGATGAGTGATTCCTATCGTCTTCTCTACGAACAATATGCATTCAATACCCTAACATATGGATCATTGCTGCGAGACTCAAAAACTCCAAATATTTATCAATATGTATGACATTAATATTAGATCTTTGAATTAAAACAATTTTCAGGCTTTTTATTGTAATAATCCACTCGAATTCTGTCACGCGATTTTTGGTGAAAAGGTGATAAACAAGTTGAAAACAGATTCTCAAGATTCATTTGATAAAATTTTTCAAATTACTTTGAAATTGCAAAATTCTTTGATATCTGTTGTCAAGGATGATATTTTCAGGTAATATTAAGATTTTCTTACGTCCGAAAATCGATAAATTTAGAAAAACATGCAAAGTCACCAGTGCAAACAAATACTATACGAACATACTAGATAAAGTATGGACTGATATAATGGATCCTTCGAAACTGGTAGCCCTATTCGAATATGTATTTATTATATACCTTATTATGGCAGAACAACATTGTCAACTCAATTCGTTCAACGTTGCTGAACCAGAACGCAGTAGTTAACATATCAACTCCAGTTCTATTATTAAACTCCTTCAAGAAGAGATTTAGTGCTATCGACCAAAGTTTCAGCAGAAATTTGAAATGCATTTTGAAAAATACGAAGAACTTTGACGAACATTTTGGCGCATTACTTTCAAGAATTATATGGGCTCATACAAAGACAGTTGTAGATGCTCTGAGGTGGAAACAACAAGGTTGCTTGCAAAAAATTGAATTTTGAAATTGCAGAGCTACACTTACTGTATTTGTTCAAGATGGAATAATTGCCGGTTTAGTTTATTCTGATGTTTCGGATTTCGAACTGGCCTCAGTTCAAACTCTTCAAAAACCTATCAAGCCTAATAGCCCTCAATTCGCGTCAAAATTCTCTACAGCTGATTTGATTTCCGACCGGAATTATAACGATGTTTGGAGTTGCGCGATTCGGGGGAATAAATACATTCTCATATCGGAATCTTATTCGAAAAATTCTGCAATTTCTTCTCAACTGGAATCCATTGCTAACGAATTGAAGACAAATGCGAAGAATATTCTCGATTATAAGTTCATGTAAGAAAGTAAACATTTCTAATATATTTTTTGTATAGCAAACTGGCAAATCAAGCCTCATGCAAGTCAACTAGTATAACTAAAAAAGTTCAACATTTCTCGAAGAGTGTGGCTCTAAATCTGTTTAATCTCCAATCGATATCATTTTACCATTGTGATTTGGTAAGCTGAAATATTTGAAACTTTTACCAGTAGAAGAATTTCAGATTAATATGTTAACCCAGAACTTTGGCTTAAATTACTCGGTTGTTATTGATTGGACGACAAGTTCATTTTTTAAAAGTATCTGGAATACTGGATATTTAAAAAAAAAAACATAGAAATTGTTCAGATTTATGCCAAAAAGTTCGGTGTATATTTGATAGAAATAAAATTTCTTACAATGAATCAACAATATCTAGATTGGCCTTCGATATGTTGAATTCATTCTGTCATTGCATTATTGGATCCTGGAGGTAGTTTTCCTAAAAAATTTAAGCCTGACAGAATCAAATTAAAGGTTAGCGTTGAACTTCGTGACCAATAAACAAGGAAAGATTACGAAAATTAGTTTCGAAAATAATGTGCTTTCAAAGATTTCTAAAATAAATAAAGAACGGAGAGGAGAAACAGAAAAATCTGTTCAAACTTCTACCCACAATCCAGTACTATCAGAAGTGCCTAAAGGTGTGAACGTCAATTATTAAAACAATTATATTTTTTCAACATTCTGAAGAGTACGAAAGTGAAGAGGAGGATAATACAAGTTTTTTGTCTCAAAGCATATCCAGCGAGAATCGATTCCGCGATTTGCACAAGAAGACGCTGACAAGAGAAAGCAATTATGAATCTCTCTGGATTACCGTGAGTCCTTTCAAAGAATTTGTGTTATTAATAACGATTGTAATAGATGCCAACCAGTTCAAATCTTCTAGAACTCATCCTTCTTCCAAATGTTCTCGAAAATTTGTCCAAAGATTGTGAAAAATATCTTGAAGCAAACTTTAAAAGGATTCAGAAGAATATGATAAGTTATATTCAGGAAGATAAAATCAGGTATGAATATTTAAAAATTGCAAATTCCAATCGACCTTCAGAAAAGTCGCAGATATGATCTTGCTTGTGCATAGAGAAACACGATTGAAAATAGATAATCCTAAAGAGAGTGATATAATATTCGTAAAAATGTCTAATATCGTCTCTCAAATTCTCAATGACATTCTGATGGTTGATCAATTCACTATGCTTTCGACTAGCTGGGTAGCTTTATCAGAGAATTGAAAACAAACAAATGAAGAATTTCAGAAAAAAATGGCACTTTCCATCTTAACATCATCTCCTTGTAAAACAATGATTAACGTTGCCGAATTATTAGAAGTTTGTGAAACAAGTAATGCAAAACATAAAACAAATTTCTATGAAATATGTGTTTTCAGTGGATCCCGTTATCTACATGAATTTAGGAAATTTTTTTGAAGACAATAATACGGGAAACAGAATATTTTTAAACCTTACAGCTCAATTACTTAAATTTGTGATTCGATTGTCTGCAGATACGTGGAGATGCGTTATCAAGATCAAATTCCACAACGAACGATTTTCTATCAAAAGTTTAGAATATGATGGAGATCTGGAAGTCGCGAAATTAGAAACGACGGAATTTAAAGAAGAAGAAATGAAGAAAAAGGCAGAAAGGAAGCAACTGGAAGAGCAAGAAGTTTCAAATATTAGTGGAATTTAGATTTATTAATTTTTTAGTTCTCTAAGGAAAAAAATTTACTTCAAAGTCCACAGTCAAAAAAGAAAAAAGTGAGTTCAATCGAACAAAAGTATATTTGATGGGTAGATTTTCTTTCTGCGCAAAAATATATGGTGTTATACAGATTTTGAAGAAAAACTCAGAAAACCGGTTAAATCTAGGTTTTTATTTTCGCATAGATGTATTTAGAGTTTTTAATAGGATTTTACCGGGTTTTAAAGTTTGCACAATCTGCATAGTATCATTATGTTTGTTTAGACTGAGCTCCAAAAAAGCCAATTCAACCTTTACACAAATTCGACTCCTTCGCTGGAATTGCTATCTATTTTTGAACGGGACGTTAATATTCCGAAACGTTGGTTAGATAAGTACAAATTGTTACTGTCATGGAATTCTGAACTTAAAAAAGAACTTGAATATTCTAAAAATGTTTATAAGATGTTGTAATAAAATTAATATTTTGCAATATTTTGAATTTGTTCTATATATATATATATATATATATATATATATATATATATATATATATATATATATATATATATATATATATATATATATATATATATTCCTCTGCATGCGATTCCCAATATATATTTTTAATATCTCGATAATAATAATTTCTATTTCGATAAAATAAAACAACTTTTGCAAGACCGGTGTCGGGGTCGACGCAATTAATTGACAAAACTTGCATAGAACAGGTAATTAGAAGATTTAAGAACTCATGAACTCACCCAAGACTGAACAGCGTCCAAACCTTTTTAATTTCAAACTGCAGAATCGTATTATTTATTCATTAAAATTATGCAAAATTTTTCAATTCAAAAGACTATTTTTTTCGCAAAAAAATCACAGAGGAGTAAACAACGGGCTATATCTGCCAATTATTCTATTATTTCAACAGAAATATTTTCGGTGTTCGGAGGCCATAAAAGTTCTTTTCTGGATTGAATAAGACGCAACTCACAAGTAGCCTTGGAGTTTGAATCGCATTGACCTGGAATTAATACGATCATTCGGAGAAAAACTAATATATCATATCATCGTCATATTATTTGTACATTACTGTCTGGACGCGTTTGTTCACGCGCGTTTCACGAACTTTCACAGCTCAATCACGTGACATCTTAGTAATTTTCTTAGATGATTTCTACATAATGCAGTGTGAAGTTGATCACATCCATCTATACATATTATACATTATCAATAACTACCGTGTCTAACACAGCGCACAAAACAAGCAGTAAATAATAAAGAAATAATATACTCAACTAGACTGGGTCGCCATGATTCGTTCCATGGAACGCACTCGACGCTTACCAAGTTTTTGGGACGACTCGCTCAGAAGCGTAATTTTTCTCTTTCCAACGGGAGAACTGCGTGCCTTCAACCTAATATGATGCCTACCAGGGACATACTGGAAAATTTTCGGGAGACCATTTTACCGGTCCAAAAATTTGGGAAATTTTGTTTTGTTTAATTTTTGGCAGTTAAAAGTAATTATTTTTTCAGTGATAAAAAAGCGAAAAGCGTCTTTGAAAACAAAAACCAATGTAATTTGAATAGAATATTGAAAAAAATGAAAGAAACCCTACTGCAAATTTTGAAACTATTTGTTGCTGCTTAATTTTTTAGAGGTTTCCGCATGCACATTTAATATTTACAGTTGTCTTTGCGTGAAAAAACTTATCAATTTCCCAAACATTTCTGGAAATTTCTTGACCAGGAAATTTATATGTAACCCTCTGAGAAAATGGGAAATCCTTCTCACTCTTGCTGGATACATTTCTTCATAGATTCTTAGCTTTTCTTCGGCATTTGATTCCCGTTTCAATCTTTGAGTAGTAAAAATAATCATAACCTTGGGCATATTCACTTGTTTTTTTTATCAGAGCCTGCATACATCCGAGCGTATTTTTTACGGCAATAGCAATGTCGTATCTTGATTCTTCAAGCCAAACAAGCAACAGGCTAGCGAACACATCTCCTGAAAATAGATTCAAAAAATCATTTTTTTATCGTTTGAAACTCAAGGAAATGCCTTTTTATGTGATTGCGTTAAAAAAAACCAACCAGTTCCAACAAAGGCTCCTAATAGTCGTGGGAATGTAAATCGATAAGACGAATTTGAGCCATTCTCCCAAACACTCGCGTAACATCTCAGAGTGGTTTCAGTCTGAGCGTTTGTTACTCCGCTAGTTACAACAATTGTGCGAATTCCCTTCTTGTGCAACGCATTGATGGCTTTCAAGCATTCATTTTCAGTGTTCACCACATACCCCGTGAGTTCACTGAATTAAACAAAATTATCATTTTAATGATAATGCATTTTGAAAAAAAAATGTAAATTGAAGTGAAATGTCGATTCATTCGGAATACGATAAAAACCTTCAAACTATAAAAAATAGTAATCTCAAACTTTTTTTTAGTAGTCGGCTCGTTTGAAATTCGCCATTAAATTTCACATCACATTTAGAGTGTTGGGTTAAACTATATGTTTCGACTAATTTAGCTTTTCCCATGTTTGAAATACTTGCAAAAAAAATCTGTTTTAATTTATTCTTGGATACTTTTGTTTTCATTTATTGATAACAAATAGCATGAATGAGATATTAGCACGTTGGAATAGTTATCGGAACAAAACCATAAACTACACTGCTCCACAAAAGTTTAGCCTCATCCATATTTTTTGAAAAAATGACATTTTCACGAAATTTCAAAAACCTCTTGTGTGGTTAAAATATGGCTAAAAAGGGTTCTTTTTAGTCTTTTTAGAAGAGTCTTTTTAGAAAGAACCCTTTTACTAAAAAGAACCCTTTATATATATGTATATATATATATATGGGATACTGGAAAACTAATAAAACAATCATTCACAAGAAGGGAACATCGAAAAGGGAGGGGGGGGGTCGGGGGAATTTGTACTCGTATACATTAAAGTCAGCAAAAAAAAGAAGAAAAAGCCAATGTACCTGAATTATCGCAAAATTTATATATATAATTATCGCAAAATTTATATATATATATATATATATATATATATAATTAAAAAATTTGCTTTATTTTCCGAAAATTGCGTTTTTTCGATCCACAAAAGTATAGCCTCACTTAGGTTTTTCAGCGTTTTTTCGCTTTATTTTTCTTGAATTTGCAATTTTTTAAAACTTTTATGCTAGAATTATGTGTGTTTCAAGTAATGCCAACATGTAAACTACTTTCGGCGTTTGAGCAAGGCCAAATTATAGCCAAACATCGAATCGACAAATCGCTAAAGATTTGAGGCGCAGCCCAAAAGTGATCAATAATTATCTTAAGAATCCATCCGAATATGGTACTGATCTGGATGTCTAACTGCCATTTCTGGCCGAGAAAAAAGAATGTTCCTCCGAAAATCATCGAATACCTTCACTACGTATACCAAAATGGGATCAGAAATAGGCTTCAGAGACGATTCAACTTGTTCTGAGCAAGTCCCGGCATGAGAAAAGACGCAAGATGCGTAGAGCTCCAATTTTGACCGAAAAACATCGCGAAAACTGATTGAAGTTTGTGAATAATTTCAAAAGAACGGACTGAAGAAAAATGGGATTTGGTTAAATTCGAAGATGAGTCAACTGAATTTCATGTGATCTTCTCAAATGAGAATAATTTTAATTGAAAAAAATTCTAAAAATGTAGTGTCATGATATAGGCAGCAATCAGCTCGATCACTCGGGTGAAGCTGTGTTCCGTCACAAAGAACATGAGCGGCTCTCACTATCGATATTTGTTGCGCCGTGAGCTTCTGCCCTTCTGGTGTCGACACAGTCACAGAATGATAATGTATCGCAGGATGATGCCCCAATTCATCGGGCCCGCCGCACTACCGCGAGGATACAAACGAGGAATATTCCTGTTTTCGACTGGCCTTCTTGCTCCCCGGACTTGAATACTATCGAAAACGTATGAGGATACATGGACAACAAGATTTCCGAGAGAAATAAGGTGTACGATAATCTAAAACAGCTGAAACTGGCGATTATCGAGACTTGGAAGAAAGTCGACCAACAACTGATTGACAATCCCCATTTATCGATCGACACTGACGCTTCCAAGTGGCACGCAATCAGGAAAGACCATCCGACTACTAAACCAATTTTCTGTTATGTTACTGTTGCTATTTTCTGTTTTTTAAGCGTTTTTTTCTAGTGAGGCTATACTTTTGTGGATCGAAAAATCGCAATTTTCGGAAAATAAAGCAAATTTTGTTTAATGACTCAGTTAGTGTAAATCTAATATGGGATACTAAAAAGAACCCTTTTTAGCTATATTTTAAACATACAAGCGTTTTTTGAAATTGCGTGAAAATGGCATTTTTTTTTTCAAAAAATATGGGTGAGGCTAAACTTTTGTGGAGCAGTGTATATCTTAAATGTTAGATTTTGAACGCTATGTTTCGATGAGGAATAGCCAAAGCATTTTTTATCTGTGCCAATGCACACATTAATATTTTTGTAAAACCTTCAGAAACTATACATTTCAATTCATCCGAAAAAAAAGCAGAACTTTTTCACAAAGCTATAGTAGTTACCCCAATTCGAAAGCGTTAGGTGTTAATACATCTGCTAGCGGTAAAACCGCATCACGATATACTGGCATCAATTCTAGTGGTGTATACTGTAAAATAAGAAGATTACTTAATATTAACAGCCAAAACTAGCTCACATATCTACCATTATCGCCCAACACTGGATCACAAATGAAAATCGAGTCTGGATTCTTTTCTTTTATATCTTTGACAACATCAACAATCTTTTCAAGGAATGTAACATTTCCACAATATCCTGAAGAAAATAATTTTAAAAAATAAAACTAAAGAAACCTGTTAGAATATGAGAATAATTGTTAATATTGTTTAATTTGAGTCCCTCATAAAGTTCTTCAAGATCCTTTGCGTCCAGTCGTTGTCCTTTGACATTCGCATATCCTTTAAGTATTTTTAAGTTACTTAAGTAAACCAATATTTTTAAAAAGCGTTATTCAAATTCTAATACAGATGTTAGTAGCAAACGTTACGACGAAAAAGACCCTTTTGAAAGGGTTACACTTCACGCTATTGCTTCAAATCTTAATTACTTGGAGCAAGGGACAAGAATTCGATAGTACCGGCGTGATTCGAGAATTGTACGCTGTTGATGAAGTCGACTTCGAAGCCGTGAAGCTAAAAAAATATATATTTACGGTTTAAAGAGACTTAAACTGTGTTTTATTTTCGCGGTCTCAACGAGTGAGTAAAATTATTTTATAAAATTAGAATAAATTTAAAAAATTCCTTGGATTTTTATCATTTAAAATATAAAATATATTTTTTTCCGCTTTAAAATAAAAAATATTTTTAAAATATAAAAAATATATATTTTAAAACAAATTTTGAAGTGTATTACACTAGTTCGCAAAAATACGTGCTAGCGGACATTTCTTGAAACATGCAAAAAAGGAAAAATCGATAAATTTTGGTTATTCTATAGTCGGCGTCCGGCGACTGCTGTACGCGGGTAGATTTACACGCATGCGCCTTGAAAAGGTTTGCTTGACAAGCGTGAATGCTTATTTTGCTGTTTTCACGTGAACTGCTTCATTTTTCTTGATGAGTTTCGCATATCCTTGAGTTTCCAACGTCATTCGATTAAAAAATTATCGAATCAGTCCATGAAAATTGAAATAACCTGTTAGTCCTTGCGAGACCATTTCGATAGACGCATTCCCGTAAATCTACCCGCGTACAGCATTCGCCGGACTCCGACTATATTTGTTGTCAATATATTTTTTAGTTTTCGATGCTTTGTGATCATATTCATTATTTTTAACGATAAAATATGCTCCGCTGCTATTGAAGCAAATGGTATGGCGACTAAGTATTACGTCTAGCCATTTGAATTTATTAACCGATTTTTATGATTTTTTAAATTTCGATTTTTTTGCGATATATTTATATGTACTTGAAAAAGTTAATTTCCATAATATGAAATTGCTTTTAAAAATTTAAATCTATGAAAATGTAAGTGCTAAAAATTTCACCCCGATTGGATAATTCGTTCAAAAGTTATGAAGAAAATTTATTATTTCGTATCTTTTTCTGTGGTACTGTATATGTCGAAACAAGAACATTCATAAAATTTCATCTCCAAATCCGCAAACAGCTTCATATCAATCGCTTCTCTTTTAAAAATTTCTTCACTACTACTATTCAAGAAATCTGGTGTGGAGGTCATCAAAATAAGATAAGTGCCGTCAAAAAATGATGACAATTCTGACAACAAAGGAATAATGAAATGTGGCTACAGAAATATTTCATAGCTATAACCACGTATTTAGTATCTCTTATTTTTTCCACTCATTCTGGGAAATTTACTGGGGACCCATATGCCGAAAGGTATTATCGGAGCTTTATCAATAATCTCATACTTTGTAAAATAAAAAATCCTAATCGTATTTTTACGCATATGAAAACCGATGTGGTCGAATACGGCCGCAAGACAGATTGGCAGATTTGACAATACTGACTAAAAATATTGAATAATCTGCTCGGGAACGCCTTTTTTTAAATTTATAATTTACTTCAGTATATGCTCAATTTGAATTTCGTACTTGAAGCGGGAACACCGAACACTTATTGCCGGCGTATCCATGGACGACATGGCTTTGAATTGACAAGATGCGTCGGTCGCGCTCCCTTTCAAGCTCCATCAAAATTGCATTGGATGACATTTTCTGCAAAACAGAAATGATGAATAAGAGGAACAGACATTAATAATTATAAGAAAAAGATTGACACGAAAGAGTAGTGAAAACCTCGTGAAATACCATGAATGCATTGAAACGAGACACACGTGTAAACATTTCGGCCGTCGCCGACGACAATTGATAAGAAATGCCTTCTGCTGAGTGGAACGCCTGCGTGTTTTATTACTACATATTTGATTAATCTATTATTATTATTGTTCGCGCCGTGATTTACTTTATTAAAATATCGGATTTATTTTGGTTTCAGAATATATCGAAAGCACAGAAATTATATATATTGTATGGGACTTGTATAATTTTGAAAAAAGATTACATCGGAAAACGTTTAAGAGCGCAATGTAGCATATTACCATCGCAAAAACAAGAACCCTTCATATATTCTTGCGGAAATAATCCTCTCCCATAAAAAGAAAAAGATTGAGAAGATGTGCTTTAAGTGCACATAACTCACGGATTAAGAATGCAAAATTTCCGATAAGAAACTGCGAGATTCGAGCAAAATTGAACATCTTATTAACAAGGCCATATGAAATTGCTTTATACACTAATAAATAATTGCGGAGATTAGGCGACTGCAGGAAAATGAGAGAAATACTCGTAAAAAACTGCAAGTGATAAATATGGAACATATTCAAAAATTACAAAAAAATAAATAAATCGAGATCAAACTGTGCAAAAATATCATAAAGAATGAATGGGAATCGTTGATTTTATGACTGTGATGATGACGACCGCGAATGCTAGGCTTTGTTGGTTTCGGAGATGTAGATGATATATTCTGCTTTGTTTTCTGAATTATAATATGTAAAATAATGTGAATGCCGTTCAGCGACTGCTGTTGGCGGGACTATTCACATTGTGGTTTGCGTGCGTTCCTGTTTATTTTTTCTAAATTCTTCATACAAAACGTGAACGTGTTTGAAAAAGGTCTTCAAGCGAAAATTTTCGATAAGCGTTCTTTTTTGGAAAACACACTATAGGCCTCAAGCGCGTGTTGTTTTCAATTTTGCCGGTATATATATATATATATATGACATACCAATTATTCCCTTTTGTGGTTTTATAGAAGAAATAATATTACCGTAGTTCTCAGAACAGAAATTCCTTCGACAGAACAATCTCCAGGAAATTTATTCTGGCATTCAGAGTCTTTGCAAACACATCGGTGTACACTCGAATTATGAGGAAGTGTGTGAAAATCGCATCCTGAAATCGAGTTATTTCATAGAAAAACTGAACGAGCGAAAAAGAGCCATTATACCACTCAAATTCTCCTCGTCCGTATGACATCCGGAGAGAAAGAAATTGCCGTATGGTGAATACACGTGGGCTCGTAGGCAAACCTGAAGCAATTGCTATCAATCTGAAATGGAAAACATCCCTTAAAAATTTTAATTGAAATGTTAGAATGTTCAAACGGTATAAAATATACACATGAAGCAGAAACGAGGTTCTTTTTATAATAAAATCTTACAAGAAAACGTTAATAATAAACCAAAAACTGAAAAAAACTTTCAACTTCTCATTGATGTTTAAAGTTACACATGGAAAATACGGATATGAACACAAAAAATCGTACCTGTCCCTTGTCACACATTAATGGCGTTGCGTTACAGCACTTGTCTCTTGATAATCTAACAACCAATCTATTTTCCAAAAAATTCGGCTTTTGTAATAACGTACCTTATCAAATTCTCATATTTAGCCCCACCACATTGAAGACACATTAGGGAGTTGGTGGAACTTGGCGCAAAAATGAGCGTAATACCCAACAGGAGAAGCATTTTATTGGCTTTGTCTGAAATGAACGCGACTGGAACAACTATTATGACAAATCCTGTAATTTGAACGTCGATTTTGCGCGGAGATTGGCTGTCCAGGAAACCCGCACATAAAATTTCGCCACCCACATACAACGCCAATTTGAGAGAAACGTAAAAGATTTATAATAAGCTATGCGATGAGAAATGCAGCTGTTGAGATCCAAAAACGCTTCAACAAAAGCCGAAATAACTATACACTGACGATAACTTTTTTCACATGAACAAAATCGCGTGTGAAGTCACATTTAAAACACTAATATTTATGAAAAGTTTTAAACATCTTTAAGTCACCAATGAAATTTTGATTGATTTATTGACCTATTCATGCAACGAAAAAAATATAAAAATCATTTTTTTAAATTTGAATTCCGGGAGTTGGTGGAACTTGGCTGTGCACGTACGTCGAAAATTACAAAAAATTTACGCGATATATCGTAATTCTCCACTATTTATTTTCAAAGGCGCGCGCGAAAAGTTGCGCAGGTCACAACGCGAAGTCAGTACTGTATTTTTTATTTTTCATTTTGTGTGCTATTTTTCCGTATTTTTCAAAAACTTTGAAGATTAAAAAGAAAAAATTAAGGGGTATTCTGAAAGCAATTGCATACAAGGTTTTGATCACCAAAACTAAAAACGGAGAAGAAGTAACTAATCTAACTAATTCAATTGTGCCTTCATGTGTCCAGCCTAGTCTACTTATTACCTTCGGGGAGGGGGGGGGTGGTGGTGCAAGAAGCTCGTAAAGAAGTAAAAAATACGCAGTTTACGGAATAATACCCCTCCGGCAAGTAATAAAACCCACACTTTTTCGTTTCTCGCTCGTTCAGACAACAGTTGGCAAATCCACTTACTCAATATCAGCAATACGCTTTTTGATAGTCTCGATCCGCTCGCAAATTTCCACCATATCTTTGGAAACTCTCTGCAAAATTGGCAGGTAGGTCTCGGCGCGCCGGACCTGAAATATTGTATGAGTACTGAATTGAAATATGAGTATTTCAAGGCAACGACTATATGCAACAGGCACGGGGTCAATTTTTTGACAGCTGTGACACGTTCGAGAAGAATGTATCAACAATGTAAATAGACCAGCAATGTTATATCGAAACCGAGCCGCACAAGGGCCCTTTTCCAATTTTCCCTAGTCGCGCGACTTCGACAATACAACTATTCAAAAATATGACAGTTTAAAAACACATTAGTTATTATATATCGTTTCTTTAAAAAAAAAAGTTTGAATTTAAGAGTAAATGCATGAAAACAAGGAAAATACAGAAAAATGAAAACACACTCTCTTGGTAATTTGTCGTATCCGATTGGTAATTCTACGGATAAGATTGGTTTTTTGTCGAATTGTCGAATCCGATTCGAATTGAAATATTAAAACAAAACGGATTCGAACAATTACCAATCGGATTCGAAGAAAATCTAATCGTATACGACAACTTACCAATCGGATACGAAAATACCCAAAAAACCAATCGGATACGACAATTTTACAATCTTATTCGTAGAATTACCAATCGGATAAGATTGATTCTAGAGCCGAATTTTGTCGAATACGATTGGTTTTGAGTTACCAGAGCTTTCATTCTTTCTGCATTGACCCTTTACAAAACACAATCTATCACCAATTTTCAACAAATTAAGCTTGTGAAATTGAAAAAATATAGATTGTTTTATCAAATAAAAAAAATAATAAAACGTTCGCTTCCATTGATCAAATTTCCAATCTAAAATTGATGCATTTTCTCCTAAAAACGCTTTTAAATTATGTACGTTTATATGTTGAATTCATAGCATATTAAACATGGTCAAATCCCATTCAAGACAACATGAATGTTATGACACTCTCACTAAAGTATTATTTTATTAATACGATGGAATTTTTTAAGAATTAAAAATATGTTAACATGAAGCTTCGAATAGAATATAGTGACGTGAAACGAGAGAAAACATATGCAGTTGAATAATGTAACTCAATTTTTAGATCCGACAAAATGTACTTTTTAGTATTCAAGAAGCAAACAATAATATTGCAAAAACGATGAAACTTTGGTACCTAAAGTAAACCGCTGGCTTCATCCGAAAGTCGAATTAAATATAAAATTGTGAGCAAACAAAAACAATGAAAATTCGATCGGAATTTGCAGTGAAATGCGATCGCTTCGCTTCTTATGCAAAAGTAGAGGCAACGGCCACACCAAGCTTTTTGGTCGAGCGGATTAGAACACAAGAAGCGGAACACCAAATATATACAAATAAGAAATATAGGGGTCAAATGGACGTAGGAAAAGAACAATACGAGGTTCAAGTCTTCGTTTTTTTTTGGAATGCGTGTTAAACACAACAATACCCCCCCCCCCGATTTTAGGATATTCTTCTCTTTCTTTGGAGCCACCTTTTTCGAATTTCATTGAATGCGCAAATTGAATTACCTTATGGAATGAATAAATTTCTTACAAAGTGTGAAAAACGAAGAATTTTTGCAATGAACAAGATTTTACGAATATGTAATAATATTAAATGGCAATTACGTGTGTCGATGGTTCGAGTTCAAATTTGGAACTTTAGTGGCGATAAATTTTGGTGAAGATTTAATAATTTTGAAGCAAACTTTTTAGCTGTTTTCAGTCATGTCACGGCTCTGATACTGTCCAAATGAAAAAAATGCAGTGTGAGCGTATGAGTATATAATCATCTGCTAATAGAGTAGACCGAAGCTGGAAAAAGAGAGCTCCTTCGGAAGATCAGATTGAAATACGAACTGATCTTGCTCTTCGAGCTCTCTCGAGTTTAGTCCCTGGCAGCCCTCTTATTCACATAGGCAATCAACGAGTTGCAGGGAAAACCTTAGACATAAATGATCTTCAAATTTATGATACGATATTTAGTAACGGGCATTTGTGTGTAGCATTATCTAAAATAAATTATAGACAATATGACACAGGAAAAAGACGGCGTAGACTTTTTCTAGTTTAATATTAAAGAAATATTTAATATATAAAGTTAAGAATAGCCAAACGATAATAGCTGATCCCGACACTAACTTCTAACTCTTATGGATGCTTCTTATGAATATCTTTCACTAAAATTAAATTAAAAAAAAAAGAAGAACAAATTTAATAGCGAGTAAATATTTTTAAAACAATTGTGAACATTCGTTATTCCATTTGAACAATTCTCATGGGGATGTCGAAATTTACGATTAAAGTTCGTTAAAAAAACTTACAAAATCGTGTATATTCTCGAACTTTTTCTCAATTTTCGCATTACATTCTGAAATGCTTCTCTGCAATTCCTCCTGCGTTTTACTGAAATTATCAAATTTGAAAAATAATAAAAACAAGTTGACTAACAAAATTTCCTGAACAACATCGTCGATTTTTCTTGTTTCATCAATACCCCGCATTCTGGTTATTCGGATATGTTTTCTAAGGTTATTGAATAGAAACAGAAGTTAATAATACATGGCAATATAAACCGTAAAATAACACTTAAAACAACACCAACTATTCATAATAAACTTTATTTCTTTAATGCACCAAGGCTTCATATAATACTTATTTTCTGGAAATATCTTTCGACGGCTCTAAATCCGATTTCGAATTCTGTTTTCATTTTCCTCAAATTCTGGACAATTCAAAGTCTATCTACTCTAAAGATAATTTGATTGTCCTTTAATCTATAATGATGCCTTTAAAATTAGTAAAGCTTTATCTTTCAATTTCCGAACAACAACGATATATGCATTAGGGGAAATAGGAAGTGTAGTGAACTTCATCTACAAATGCAGATTTTAGTTCACGTAGTTCTCGGAAAACTTACTTGTTTTTCTCGTATTCTTTTTTTTCATTACTTGTTTTTCTCGTGTTCTTTTGGATAGTACTCAGTCTCGTTTCGAATGAAGAAGTCAACTCCTTTTCTGAAAGCTAACGATTTTCAATTTGAAAACTGAAAATAATTTTACTCTCTAATTTCATCAGGCGTTATTCCATGGGATTTTATATGAACTTTGACATTGTCTCTTCTCGCGATTGGCTTTCCGCATACTGAACATAAATACTTCTTAATTCCAGTGTGAACAACCCGGTGACGGCGGAGAGTAGATGAATCCGAGAATGCTCTTTTGCATGTTTCACACTAAACACAGGCTTGTGAAGACGTATACAAAATCGTTGGTAAAATAATTTTCTTGAAACGAATGTTGTTGAATAGTTTGGATATTGGTGATTTAATATTTGAAAAAAAATGAATTTGATAATTTCGACTTACTCGACCAAAAAAATGCCTTCGACCAGATTATTTTTTGTCAGTGATCAGCCAAAACGACAACACTGACAATACAGGGTGCGGCAAAATTACGGGTGCATCGATAAACCCAAATAACTTTTCAAAAAATCAACAAAACTTTTTCAAAATAATACCAAAAGTTATTCAACACATAACAATCACAAATTAATTATCGTTGTTCAATTCTTTCGCCTCAATTCTTGATAACTTACTTCAGACGCTTCGGATAGGCGTCGACGGTGGCATGCAGGTATTTGGCGTGTAATTTGTCCCATTGCTTCAGATGAGATTGGGACCAGGGAAGAAAATTCTTCTTTGGGATCTCATTAAGATAGTAATTTTGATCAATCTTCACTGTGGGTTCAGCGAAAATCAGTAGTGTCTAGGCCGTCAGCGCAGATTACACCAAATACCACGACCTGCTGAGGATGGGACACACGATGAATGGTTCTGCCTTTGTTCATAGCTTCCTCAGACCTTCTGGCGATCACTCTGTGGTTTTGGAGATTGAAAGCAGCTTCTACCGTAAACAGCTTCTCAACCATGACGAAATTCGTTAGACGTTTTCCACCTAGGAGCGATTTGCACTTTTTCATTCGACCTTCTTTATTTTTGTCAGTTAGAGTGGCGGCCTTTCTGACACGATAAGGTATCAGGTTCATCTCATCTTTGACTATTCTTCCCATCATCCCGTACTCACATGGACTTCTGACACCATATTTCTGATGCTACGATATGGATTTCGGCGAACTCGTTCCATGATGACCTTGACTCGCTCCGGTGTTATTGAAGAATGTTTTCTTCATCTTCTAGGACGGCTAGAGAGTCCTCCAATCTTATGAAAGCGTTTCCAAGTTGTTTGTACGGTGTTGCGGTGAACTCCAAAATTTTAGAAATCATCTTCACCGATGTTACCTTTTTCTCAAGTCAATGATATACGATGAATAGAATGAGCTGTCAATTTTGTAATACGAAACGGATTTTCATGAAACTTTCAGAAAATGATCAAAACATCATAGAAAATAAAATATAAAAAAACTGCATAAAAAATACGACAGTGCACTATGAGCTGGCGATAAGTGATGCACCAGTAATTTTGCCGCACCCTGTATATGTACATATATATATATATATATATAATTTACCGAATAGGGACGTTCACCAGTGTGGGTTCTCACATGTGAGCGCAAATAAGTTATTTTACCGCGTTTACCACATTTTGTACACGCATAAACACTGAAATTTAAATGAGCTTCAAAACATTATGTTGACAAACTTGTTTGTATGATTTTTCATATGGCGTATTATATCTGTATTTTTGTCTGTCTTCTCGTCAGGACAAGCAACACACAACTGTTTTTCCTGCATATAGGTTTATTTATATATTCAGAATCTTTCAAACAACGAACCTTGTCGACATGATTCTCAAGCAAGTGCTGCTCCAACGTATTAACATCGACAATATTTTGATTATCAGGACAAAGGTTACATATCGAAACCCTCACTATGTTAACAATCATGTTCGGTGTTCTTCCACGGCAATCATCATCATTAGCCGACCTAAATAAGGAAGCAGGAGCGTGCCTTATGACACCTATCGATTTTCCAGTATTCTTTGGAGTCTCAGATGTACTTGGTTTTTCCTAAAAACGTAATTCCACCTCTATTATAAAATGTTTAGTACAACAAACCTCGTCTACCTCGCAATCTGACATTATCACAACATCATCTGATTTCACCGCGTGTTTAGCAATTTCGCGCAAAAGAGATATTTCCTTTTCTTGATATTTACACTTCAATCGAAAACCATCGCATTCTTTCGTTTTTTCTTCAAGAAGCTTTGTCAACTCGGTGATTTTCGCTTCTAACTCCTCGTTGTACTGTTTCTCAGCGTAGACAGCTTGCTTCAAACGAATAATTTGCTCTTCAAGGCTCAATGGTGTTATCGGAATTTTTAGGATGGAATCTCCATTTGGCGAGTCAACAAGCAAATTAGTCTGATGATTCGTGGTTTCTATGCGCGTCCCTATAAACCTGAAATATATAAATATCAAAAAAGAAGATACAGATATTTCTTGCATTTGATCTGCGTTTTTCTTTGCGCTCACTTCAGCAAGTCTATAGTGCAAATTTGTGAAGATCTCTTGAGATACATCAGCTTTGAAATGCTGGGAAGTATCGTCCAATGACGAAATATGTATCTAAAAAATGGGTTTGTTTTCATAAATGGCGAATATTCCACATACTTGATCAATCCCACATGCAGTCTTGGTTGCGGCAATTTTAACTGCACAAAGTCTGCCATTAACAATACCTAGAGGATTGGTAAACAGAATTTTCATTATGATCTGAAATTAACTTCATTTATAAATTAATAGATACATTTAACTGAAAAATAAATATTATAATTAAAGAATAGAGGAATCGAAGAAACCTAGTTTAAATTCATCGGGCGAAACATGAATTTTAAAATTTTAGCTGATCAGCGAATCGGGGAAAAATATTACCGGGGGCAATATTTTTTGAAAAAACTGTGGGACACAACCGAAGGCAGTGATTCGTCTTATTAGTTTGACGAGAAACAACATTCTCAATAGAGCGCACTTTCTCCAATTGAACATGTATCTCTGCAATCTTTCCAACGCAAAAGATATCTCATGTTATTTAACAGGGAAGTAGGAAACTACATATTATTCGCAAAAAAAGTTCCTTGCGCCGAACTACGGTGTGTTAGCTTCTCAGGTATTTCAGAGTACGGTATCTGAATTCCCACTACTTAAATTTGAAATGAAATTATTTACCGTCTCGAAAATGTGTCCACAATTTTATAGTCGGCGTCCGGCGACGGCTGTACGCGGGTATATTTACACGCATGCGCCTTGAAAAGGTCTCGCCACGTGTGAACGCTTATTTTGCTGTATTCACGTGAACGATTAATTTTTTTTGATGAGTTTGGCATTTCATGAATTTTCTAACGTCATTCGACTTTTAAATTATCGAATCATACCATAAAGTCCGTGCGAGACACCGAAAAAGAAGCATCCCCGTAAATCTAACAAGTATTTTGCCACTTTTCGAAGGCGATCACATTTTCGAAATTTTCGCCGGAAATGTTAATAATAACAATCAGTGTGTACTCCTGGGACGAAATTTCCCGGGAATACCCGGGAAGTATTCATTTTAAGATTCCCGGTATTCTCGAAAATTTCGGGAATTTTCATCTCCACAAAATTCCCGAAAACTCCCGAAATTCCCGAAGACTCGATAACTTCCCGAGAGTCTTCGGGATTTTCCCGAGACTCCCCGGGTATTCGGCAAAGATTCCCTAAAATTTCTCGGGCGCCTTCGGGATTTTCTCAAGAATTTTCTACATTTCCCGGTAAAAAATCTGCTCGGGAAAATTCCGCATCTCATAATTCCCGGGACACACACACCGATAACAATAGTTTATTCACCATAAAACAACAATTATATTAATAAATTAAACCTCGGCAAACTCATCGGGCAAGACATGCAGGATTCACGGTTTCGCCACTTTGAAGAAAACAACTAATTTGTTCTGACTCGTTTTCCACTATTTACTTCCGTTTCTCCAAAGGCGAGACAACCACTGTTCCGTCCAATGAAATTGCCGAGACGTGTACAGGAACAAATATAAATATAAGAAATTGATGATGAACGTATATGTATTTATCCCAGTTTGAAGTGTTAACTGCTCGAATTTAGTTTCAATATCGTTCAGAGACGACCACACTTGCTAATTTTGACTATTTAAATTTGTCAAATTCGTCCATCTTTCAAAATATAGTATACAATAATGTACAAAAATTAAATATCGGTTGGCTGGAATAAAACCCGCTTTGTACCATCTCCAGATTGATAGGTTTCACGACGAAAAGGCGCGCAGATTGTTCGCTTTAAAATATTTCTGAATTCTTTCATTCTCATGAAGCAAAGCGGTTGAAGAAGTGAATGAAGCGACAAAATTCCATAGCAAATGTATTTCGTCAAAATAAAAAAGTTACTAGAGTGTGTAGAACCTCTGTAAAAATCGACGTTGCGAAAAATACCGCGTTTAGTATTAAAAATGCAACCTGGAAATATTATACAGCTGCATTCCTTGAATAATGGCGTATGTGGTGAGGTAAACCGAGTAAACCACAATCACACTTCCAATGATTATCACATATTTTCGGCGTCGAGCAATGCTCTTGTGATGAGAATGTTCTGAATATATGTATAATGCTACAGAAAAACCACAAAGATAACAAATTTCGGTAATGCCTTGAATTATCAAAAGCATACTAAGCCGAATTAGCATACGGTTTACCAACCTTCTTTAAGCAGGTCAACTTCTGCCTGAAATTTTGCATCCTTCTTTAATATTTTCGATATGACACTGAAAAAATTCTTTCGAAACTTCCTTTCCTTCGAAAACTCACTTAAATAGATACGCGTAGCATCCAGCGGTGATCGCCAATCCAATTAAACAAAATGCAATAACAAACAAGTGAAATACGAAATAGTGCGATAACGAGGCTGTTTGATGCCAAATGCAGTTTTCAACGTCCTCTTTTTCTGCGAAGAAATGATACAATGGAATTTTGTAGAACTAGCTCATTATACCGAGACATTCAGCATCGATCATCACACTTCTATGCCTTACGTTAGTGAGCATGTTGACTAGGGTGAGAATTGAAGCGAGAAGCCAACTTGAAACAATTGCTACAAGTATACGGGTCCTGCAGCAACATAAGGTTGGATGGGGAGAATCAGTTGAGATACCTTGTAACCAAAGTTGAATATCTCAACGGATAACAAATAAAAATGAACTCGTTCATAGTAATGAGGAGTACATTTAATATCGAAGTGAGATTTGTAAATCTGAGGAACGAATTCGAGGTACAAGTGAAGTTGCGATGGGAAAATCATCGTACCTTAACAGGACTCCACTATACTGGTCTACCTTGACCGTCCAAGACGATGAATCCATCGACATATTTGATGTGAGGAGTTTTAACGCGAAAAGAATAGAGCAGATACCTAGTATATGTGGTTCATTTGTAGGCTCTTGCAATTTTCTTACCTTTTATCGTATCGATTACGGTAAAGTTCAAAATAATCACGTAGAACACGTGGGAAAAAGTGTTCCGTCGCCGCAGAATAATGCAGGTGAAAATTACCGTGTTAATAATGATTGATAGCATTCCAAGGGCAATGTAACTGGTGCCAAATTGCCTTGCAATCCTTTCCCATTTCCAATTGGTCTCTAGAAAATGGTTTTTTGATTAGTCTAAAAAAACTTCTTACTGTTAATCTGCAGAAGCAGCGTCTCCTGTTCTGAAGCGGTATTTTTCTGGCTATTAAACCAATCTAACATCATTTGTTGTGTGATATTCATGCTTGGCTGATTCTGCATTTCCACGTGGGTTTTCAATTGTTTATGAGAAGGCTAGTTTCAAAAATTTGGGTAATTTGCATTTCTTTTTTGAAAAAAAAAAAACGAAAATAAAAACAAGAAAATATTTGAAAATAATCTGAAAAAAATGAAACGGACCACAATATGTTGTTGCGAATCAACAGAAAAAGGTAGTAATTTTTATAAACCCCATAAAAGCAACGGTTTGCATCCTTTTAATGGGGCGTGAAAGTGGAAAGACGCAAAAGCACATGCACACAAGAATAAAAGTTTAATTAAAGAGACAACATGGGCAAAATGAATGAAGAAAAAAAAACAATCTGAATAGAATAGGAAAACAAGCATTTAACTTTCTTGCGAGACTCAAAACAGAAAAATCCAATTTCAAATAGTTCCCGATTCCGGAAAGGTTCCACTCTAATTATATAAAGTAGTTTCGACTTATATAGCTTGTTGAGTCACGTGGTCGAGCCCGTCAATAATTATATATTATGCAAAGCGAAAAAATAGCTTCCTCTAGGTATACATGACCAATAATCGAAAAACGTCTCATATTTCGGCATCTACTGCCTTAGAGTACCGGCAAAAGTAAAAACAAATGAGCAATAAATTTTAAAACCCCAAAATTAAAATGAAACAGGTGAAACAATGGAGTTCGTTCATAAAAGCGAGAGTGTACTAAATTTGGAAATGGTGGCTATAATTAGAGATATTGAAATGATATCAATATAAATTAGAAAAAATTATCTAATTGTGACCTTCTTATTTATAATATCTCAATTTTTATTGCATTTTGAAGCTCCGCCCCCTTGTAGTGCTGTAGTACAATTTTCATTAAAAACTCATAAATCATGCATAAAATCGAATTAATATTTCTGTTTTCTCCATTTAAATTATTCTATAAACCTATAAAATCTTCACTGCGCTACGATTACGGTAGAATGGACCATAAAAATAATAAACAAACGGAAAATGGGAAAGGGTGAGAAACGAAATATTCGCGAAACGAGAGAGATTTTCAAATGATTATTAATGGGTCTCTTGGTTTTTTAAAATTCGCGTCGAGAATATAATAATTTAAAAAAAAATGAGCGCAAACTAAGAATGCATCGACTAAAATAATTAAATGATGAAAGCGTGGTAAGACGATGGAGCTACCGAGTTAATTGAAAAGTCACTCAGAGTCTTGGAAAAAGAAAGATTTGATAGACAATTCCACGAACGTAAAACATATAAAATGACAGACATGAAAAAGGCGTTAAGCAGATAACAATAACGATTTCCGAATAATTTTTCGTACCACCAAAGAAATATGTTTTATGTTTTAATGAAGAAGCAAGAACAGCTGAAAACGCCCACATGAAACCCATGATTTCTCCAAAAAAAACTTCCGAATTATATAAATCTGAAAATAATTTTTAAATTAGGCTTTTTTGAAAAAATATCGAGCCATTAACTTAAATTTTCTGCATTATTTATAGTAACTGGAAGATTATTATTGTTTCAGGCCAAATAAAAGAATACTGAGATGAGAAGTCACACTTTAGATTTTTCAAATCAGAATTTACTTTTCATAATTTACACACATACATTCTTCAGAATTTTGTTCGTTTTGGCGATAAAAGTTATAAACTTGCGCACATAGTTTTGTTGCTAACATTCTAAGAGTGAATATGTGATGCGAGGTTGCTTTAGGCGGAAACTTGAAACGAAGGAAGTTGAGGCACCCACAACAGGAAGTAACCTCACAGTTGAAAGGTTGACACATTGCTTTTGTATATTTCTACCGTAGAAAAATCTAATTTAAATAATACGTAGAAATTCTACGTATTATTTAAATTAGAAAAATCCGGGATGTTTTTTAAATGAAAGAAAGTGTTTGAGGAATAGAAATTATAATAAAACTGTTTAAAAATCCTAATCAAGCACAATATTCTGTTAAGCATTGAGTTTATAACATACGGATAGTGGATTCCAATAACAGATAGATAGAGAAAAAATTTTTCTTTTAGTAGGTCTTGTTCATTGAGTCAAATAAAATAAAAATAGAGGCCGTCCATTAGAGTTTTATTTGATTATGCTCTTCTTCTTTCTTTGTCTTTTCTTCCCTCATTTCATTCCGCAATTTTTTGATGGAAAAGAGGACTAATAGAGAGCTTTAAATTTATGTACATAAATGACACTTAGTTGTGAGTCTGAAGGGCGCAACACCAATTTGATAAATTGTGTCTGTTAAAAATAAATTCATGTTTCTTCTATTCCAAGAATTTCATTCCTTCTAGTTCGTGAAGGGTTTAATTGAGGATATATTTAAGAAATTCTAGTCAAACGCTTCACATGACGTATGAAGCTGTTTTCATGAATTTCATTAGAATTTTCGAAAATTTTCTTTTTTTGCAAACTATACAATTCTCCTACATTTCCAACCAATTTTTTTAAATGTTGAAATGTCTGTTTCACAAGGCTCGACCGAATCCTATTCATTCACATCCAAGATGTTTTTTTTTCACACCCAAGATGTCGCGTCACATAATGAGGCTTATGGCTTATGGCCGCCCTTCTTGAAAGAAGTTTGAAGCTTGCATTATAACATCAAAGTCAAGATGCAATCATTCTATCATTCTGTTTTGATACATCGAATATTAATAGCGGATAACAGTAATATTACGTATTTTCTTCCTTGAAACTGTAATCATATACACTTACATAATAACTATTTCGGAATTCTTAATCAAAATTGTATTGTTGGACTGTATTGAATTTATCAAAGTCAAATTTCAAGCATTCATATCTTTCGCTATTGAGTTGAGTTCAACATAAATTTCGTCAAGCCCACAATTATTATATTTATCAGAATTTATGTAGATAGTTATTGTTTCTAGAAGTCTAAATTGCTATGATTATGTTTTTTATTTTATCACAATTTGTTTCAAAATTTCAAGTAAATTCCATTACCATCCATTACCATTCGGGATATTACAACTCTTAAATTGTCTAGAAATAAAAGGAATTTGAATGATATTATTGCTTTCAAAGTTGAGTTGAAACAGAAGAAATACAAAATGAGTAGAAATATTTATACAACTATATTTATTCTTACATTATACAGATCTTCCCGGACATGGGCAATATCCAGCATCCTCTCCGTGTCCTCCTCGAGTTCCAGGCACTCCTGGGAGTCCATTCTTTCCTTTCTTTCCTGGTCTTCCGTTTTGTCCACGATGCCCTGGCTCTCCCATAGAACCATCTTTTCCATTTAATCCAGGTTTTCCTTGTTCTCCCGTGGGCCCAACTGGTCCTTGTGGTCCCTGACGTCCCGGAAGACCTGGGGTAGCAATAGTTCCCGGTAGTCCAGAAGGTCCGCGTTGGCCTTGCCTTCCTGGGGTTCCGCGTGGTCCTTTGTCTCCGCTCTCTCCAATAGGTCCTGGTGCTCCCTGCTCTCCCTGTGGACCACTTGGACCGTCGGGGCCCTTCTCTCCTTGTGGACCCAAAGGTCCCGGAGGACCTGGTGGCCCGGCAGGTCCAGCGGGGCACTTTATACATTGTTTGACATCCGGCTTCTCATGTTCGATCTCAAGTCCCGGCTCACCATCTCTTCCATCCTCGCCGTCAGGTCCTGGAATTCCGCGCTCCCCCGTAGATCCTTTATCTCCTGGTGGTCCTGGTGGACAATAATTAGCAGGTGGAGCACATTCTAGAAAACAATTTTTTTTAATATATAAGATTTGTAGTTAACTCACGACATTCGATACTCTTTTTGACACGCTTGAAGAGAATCATCACATTGGTCTGTTTCGGGGAACTACGAGAACTCATTTCGGTTAATCGCATCCAGGTGTCATCACTAACCTCCTACAACGTTATCATTAACAATTATTTTTAAATGAATAAATGAGTAGAAACTTTCTGAAGATTACTGAATCTGTATTAATAACGAAATTATCAAAGAATTTCAGTTTACAAGGCTAAAGAAAGTTTATTGTGTGAATGAAGTGTTTGAAGGAAACGAAGTAATATAGTCTGAATTGTTAGTACTATCTAATTTAAACATTCGTATGCGCATCAGAAGCTGGTCATACCATAAGTGTTAATATAATAAATTCGACTAACAAAATATGGACTGCGGAATGCATCTTCTTTGAAGCAGACATTACCTTCCAATCGTTGAACTCGGCCTTCAATTCACTGTTGAACGAATTGAGCTCATTGTAAAAGGTCCACGACCAATAGAGAGTGGTGAACGCTGCGAGAAAAGCGGTAGTGGAAACGCCGGCAATCAGAAAATGCCACATCTTTCGAATACATCGAATTGAATCGCCGTTATAAGTAGCGGCAAAATTGTTGGAAAAAACTCACCGCGCTGCTTTTTTCTCACAGAAGGAGTTCGCTAGCTATGCTGAACTGGCTAAAACTAGAAACCCCATTAAGAAATGTACATAAATGCAATAAAGAAACATGAAACAAAATATTAAAAAAGTGAAAATAGCGGAAAGTTTGTTGAAATTGAGAGAAATGTATATTTAAAACGAACAATACTTATTTACCCAATCAATCCCCAAGTTTTTAAAATTACTTTAGAAATTGAAAAAAAAATTATCTAACATTTTTTTGCCAATCTTAAGAAAATGTCATTCCTTCGAATTTGTACAGCAAAGATCATAATTGAAATTGTTGCCCGCGCTGATTTGATACTTGCTGTGTAGTCTCTTTACATTCTATTTTTTCGCCATTGTCCCGTGTGTGGTTTTTACACTTAATACGCAGGCATTCCGACAAATTGTTGCTTTTGTACCACACGATACCGTTTTATTATTTTTTTATCTTTCAGATACAATCATGATATATTTTGACGATGTACCAATGAAAGAATATTTCACAAATATCTTTTCTTTTAATTCCGATCATGCTAAAGACAATCCAAAATTCCAATGTCTATTAGGAAACTGCCATGTTGTGGTGAACAGTTTTAAAAAATTATTTAAAAAAATTTAAACTTTAGACTGCTTCAAAAATTCTGCTAATTTTTGAGGTCTTCGTGATCACACCTCTCTACATGCTTTTTCTCTTTCCATGGTGGTTTATATGGATTGGTAGCATAGTAAATATGTAGATTCAATAGTATATTTAAGATTACAGGAGCACATTTCGCATTAATTCTAATCACATTGTACGCGTTGCGTAAACAGAAACACAGATTCATGTATCCCATGGTATTGACAGCGGTAAGGATATATATATAATAATTTTTTCTGAATAATTGTTGTTTTTGATTAAGAATCCGCGAAGAATAAATTAAAATTACAGGCCTTCCACTTCCTTCTCTGGGGCTTTATTTCAGAGCTTCAGCTAATGGTAGCAATATTCGATACCCAAGCGTTTTTGCGATTTTACCAACAGGACTATCACGAAGATTTCTTCGTCAAAGTCGCTGTGATGGTCATCGTGAAGGTCTGTATTATAAGCCACTCACAAAAAATGTGTAAAAAACCGTACCTCTTAAACAATATCCTATGGAATCATAGAATTTGTTTCACCTTACAATAATTTGACAGTTATCGAAAATAAGCCCTTATGAATATTGTAGGATTTTTAAAAAACATTTTCTATCGACTATTAAAAACAAACTTATACAATTGTGTTCAACTTAACATCTCACTTCTTAAATACCGGCGGTTTCACACGAAAACAACAATCTGAAAACAGGAAATTCTTTGAACATGTGAGAATAATGAAATTTCTAGGCGATCATCCTTCTAATAACCGCTCTTCTGTTCTGGCGTTTTGCAATTTTCAACTCTACCAAAAACTACTTCGCTTCTAAATTGGAGGGAGAAGTAAGATATATGCGCATAAAATTTTTGAAGCAGTCAATTTCAGGTCACGACCACCGAGGAAAGCAAAAGCACCACACGAAAGCTTCTTCAACCAGTCTAAACATTAAATTTTGAAAAAAGGTCACTGTGAATATTAATAAATAAATCACGCATTCTTATTCATTTTCGGAAAAAATGAAAAACGAAGGAAACGATGTTACATTCATGATCAATGTGTAAACACGATTACTTTAAATTTATCAAAATTGCTTCAAAATTTTCAGATTAGCTCGAGATAATAATGAAACAATATTCATAATATTCTTTACAGTTATTTTATTCATGGCTACTTATCTCTTAGGTCTTATAACGCTTAAACCGGTACCAATGTCAAAAACTAGAAATCTAAAGATTAATTTCAGATTCATGATCTTCTGGAGCAAAATGTGATAGTTCTCAATTTAAAAAAATCAGAGAACTTGGATGATAACGCGAAACTCGTTAGTAGGGAGCCAACAAAATTTTAATAAAGTTTATTTTTGTTTTTCACGAAAATATTACTTTGCATTTAAAAAACGCGGGTGTGTCAGGCTCTACTCTGCATAATCGATTTCTCGGTACTATTCCCAATTTCTTCAAAGCTATTGCCGCCCGAACTTCTGAATCGATATCCGGAATCAATACATGTAATCTAGAAATTTAAGAATTTATTAAAATTTTTTAATTTTGTACTATACTTGGATGATTCATTTAAATCTGCTCCTGTATCGGTTTTATCTTTCATAAATTCAACCTTGGCGCGCATCAATCGATCAACTTTTGTAGTCAGAACCTTGTCAATATTATTCTCCTTTTGCGCTGAAATAATTGCGTTTAGAAATTTTGTCTTACAATGTCTTGTTAGAGTGAGCATTTTTAGGACTCCTCAAGAAATGAGGTGGAATGTTTGGATAGTAGTCGAAAAAAACCACAAAATCGGGAATATATGGGCCGAACCGCAACGGATCTGAGTGCATAGGGTATTCACAAAGAGACTAGGAATTATAATTTAATAGTTTTTCTTATCACTGATACGTTCGTAGGAGAAGAAAGGAAATTAAGAATACATACCTCCATTTGCTGTTGACTTCAGAAGCGCGTCCAACTTATTTACATTCTTCTGTTTTTGCGGGAAATTTCTCATACCTCTCTAAAAAATTATTATTATTGCGACGGTTTATATAGTCTGTTTCTGAAAAGGCTAAAATATATCATCAGACTGGTACGATTGCGATTTCACCATGCACGACAAAAAAATTTGTACTACTGTTTTATCATACCCAATGGATTTTCAAAAATTAAAAAAAATCAATCATTTTTTAAAGACATGATTGATATAGTTATCGTCGGCGTTAAATGACTGAAAGAAATTCAAACATTTATTGGCTATGTGCTAATGGTTACCGAGGCAGCGAGAAGTACGCGAGGCTGCGTACATTGCGTCATAACGTACGCGCATATATATATTGTTGAGAAATGACAAATAATGACAAAAATGTACGCATTGCGATGAGCCAGTTACCGTAATAAGGTGCAACATTTCGTTTACTAACCTTATACATTGCAATATTTGAAACAATCTAGTATTGAGAAATCGGTAGTGCAAAATCGATAGTGGAGAAAAGGTAGTCAGGTAATATTAATCGGTATGGAAGCGGAAAACCGTTTATGACGAGCATTATCGTTTATGACGAAATTGCAATAGAATTTGGCCGCGTTTTAAGAGCATTGCGGTTTATTATTTTATTTTTTTCTTACACATACTTGGTCACATTTCATCAAAAACAAAAAATGGTCTTCAACCAAATATCAGTCATAGTTCATTCCCAACATGTGAAGAATTTATTTCGCATAACATGTTTTTAAAATTCTGATGAGTTAATTGTGAAATAATTTCAGTAATTTACTTCCGGTTTTCAGTTTGCTTAATGATGGTGTTTTGTGCAGTTGCTGTACTTGAGGGTTCTTTGTTGCTGAGGTTTTGGCACGGACTTGTGATGAGCGAGAAGATGATCGTAATGCAGAAAATGCACCCTTTCCTGCTAGCAATTTAATAAATATCATTTTAAAAAATAATCTTACTTGGAGTAATAATTTCTGAATCAGACGAGCACTGTCGTGGAGATGGGCTTCGTGCACCAGTTATAATGTTCTAAATTTCAATTTTATCAAATTTTTTTAAAATTATATTTTTGACAATTTAAATTGTTAAACTTGTTTGAACTTTTGATCTTTGTTAAAATTGAACATATTTTTGCATTCGACCCAATGAAACCGCCCCCCCCCCGCCTATATTCAGCAGTGCTCGACGATAATTCACCTGGAATGTGGTATGAAGGGTCTGAGTGAATTGTCGAATATCGTTTGCGGTTGAACATTCAGAGAAGCATGCTTTATATTGAACTGCTAGACGTTCACCTTCGGCTTCGGATACTTGTCTGACATGAATTCTCTTGAAAGTATAATCGACTTTCAGTTATCTTACCTATATCTCTCCAAATCATTTTTATTTCCAACCAACAGCGTGCGGTGTTCTCTAGCACACAACACATGTTCATGTCTTGAAATTCTTTCTAGTAAACCTTCGGCATATCTAAATGAAACAGTATTAGAAAAATTCCGACTGTCACTTACTGAAAAGATAATTGACTTGTAACATCGTATATAACAACATAAATGTCTGCCCAGGTAATCCATCTGATAAAAAAATTATTATAAATGCATAAAAATATTTTGCAAAAATTTCACTGGACTTCCTTCACAAAAAACCGAGCACCTGAAACAATTATGCATTTTTCGAGGCGGCAATTTCAAAATTCGATTTAATCAGTAGGGATTCGGCGACGGATAACCTGTGAATCAAACATGCGGTAAATATCCGCGTTGTGCTCGTTTTTTTGCGATTGAATTAAGATAATGTGCAGATGTTTAAAGGATTAAATTAATACCTCATTTCATCTCTCGCCGCATTTTCCACAGTATCCATTATCCAGACCATCACGCAATGACCCGCGATAGTTTCCTGACGACAATATGTGTCTTCTAAAATTAAAAAAAAACCTGGTAAATCAAAACCAATCGGATACGACCAAATTCGGCTTCGTAAGAAACCCGATCCGATTTGTTTTTTCGATATATTGAAGACGTCAAATCTTTTATTGAAATTGTAAAGTTACTCACTGACTAACTGAGAAATAAATGAGTGTACGCTAAAATGCATAGTACACAGACACGCGCTTTGTCTCGGGACAAATAGTCAAAAATTTTTTATTACGCAAAAAAAAAGAAAAGTTTACACAATAACTAACGTTGATTACCTAAAGTTGAATCATATTCTGCAATAAATCTCTTTGTTATATATTTTACGGCAATCGCTAAAATTAAAGAAATATATTTAAGCCACAAAAAAAAAATTTTCTACCCGATTTCCCGCTTCCACTCATTCCAACTAATGCAACATGAAATTCTTTCAACGGTGTATTGTTTCGCATTCTCAAACCAAGCGAAACTGTTGAAGGCGTAATTACTGGAATTAAGGTATATATATATATATGTATATAGACTTTTCTGGAAAAAAAAGAACGGCTTGCAGTCAATGAAATTATACGGTTTAGTAATATTAAAATATTTATATTTCATAAAACTTATTGAAACTGGAAAAAATTGACGAATGTTAAGAAAACCTTATAAGATTTACGAAATATTTCAACGAAAGAAATAGCATTTAATTAGATGTCGATAATAAGTGATTGCATCTTCAACTAATGCAAAATGTATTAAATAGTAGGTGATCGGAACTCTTACACTATGCGAAACAGTTGTTCGCATCGATCGATTTCTTTGGATGAATGGCGAAAAGCTTCTTATCCTTTGAGACTATAATTAGTGGATCGACAGGATGGTAAAACAGGGTTTTCTTAAAATATTTCGATAACGTCAAATAAAATCCTTAGATAATTCCTTACTACATGTTTTGGAGCATCCAGCGACATGGTGAAAAGAAATCGCTTGGAATACCGACTATAATAATCTGTGGGAAGAAAAGTAGTTCCAGTTTCATAATCTTGCATCTTTGGGAATGCCAAGTTATCATAAAAAAATAAGGATTTTAAAAGAATATCATCTCGGCATGTTATAAATAAGGTATTATCCCAGTATGGCGATAGCACATTGTCCTGAAAGAGAAAAAAAAAATGATATTTTCAAATTTATATTTCTTACAGGAATTTTCGAAAAATAAATAATGTTTCGGAGCAAATTGAGAAAATAGAACTCGCAAACTGTAGGGGATCCTTCTTTAATAGATTCGAACTTTAAATGTAGTTTTAAAACTTATATACCTTCACATTTTCCAATTATAGCGTTACAATGGTCCATAAAAATTTGATTATGGTGAACGGCCATTGGTGATTCATTGAGATAAGTGAACATGGGTGGTAAAATATCGTCCACGATTTGTTTAAAGTAGTGTCCAAAGCTATGATCAAACTGCAACATTATTTTCAATGAAAAAATAAAAATTAAATAAGTTTCTAGAAACTGTCCAAAAAAAATACTCAAAAAACACCTATCTCATTCGAATTTTCTTCAGTCGCTTTTTCGCAGCAAAGTTAAATTTTTAAAACAATTTTGTAATCTAGTTTCACACTAATATTGAACAAATAATTAATTCCATATAAGCAGTTTCAACGGCTTATCGAGTTTGGAAGGGTTTCTTTAATTCCTGGTATTCTCCTTAAACGCCGCTCTTTCTTCAAAACTTTTCTTATCTCAATAAAAATATAAATGTCATAGTCAAAAATAAATCGAGTTGTATAAAAACCACTATAGTTTGTACGATACAATTCGAATAATAAATGATACGCCGTAGTATATCGTTTCCCCGCTTTGTCTACATTTTCATTGCATATTATTTATTCTATTCAACAGTCACTGACGTCGATAACGAATACTAGAAGAAAAAAAAAACGCTTTTTTGTATTAATCGAGGAGCTCTTCAATTAATCTTCATTAATTTACATGTTATTCAAAATTTAATCAGCTTAACGTTTTTGTCAGTTCCCTACGTAGACACATGTTTTACATATACATAAAATCTTCCAACATTTACCTTATCTATGGCTTCTACAACTTTTCCATTGTACCAGTTGAAAATTACCACCAATGTTCTGTCGGAAATTTTTGGCCTTGCCTCATCAGAATCATGAACCGCTGAATGATCAGATGGTCTTCTTGAAGCTGAAAATGTTAAACAAAAACCATTGAATTTTCAATCAAATATACACAGAAGAACTTACGGAAAGTTATATAGATAAGCATATTTTTCTCTGACATTAGTGCCACTTTCTCTACATTAAAATTATCCTTGCTAAATTATTTTTAAATTAACGACTTTAGGTAGGATACTTACTACATTAAATAGTTTGATATAAAATCAAATTCTGCAGACGTTTGTTTAGCCCTTTTGAAAAGGAAAGCGTATATCTTTTGTTGAACGTCCGGAAACATAAGCATCTGTGTATTTTCCACCGAGAAATGATTTCTGCAACCTTAACAAATAACCAGATTTCGTCACAGTTTGACTAGCCTAATACGCAAATCCAACTTGGTAATAAACGAATACTCGAAAAGAAGTTTCAATTCACCGGCTCCATTTATTTGGTATCCGATAAATCTCTGAGCAAAATTTAAAAAAAATTACATCAGAAATCCTTACATTGTAAACAACGAAAAGTATATTGCCTTCACGGAAGGAAATATCGTTTGGAAATCGTGATAAAACCTGCTTAGTTGCAACTATGCCGGTATGTAATTCAACAATAACAAGATAAAGCAGATTAGTTGGAGGGTTTGTTGTAATTTGAATCTAAAACGCGAACCAAAGTTTTATTTTCGACGATCATCATACCGGGTCAAAAGGTTTCTCGTAGAACAATACCACGACATATTTTCCGTCGTCCGTGAAATACAACTTGTGTATTTTCGCAGAGCACTCTATAGGTGGCGAAATGGATTCCCAAGGTTTTAATTCTACAGAACGACTTAGAATAAACAAATTCTGAAAAAAAAGTGCTAAAAATATAAATACATATAAAACTCACGTCAAATCTGAGACTTTCAGAGTTGAAAGTATTATTAATCCCTTCGTACAAATGTATCCTGAGTATCTGAAAAACATTGAAAATGGATGCGTTTGAATTTTACCTCACTGAATGAGTATCGTTAAAAGTTACAAAATAACGACCCGTTGACGAAAATCCATATATTGAATCATGGTCGTAATTTGTATCAGGAATGAAAATCTGAAAATCATCCCTCGGTTACAACGATTTTAATTAAGCAGTATACCTCGTTCCAACCGTCAAGATGAATAGAAGTATAGAAGTTCCTATAACTGCGAAAACCTCTTCTTGATTTTCCGGCTTAAAAATACTCTTAAAACATTTATAAGCGATCTCAAAACAGGGAGGCGAAACTATTATACATATATTTACAATCACAAAATAAATGTGTTCCTTTGGTATTTAGGGATCAGAATATATTTTCCCCAGAAAATCCGCCGGTGAAAAATGTTTCAGAGGGCCTGGGATAATGAGAGACGGAGGCATTTTGTTTCTGGCGTTTCATAGAAACTATTTTACCCCAACCTGTTTACATTTCTTTATCTTACATTAGCGAGAATTTAATGCATATATTTGTGCACGTGGATTTCATATCGTTTTCGTTACAGTCAACACGAGAAGAATAAAAAATAAAAACAATTTGAACTTTTCTTTGTCATGTAGATAGAAAATTGGCAAATATGATTTACATCGTCTATACTGATCACCAGACTCCCTGCTTAGCAACATGCACATCAATGAATCCCTGAAAGAGAAAGTAAGTTTATCATACATGCAATGGTATAATAATAGTATTTTCATTACAATCGCAAAAAAAACAATGTTCCGATTTACGGCAATTATAATTCGATGAATCCTCACTAAATCGAAACTTGAATCACCTACCCGCGGTCGTATGCACAATACGACTGCGAGAAGTGGTTACTTTTGAACATACGGTTTAATCGCATTGTGCATACGACCCCCTAAAAATACGATGGTCCACCTTTTCATCGTGCTCGTATTTTTTTCCGATGCTGATAACCAAAGTGTTTACTCGGTGAAAATCAATTTGACGGTATATATTATCGGAGTCAAACGACTTGACGAAATTTAAAAAATTATTGGCTTTGGGCCAATACGTCTCGAGGCAGCGAGAAATATGCGAGTCTGCGTACATTGCATTATAGCGTACGCGCATTTAATATTCAGTCAACAATAAATTTAAATCTATACACTGATTTCGGTAATTAGAAAGTTAAACCTCCTTTTAGTTGTTCGACGCCGACAATATATATTTATATTTATCAAGACTGGACACGGTTACTGTTAATATACGCAAACACGGTGTCGTCAATCTGTACATTTGTCGTCACTGTCCACGTCAATAATCGGACATAATATCAAAAATATTTCATCGCTCAGTAACTCGTGTCATACAAAATGATCATAAGATTTCTGACGTTTGTGGTTCTAACCCAAGGTGCTTAATCTATTTAAATAAATAAATAGATATATTTTTCAGTTAATTATTCTTGGAGCAGTCCAGAAGATGTCAAAAATGATATTTCAAGAGCCGGCGAATTACTATCAAAAGTAAAATACGTTGTAAACGTTAATTTATTTCATATTTAGGGTAAATATTTCGATGCGCTTTCTTATTATCACAAGGTAATCGACATGGATCCGACAAATTATCAAGCAATTTTTCGACGAGCAACAACTTATCTGGCAATGGGACGGGCGGAAAAAGCTCTAGCTGATTTCAACAAAGTATTGGAATTGAAATCAGACTTTTACGGAGTAAAATTCCTCTACATTTCAAAATAAATATAATTTTTAGGCAAGAAATCATAAAGCCAATATTTTATTGAAGCAGGGCAAATTGAAAGAAGCCAGACTGGAATACGTATTTTAACATTTTGTAAAATCCGTGTACGTGGTTCCAATTTTCAGCAAAAACTTCCTGAAACTAAAGAAGTTCTCGCCAAAATCAGTTTATTGTCAGAACTTGAAGAGATCAGGCATACTATAAAATACGCATTCGAACATGAAAACTGCGATGATGTTGAAGAAAGTGTCGGATCTCTTCTTGAGGTTCACCATTAAAATTTTTTCACCATTAATTTTTCTGTTTAGAAAATACCATGGGACCCATCACTTTATCAAATTCGCGCTGTGTGTAGAAAAATTCGTAAAGAATTTGGAAAAGTGAAAAATGAAGACGTGATTTAATTTCAAGCAATTTTTTCAGGCTATTCATGATCTTAAAATCGCGTCGAAATTAGTTTCGGATAGTACAACATTCATGCTCGAAGCATCCAAAATACAATATCAACTCGGAGATTTCAAAGACGCTTTGAACTCACTTCGAGAATGTTTACGCTTCGATCCAGATCACGAAAAATGTTACTCGCTTTATAAAAAATTAAAAAAATTTAACAAATCTTTGGGTAAATCTATATTCGTTTATTTCTAAGAATGTTACGATGTTTCAGTTTCTATTGAAAAAGTAGTTGCTGCTTCGGAATGGTTAAGATGTATCCAAATAGCAGAATCACTGGAGAGAAAGACAGATGAAGAACCGATTCTATTCAATATTCGCCGATTTACTTGCAAGTGCTATCGTGAAAATGGGAATTTAACAAGCGCTATCGATTCTTGTACAAAAGCACTTGAGAAAAATTCCAATGATGTTGAACTACTTCTAGAACGGGCAGATGCCTATGTAGTCGAAGAAAATTACGACGCTGGTAATATGTTTTAAAACTGCTATCTTTATGAAATATTTTCAGCCATTGCTGATTTCAAAAAGGTAAAATCCCTTGATCCCGAGAACGATAAGGCTCACGTAGGCGAGAAAAACGCGCAGAGACTAAAAAATAACAAGGGTAAACGCGATTATTACAAAATACTTGGAGTTAAACGGAACGCTGCCAAGCGAGAAATTACGAAAGCCTACAGAAAGCTGGCTCAAAAATGGCATCCCGACAATTTTCCAAATGATATTGAGAAGAAGAAAGCAGAAAAGAAGTTTATCGATATTGCAGCAGCGAAGGAAATATTGACAAACGACGGTAGATTTAAATATTTGAACAAAAAACAAAGAAAATTTTCAGAGAAGCGAAGACTGTTTGATTCAGGAATCGATCCATTAGATTCTGACGCAGCACGTGAAAATCACAATCACGGATTTAACGGGTATCATTTTAAAAGCTTCATTCCAATTTTTCGATTTTTGCAGGTTCCATGGTTTTAATCCTTTTGAAGGAGAAAATGGAAACTTTAAATTCTTCTATTCAAACTATTAATTATAATTAGTTTATCGTTTTGATTGTCATATTATTTCTTGTTATTCAATGAATACTGGTCTTACCTTGCACCACGGTCGATACCTTTTTGTCTTTTCATTTCCATCTGTCAAGGAATATAGGTTTAAAAAATTGCTATGGTATAGATAATACTAACCCAAGGAGAATGGATTTCATGTTACAGAGTAACGCAAGTTTCGATAAAAAAATTTATTTCTTTTTTACAATAAAATTCAACCGTTGATGAGCTAAAAGAAATATTTGCATACTATAATTTGCTCGTATCTATTTATTGCTAAATGATTATCGCCCTAGTTAATTCTGTTCCAGGAAAAATGATCCGGCTTGTAATGTCCCGGCTCTGGATGATTTTCGAGATATGGCGAGTCGATTTTGCCCTCGACAAATAGTTTTCGGCGCTGGGCGCTGATCGCTTCTGCGCGCTGCAATTTAATATAATTGAGATTGATTAGTGGATTATTGAATTAATTTTTTTAACGGAAAATATGATTCTAAACCTTTTTCTGCTTGTCGCCGGTCAAGCACTCATTATAATCTCTATGCTCCAAATCGCAATATTTGCGTCCCAATTTTGCTCCGTATGCTTCCATGCAGCGATAGAATTGCGACTCGAAGAATCCGCAAAGGCGACCTTTATATCAATATTAATTGAAGCGTTTCAAAAATAAAAACCTTGCTGCGAAAGCGGAAGCGCGAGCGTGTCGGAAAGCGGCGTTTTTACTATAGGCGAAAGAGTTTGAAAATTCTCCGGAACGCGGTTTCCAGTAGCCATCTTCTGAAAATTCATTGATTTGATATCTAAGAGAAATATCAAAGACGCTTTCAAAATTCACTTTTCCCCAGTGGATAATTAAATTTATTTTGGCTTCTTCAATGCGGAAGCCGTACACTCGAAGCAGAATGAAAAAATCGATAAAACATAGCGTGGAATAAAGGATGCAAGAGAGATAGCACAACCATCGTTTAGTTTTAATCCTCGAGAATTTTTCGTTTTATTCAATCTTGCTTTCACGCTGACAACAATGGATGCCGTATACAATTTCGTAGAGTGTAAGTTCGTGTGGAAGAAAGTTTGTGCGGGAGAATCGGCAGAAAAAAAACAGTTACTTGTTTCAAATGCGAAAAACACGGCCGTTTCTCCCGCAGAGATCGCCAAGCCCGAAAAATTTGCAAAAATAGAAAAATGAATGTCGCCATATTGAACTTTAAACAGTCTTGAAAATGAAAACCAAAGTTTTTATTTTTATAATACTGTCAGCAGAAAAACGAATACAATTGTGGATCATCGTATTTTCCCGGCGATAATTTTAGATTTAAATTTAAATAGTAGGAATTCGACGAAGAGGGTGCGACTTTTGCGAGTGTAACAAATAAAGTTTTTCTACATTTAATATTTCAGTGATACACGTTTTCATCCCGCTAGTTGCTATAATGGTATTCGTGGGAGTCTTATTCTATCACATGCGCGAATACAACTCACGTAAGTCACTTAATTTAATTCGGATGAGATCATCCGGTTAATGAAATTGTTTTTTTTAATGATTTTCTTCCTGATTGTCCCAAAAATTTTTATGGATAGATGAATCAAACAGTTCGCGTTAAGAGGTTTCGCTTTTTCAACTTCGCAATAAAATATAAAAAATTGGCTAAAACCAAAAAATAAACTAATGCAAAATTCTAAATTTTAAACTTTTTATAAGCATTAGAATGTATTTATGGTTGGGAAGGTGTATATATGATGGCAAAAAACAAAGAAGAATCATTGTTAATATCATAAATTTCAGTGGAAATTACCAATAATGAAGCGAGCAGCAACACAACTGGAAAAGCGGAGAATGCAGAAAAAAAGGAGGAATAATCGAAATTAATTTGCAAGAGAGAGAGAGAGAGAGAGCGAGAGAGAAAGAGAAAGAGAGAGAGAGAGATGTTAAAAAATCATTACATTTATATAAATAATGAATTATGCTCAACACAAACGAAAACGACTAGCAATCGACAAAATGCTTCAAAATTGAATGTTATATTTAAAACATCTTCGTACTAACATATATGTTATATCATTAATAAAAATTCTGAAATTTGGTTCAAAATAGAAAGATCAATAAGACTCAGATTGCACAAAAAATAAATAAGAGCGGGTGTTTATGTAGCAAGTTTCGGCATGTCGATCGTATTCTTCACAAACTCGGCGAATTCCCTTTGATCGTCGTGGTGATTAGAGTATGCCGTAAAGAATGGATCCATCGTTAATGTCTTCAAATTCGCACGTTCACTGGGAAGCTTCTTCAAACATTTCGACACAAATCCAATAACTTCGTCACTAAAAACTGATGTGACAAAATAAAATCGAAACTTATTACCTATAAAACTGTTTAGGCAAAACCGGGGGCTCGCCATTTACAATGTAGTCGAGCATTTCAAAAACTGCCATGTTTGCCGGATTACTAATAACTGTATTAGGGTCCTGAAACCAATATGTAGATATGTTGCAAAATTTTATGAACAAACCTCCTCAAAATCACCCATGTCGATCTGACTTTCTGGAACATTGAATAATTGTGCATATTCGGCTTTAGTTGGGGATGGAACAGGATACCTGCCAGTAATCATTATATTTTTACATTAATAACAATCGACGTCGAGCGACTGAGGAAATTTAATAATACTAAAAAATTAAGGAAGTCTTGTTAGTCCAAAAATCGATTAAAAGTTCATAATGCCGAGAATTAGTTTGCTCTAGTGGTGACTGACTCTGGTATTCGCTTTTTCTTCGAAAATATACAAAAAACCATTTATTTTGCGGCAAGACCCATGCCATGTTTTGCATACAGCTCATTTTCCGTTGCGCCACACTGCCAAAATTAATTGAATTTAACCTTCCAATAAGAAGTTCGACAAGTGACAATCCAAACGACCATATATCTGATGAGATCGTGTAATGAGATCCAGTCAATCGCTCAGGCTAAATATCTTTTTATGGAAGAATTCAGATCAAACCATTGAAAAAAAATTAGAAATGAGCCTAACATACCGCCATATAGCTCCTTGTTCCTACAAACGAGTTGGCCATCGAATCTATCAACATTCCAGAAACCCCAAAATCGCACAGTTTAATTTCCCCATTACTGTTGACAAGCATATTGGATGGTTTAACATCTGAAAAAATAAAATGATTGATTATATATATATACTTTTCGACGGTTAAAAAACCTCGATGCAGAATTTTAAGTTCATCTTTGAGATATTGTAGGCCGCGGACTACTGCCACCGAAATTCGACCAACATATTGCTCGGGGAGGCGACCAACCTTTAAGAAAAATGTTATAATCGAAAGTTTCTTCATTCTCTTCAACTTTCTATACATCGTTATGAAAATGAAACACAAATTTCTTCACATGGCAAATGAATGAGAAACAACGGAGAACACATCAGACGCAGAGAGTGCGCGGGAAGCCGTTTCGTTCCACCTTCGCGATCGCATAAAAGCCGCGCGAAAGCATACCGGTAGCATGAAAATGGCAGAAACATCTTCACAACCAATTCGCCTTTTTCGGCTTTTTAACTTTTCAAATACAAACATTCTCTTATTTTCAGACATGAATGTGAAGAGAAATGGATCCTTAAGAAGTGTTGCGTTCGTGGCCGTGACGTTCTCAACAGTTGCTGTAACTGCAGTGCTCATCGCATTCCCTCTTGTTTTTCATTATGTTCAGACACTACAAGCTTCCGTTCAAGTAATTTTAAATTATTTGAAATATTAAAGAAAATCCGTTTAGGGAGAGGTGGAATATTGCAAATCTCGATCCAGAGATATGTGGCGAGAGATGGTTGAAGTGGCACCAGAAGGACCAGACGATCCATTAGACATTCTTCTTCGTGCAACTCGTCAGTCCGAAGCCCAGTGTTGCACTTGCCAGCAGGGACCACCAGGACCAGATGGTGAACCAGGTTTACCTGGAAAGGACGGAGAACCGGGAGTGGGGCCAGGAGAGCCTGGACCACCAGGACCTGACGCGGAGCTTCACGATCGCCTTCTTCCAGTTCCTCCACAGTGTCCATGTGTTTCCGCTCCAGGACTTGCTGGACCACCGGGACCACCAGGACAAGATGGACTTCCAGGCAACCCAGGGCGCAATGGAGAAGACGGAGCTCCAGGACCACAGGGACCAGCTGGACCACCAGGGCCTCCAGGACAGCCAGGACGACCGGAACAACGCGGACCACCAGGAGAACCAGGAGTTCTGCTTCCAGGAGACGAAGCTCCACCAGGTCCACCAGGAGCTCCAGGTCGCCCAGGGGCCCCGGGACAGCCAGGAAAGCCTGGAACGCCTGGACATGATGGTGCTAACGGAGAACCAGGACCAACCGGGGAGCCGGGTCAGCGCGGGCCCCCAGGGCCACCGGGACAGGCTGGATCTCCAGGAGCGCCAGGAGAGGCCGGATCTCCAGGATCCTGCGAGCATTGTCCACCAGCTCGCCTTGCGCCAGGATACTAACCAACAAGTAGCAAATTGTTTGTTTGTATATTTCATCATAAATTCAATATATGCACTCACCTTTTTCAAGACTATATCAAGTGACAATCCGTCCATATATTCCATACATATTGAAATATCGTTATTTTCGACAAATGCTCCATAAAATCCAACAATGAACGGACTGTTACACTTGTGGAGCACTGCGAGTTCTTTGACTATTTGTTGCCTAGCAGATGGCTTAATTTCAAGATGCACCAATTTGCGCGCCATTACTACTCCCGTTTTCTTGTGAACACATTTGTTGACGACTCCGCCATTTCCATGACCAAGTTCGCCCTTAGTCTCCAGCATTTTTTCATTTAATTCCTAAAAAAAAAATATATATTTATATAATTGAATAAAAATAAAAAGATATTGCCTTTATGCCTTCCTTAGCCTGTAAAAATTGGCAAAGTCTTTGTGTTTGGGGCTCGGTTAATCCCAAATTCTTTAACTGCTCTTCCAGTGGAATGGTGGGAATTGTTTCCTCCTGAATTTAATTAATTCATTTATTTATAGAATTTTCAATACCTTATCTATTATAACACTCGAAACCATTATTTAAAACGAATAAATTTGTAACTGTTTCAGAAAAGGTTGAATGAAATTTCAATACTCCATAGATCAAATTTTACGTGTCAAAGTAAGGCGATTACAAATTTTAGTTTAAAAAAACACATTTTTGCTGTTTTGTCAAAATTTTCATTGCGAAACATACCGCAGTCGCTTCCCCGACTTCATTCTGCTCATTAACTGTTGGTGGTAAACTGAGGCCCAATGGATTTCTTCGCTTTCCACTCGACATCTTGTCTGCAAAAAAATTAAAAACACTCATAAAAACACTCAATGACTCATGTATTAGGCAATTGAAAAATATTGGGTCGAACTTCTCACGACATATATTACCATTGCAAAAAAAAACAAGCGCCTTGAATAATAGCGGACCATCATCCTTATTCGAGGCGATAATTCAAATTTTAATTTAATCAGTGGGTATTTGGTTACCGTACTCGAGGTAACCTGCGAAGCTAACTCACCGGAAATCTGCGCAAGGAACCCGTTTTTTCAAATGGAACAAAAGAATTCGAAGAGATACTTGTTGGCAAGATGGACCAGAGAAACGCAAATAATTGATTAATGTGGATTCTAAACTTATCGATCACTTTGATAAAAAATATTTGTTATCCAAACAAAAAAGAAACATTTGAAACATAATTATTTGAAAAGAATATTATATGCAAATAACTTTAATCGGCGCCAGGCGAATGATCTATGTGAATAGACTTATGATCTTGTGCGGGCTACATGGTTATTATTCGCATTGAATGGATGTTTACGGTAATTTTTTACATTTATACCCTTAGACTCACAAATATCAAGTATTCCTTTAACAGTTTTACTTTTCAGCTTAATCAGCGAAAAAGTTTCATATATCTCCATAAAAAATAATACCTTTGTACATTTTAAGAAAATTTTTAACATTTTATCAACAATTATATTTTTTTATTAGTTAGACAAATCTGACTCACAAAACCGGCAAAAAACCAACGAAAAATAAAAAATAAAAAATGGACGTTGCTAAATCATAGGTGGTTCGTCAACAACGAAGCATCGTTCGATTCTTCTCAGTCAAATGTAAACACAGCATTTTCGCAACCATTTCTGGATTCTCCACTATTTTCATGCTTCCCCTTTTTCTCTGTTTTAACTTCGCCGTAATCAATAAAAATGAAATAGCAACAAAAAAACAGAACGAGAACGCGCATTGACATCACTGCATTAATGGACCTATTCATGAAGTTTATCTATTTACAAAAACATTGTAAATAATGTAATTAAATGTGCATTGGAAAAATTTGTATTTTTTTTAAATATTTATTGTTTCATGAAAAGGTCCATAACATATTTTAATTAATATTGCGAAAATCGATACCGAATTAGAATATTCTAGGAATTTCAGTTGCTTCTTTACCGCAGATTATTTTTATAAAAACAACTTTATTGATTAAACAATTGCAGTGAAATGCCGAAGAAAGAACAAACCGTAAAACATTTGGTCATTGACACGTGCGTCATTATTGCTAATGCCAGTCTGCATGTATGTAGATTTCATGTATTGTTTCACATAGTAGCTACTTTCAGACGCTTGCTGAGCATTACTATGCCCCGCCGGGAGTGGTCGATGAATTATATTCGCAAAAGGCACGCCAAATATGGGATACACTGCCCTTCGAAGTCACATTACGGGAACCTACAAATGCAGGACTTCGCGCAGGTATTATATTCCAGATGTTTTATAATATCACATTTTTAACAGTTATCGAAGCTTCTAAGAAAACTGGAGACTATAAGTCGTTGTCGGTAGTCGACATGAAAGTTATAGCGTTGGCCTATGATTTAAATCAACAATATGTCAAGGAAAAAGAAATAGAGGAAGTGACGGAGGCGGAAAATCAACAAATTCTCGATGACATTAATGACAAAATGAAGCAATGCAGAGTTGTTGATGGATCTGCGGCTGTAGCTGAACCTGATGATGAGGATTCTGATGATACTGATGACGAAGGATGGATTACACCAGATAATATTGATAAAGCTCTTGTGAAACTTGGAGGATTTGAAGTCGAGGAAGATGTGCTTGTTGGCTGTTGCACCACGGATTTTGCACTTCAGAACGTTCTTCTCACGATGAATTTGAGTTTAGTGGCTCTCACTGGGTACCGAATCCGCAAACTCAAATCATTTGTGCTCCGCTGCCGAGCATGCTACAATACCACCAGCATAATGACCAAAGAATTCTGTCCAACATGTGGACACAAAATGCTGCACAAATGCGCGGTGTCGGTCGACGAGAATGGAACACAACAGCTGCACGTGAATTGGAATCGAATGCATAATCGTCGCGGAATGATCTACTCCCTTCCAAATCCGAAGGGCGGGAAACACGCTGTAAGATTTAATTGAATTCAATAATTTAATGTATTTTCACATAGGTGAATGAAAAACTATTCGAAGACCAGCCCATGCCACAGATGCGAATGGCAAAGGTCCGCGCTGATCCGTTAGGCGATGGACCTTTTGCAATGCATGATGTAACTTCGAGGTAGACCATAATCCTTAATTTTTGAACAAGAATCTCTTTTCAGGTCCGCTATCCGTGGAATTCGAACAATGACAAATCGCTCGAGGAATAATAGAAATCGTAACGAAGGAAAAGGAGGACGAAGGAAATAATTATAGTCGCTATAAATTTCTTGTTCCTGTTAATTGTTTGTTGTTAATAATACATTGTTTGTTATATTTACGAAATAAGTATTTATTTCACGCTACACTGGTGTCATCGCCATGAAATATCTATTAAAATTTATATGTTTAATTATATACTCCTCGTTTAGATTATGCCCAGCTTCTTCTGTCACCAATGCAACCGCACGGTACCTCGTCGCGATGGCGACTTTGTTTGCGGAGTATGCAACGGCGAATTTATCGAGGAAATATCCGGTCCTGATGTGGAGGGAATCGCTCCTGAGCTCAACAATTTTATTCGTGATTTGTTTCGGCAGCATCTAACACATGTAGTAAAATTTGGGTTAAAGCCACGTTTAATTTTTTCCGAATTTCCAGGGAGGAGATGGCTCACGCAATCCATCGCTTCCTCCCTTTTTGCGCACAATGGCTGCTGCAATTAACACAGCTCAAAATGCGGACGGAACTCCGCGCAATATGAGTTTCGAATTGGCACTGGGTCCCAATGACTTGGTATTCCGTGATATGGACGGCAACGTAAACCCGGCGAGAATTCAGTTGAACATTAGCGATGCCACTGATTTACCAACTTTCATGTCGCAACTTTTCGATCAGGTTGCCCATCCAGAACTGCGTCGCAACGGATTCTCGGAGGACGAGATTCAGAAATATCTTCCAATGACACATGTAACTGCCATGCATGTTGAGAACGGTGTTCAGTGCACCACGTGCTTCGACACCTTCAAAGAGAGTAAGTTATATGTGCATTAAATGTGCTAAACTTATTTGTTTTTGTATAATTGTGTACGATACGAGTACGAAGCTGTTTTTATTAAAAACCATATACAGGGTTGCCCATAATTATGGAAACACATGTTTGAAGCCTTCTGGCAGATGCTGGCGCATTTTTCGTGCCCCAATTTTATTTTTTTTTATTATCATAGCATGTTTAATTACCCTTTCCCAAATTTTCTAGTTCCTAACTTTATTTTTGCTGGAATGGTAGCCAATTCAGTGCACCGAGGTACCATTATCGATATGGCGACGTGAGGAAAGAGCGACAGTTGCATCGCAAAAGCCCTCGAAATCTCTCGATCACCAGTTTGTAAAACCATAAAACGATACCGCAGTTCTATCACTCCGGAGAGGATCAAGGTCGCCAGAAAACGAACTCGTCGAAATCTGCACCGGAGCATGAGAAAGATGAGCTGGGAGCGCGGTATGAGCAAATCTTCGATGGAGCGCATGCTGAAAACGAAGCTTGGACTGAGCCCGTATCGTGTTCAGAAAACGGCAGTTTTAACTGAAAAGAACAAAGTGGCCCGAATGCAAAAGTGCGAATCTCGTCTTGCTGGCACGCGCCAAAATGAACATTTGAAGACGCTGTTTACGGACTAGAAGCTCTTCACCGTGGAGGCGGAATTCAACTCGCAAAATCATCGGGTGCTTGCAGGGAACCCAGACGAAGCCAATAAGCACGGACGAACGATCAACAGAATGTCTCATCCTCAACAAGTCATGGTTTTTGGGGCGATCACGTCTGATGGGAAGATTTCGCTTGTTCTTGTGGATCCCGGAGTCAAAATCAACTGGGAATACTACTTAGAGGAAATTCTTAAGAAACACGTGCTTCCACGGACCCAAACGCACTTTGGAAACAAGGTTTGGACATACCAACAGGACTCTGCACCGACTCACAAAGCAAAAGTCGTCCAATCCCAGTGGGCCGCAAATTTTGCCGGTTTATTCTTTGTTCAGAATGAACAGCGTCGTTGCCGGATTTGAGCCCGCCCGACTATTCTGTTTGGGACGCACTTCAGTCGAAGGTCCAGGTACATCCTATACCAATTTGGCGTAATTGAAGAAATGTTTGGTTGAGGAATGGGCGAAACTATCTTCAGAATACTTCCGTGCCACAGTCGAGGCATTCCCGAAGAGACTCAATGAAGTAATGAAGAACAAAGGAAATCGAATCGAGTAATGTTTATGTATTTTTGTTTATAATTGATTCAATAAACTATTTGTGAATTTTCAAGTTGATTCGATCATTTTTACAAAAATTATATCACTTTGAATGTGTTTCCATAATTATGGGCCTCCTTGTATATAAAAAACCTACATTTATAGATTTGTTTGAACTTGAAACCAATTTTTAGATGACGAAGTTGGAAAGCTTGACTGTGATCACATCTTTCATCGCCCATGTATTGAGCCATGGCTGAAAACTAAATCGTCGTGCCCGGTGTGCCGTCAGCCAGTCGACATTTTGAAGTGGAAGGAAAGATACAACCAAGAGGTATTCTTAACAATTAACGAAATTTAATAATATTCGAAATTAAGAAATCGAAAGAGCTTCTTGACGATCTCGACTAAATAACAAGGAACCAAAATGGACTCTCATCCATAACAAGTCAACATTTAAAGCTTTTTCTCTGTTCTTATTCAACCAATCATTCAATCATTCGTTTTTTAGTATCCTCGCTGAAAAGTCGCGCTTCGAATTAGTTCCCAGTGTTTCTTCACACTCTCGGGTTTCTATTATTTCGAATTCCGAGTTTTCATTATTTATAAACTTTATCCTGTTTTATGATTCATCGTCTGTCCCTTTGCTCTTACCTATTGTGTACTTCCACACTATTTGGTTTTCTGTATAATCAACAAATAAGAATGATTGAAAACAATTCGATTTAAATATATAATATGATTTGCACTCGAATGAAGTGAAATACAATTTTATACAGTACCGTGCAGTAAGATATACAATTTCACTTTTTTAATCATAACTTTCTGAAAAGTTGACCAATCGATCTGAAATTTTTGGACAAAACAGATAGTGTGTTCCCAAACATAATTTATTCATTTTGGGGTACTATAGACGCAATTTTTGTGTTTTGGACCTTTTTTTGCGTATTTTCAAAAATGCGATTTTTTTTAATTTTTAAGTTTTTTCGATTTTTTTTAGATTTTCAATGTTAACATCAGTTTTTTTATTTGTTTTAGCAGGAGACGATCAAAATGTTCAAAAAACATTCTATCAGACATTTTGAAGCAATCAAGAATGACCGAGCACTAGGTCTTTTCATCCAATGTCTATCACACCAGTTGAACTCATCAACTTGGATCATTCGTGTATGTTTGAAACCTCGATCGGATTCCAAACCACTTGGAAATCCTTCCAAAACATCCCCGGCAATCAATCGCACCATTGTAGGAATCAGCAAGAGCAACCCCAGTCTATCCGCTTCCGAGATTAATCGGCAACTGAGTCAGTTCTATGATGTCAACGTAGATTTTTCCGAAAAACCATGACTTTTTTTCACCAAAAGTCACATACATATCAGCGTTGATACTGTCAAGCGTCGTCTACGTGGTTCTGGATTATTTGGACGTCGGTCTGTCAAAAAATCTCTCCTTTCGGAGAAGAAACGCCGCGCCTGTTTGAAGTGGGATAAGGAGCTTTTGAATTGGAGGTTTCGAGGTCTACTAGAAACCACCCCTACTTTTTAACCCCCACCCCTGCTATTCCACCCCGACATTTTAACCCAGACTTTTATTTATGATACCACCCCCACTTTTTCACCCCCAATTTTTAGATTTCACCCCTACTTTTTCACTGCACTTCAAAATTTGAAGTTTCTAACAGTAATGTTTAACAGTAAAATTTTACTGTTTTTAATATTTTCAATAATTCAAGTTATCAAGAGGAGATTCGCAGGACTGATGTCTAAATTAGATTTTTCAGAAACTATGTAGCGTTCTTATGAAAGGTTGACGTTTTGACAAAAGACGAAATTTTTCTGAACCGGGTTTTCCGAGAATAGTTAATTTCTTGTTAAAATTGTCAACCTTTCATAAGAACACTACATGTTGTCGGCGTCAAACGACTGAAGGGAGGCGGAGCCTTTAAATTCGCGAAATTAATGTAGATTTAAATTAATCGTTGACTGAATATTTAATGCGCGTACGCTATAATGCAATGGACGCAATCTCGCTGCCTCGAGACGCATTGGCACATAGCCAATCATTTTTTAAATTTCTTCAAGTCGTTTGACTTCGACAATCGTTTTTGAAAAATCTAATTTAGACATCAGTCCTGCGAATCTCCTCTTGATAACTTGAATTATTGAAAATATTAAAAACAGTAAAATTTTACTGTTAAACATTACTGTTAGAAACTTCAAATTTTGAAGTGCAGTGAAAAAGTAGGGGTGAAACCTAAAAATTGGGGGTGAAAAAGTGGGGGGGGTGGTATCATAAATAAAAGTCGGGGTTAAAAAGTCGGGGTGGAATAGCAGGGGTGGGGGTTAAAAAGTAGGGGTGGTTTCTAATAGACCAGGTTTCGACAATAGTCAAAGGTCGTATGGAGTGATGAATCGAAGTATATCTTGCTCGGAACTGATGGTATTACATTTGTGAGGCGTTCGGACGGCAAAAGATTCGATTCAAAGAATCAATTACCAACAGTGAAACATGGAAGAGGAAGCGTGATAGTTTGGGGATGTTTTACTGGTTCTGGAGCTGGCCCACTTCGTCGAATCGAAGGAAATATGGATTGATTAATGTATAAAGACATTCTAGAGAACCATATGCATCCGTTTGCAAAGTCTTTGCTCGGTGTGGATACTTATTTCAGCAGAATAATGATCCTAAACTTTTCTCTCGCTACATCAAAGAGTGGTTCTAGCAGCGTAGGGTGGCCGTCAGGGACTGACCAAGCCACTCACCTGTCTTGAACCCCATTGAACATTTGCAGGATGATATTGGTAGACGTCTTGGTGGTCAAACTGTACAAAATGTGTCGAAATGATCGAGCAGCTGAGAAGATCATGGATGGATATACCAGTTTCAACCCTCCCGAAGTTGACGAGGCCATGGGTCTCCGATATCAAACTGTCATCGATCCAAATGACATGTCAACAAGATATTGAGTTGCTTTAAGTTTCCTGACTGATAATTATTGTTTTCCATTTCATTTCAAGTCGTGCCGGTATCAAAATTATTAAAGTCGGTTTTTCGCTATTATGGATTTTCTGATTTTTTGCCAATAAAATTTTTCCTAATGTGTTTAAACCTTCTAATTTTGTTACATAATCACTCTATCGATGCTTAAAGTTGTCCAAAAATTTCAGATCGATTGGTCAACTTTTCAGAAAGTTATGATAAAAAAAGTGAAATTGTATATCTTACTGCACGGTACTGTATATTTTTCTCTGCACTTTTTTGTGGAATTGTGGGAATCGAAAACAGCTGAGTGTAGATTTTAACGTTATATGTGCGAATTATTTTAAGAAACTGAATTATTTATGCTTCTTTATTTTTCCTTGTGGAGCAAGACAAACGCAGCAAGAAGACCAAGCACGGCGTATTTGAAATTTGGATAGTCGTTCATAATAATTGTCACCATTCCAACGTATGGAAGAATACCCTTCGTTCGTCCGACGATGTCATTTCTGGTTAACCACAATTGTCCCGGAGCATATAGTCCGCGATCATCAACCTGAATTAAGAAAAACTTAACAAGGTAGCACCCGGAGAGGAACTCGCCGGAATGTAGTTTAGACCTCCCCCTCAATCTTTACTACTACTATAAATTAATTCATGGTTGGGGCTTCAAACCACTTCGTGAAAAAATTGTGTCGGAGGCTACGAGTTTACTTGTGTTCGTCATTGGGAAGCGTAGAAGTAAATTGAAAAAAATCGACATTTAGTTTTCGTTGCTATTGTTTTTTAAAATCGATATTCCACTTTAGGGTTTTTTAAATGTTGTTATGTCGATACTTCTGAAAAAAAGAAAAAAGCGTGTTGAAGTGGTTAGAAGATATAAAAATCAAATTTTCCGACCATCCGGAAGTTTCCCTCCCTCACATTCCTGTTCTTTAACGACGAGTTCTATTCTGGATTAATTTCTATTACAGCAGAATTATTTTCGACGGGTTCTTCTCAGGGAAACACCATTAATAATAAAGAATTAATTATAATATTTACTTGGTTATTATCTCCCTTCGTCAAAATTTTTGTATTCTCATCATCCTTTTCGTGAACCTGCAAATATAGATTTAAAATTCCACAATTATTAATTAAAAATGTTTCTGTTTTGCGGGTCAACATGAACTGTCTCCACGTCAATTTCTAACAAAGGCCGAAATAAGGAGAATTTTCGTTCTATGGCTAATTCTGAATTTACAATCGAATACCTTAATGACTCTATGAACAATTGGAATTTCCCTTCCTTCAATCTTAAACACAGTGATATCACCAGCACGGACGGGATCGGTACGATCGTTGGTAAGAAGAAGCAGATCACCGCGATAGAAAGCGGGTTCCATTGAACCTGAGAGAACGACGACAACTGGACTATCTGCTCCCGTTAGAACCATCATTCCCTTCCAAATCATTAATGCAGACGAAACTACCATGGCAAAATTCAGAAATTGATAGAAAACCTAAACTGTAAAATTTACCTTTGCAAGACCTTTTATTTCTACCTGTCGGACGTCCATTCGCCTGAGTTCGTCAAACATCGCATAATTGGGAAGCCATGCTAAAGACATCCTAAAAAATGTATTTGAACAATATTATTTAGCAATAAAAAAATAATTATAGGACGCTTCAAACCAAAATACAAACATATAATAACTCCAATGATGACATTTTTATGAACATAAAACAGTAATAAATTATAGTACATTTTGGAAATATATCAAGATTATGTAAAAACTATTCAGCAGGACACAATCCGAGGAAATCGTCCATAAGTGTACCAATCGCAAAAATATCGTTGGCATCGACGCGTGTTCCGATTAATTTAACCTAAAAAGGACACATTTCAGCTAATGTTGAAGACCAAATGTAGGAAATTAGAAGAATTTAAGAAAAGTTCTGTAGGTGCCGATTTATGGGCCTAAATAAGGATAGTTTAAAGGCGCAATGTTAGAACTACGGACACCCATCGGAAGAACATATCGGATATCTCTAGCGCGAATGACGGTAACCGAGCGGTCGCCAATGAGTTTGACAAAGCTCGATAATATCATTTTAAAAATAAGCCTTAGAAGCAATAATTGAACGACGTGCTTTAATCAAATCGGCGAGGACCTATTTCGAATTGTGTGAGCAACTCTTTTGAAATTTTCCCTGTGGGCCTATACATCACAAGTTAGAACCTTATCTGCGTTTTAACCACCCGAATTTCAAATCAAATAATACTCTAATTTCGTCGTCGTTGCGAATCACCACAGAGTCGTCATTCGTCTTATAACATGGTTTTTCTGCATTCGGGTCGAATTCCATATCTGGTGGAATACAATGACGACTAATAAAACAGGACAAAGGTCCGATGTCACAGAATATACCAACTTTGTTTACCTTAACACCATTAATGATTAAAATTATGAAATTCGACAAACCTGAGAAACGACACCGTCAACGACCTGCCCCTTAAACGGTCTGAATACGATGGCCTTGTATCTGACAGGATAGATCACAAAGCCACGACCAGGTTGAATGATACCGTGACCAATTGTGTCGATTGTAGTCACAGCAATAACGAATCCATATTTACCAGTGCAAGTGCCTTCTACCTCATGAAACAATTTCATTTTAATTGTCTCGTTAAGATTCGGTCCGAAATATTTTGGATGGAGGCAAACTTCGTGATCCAGAGACAAATGGAAAAACATTTTGCCTAAAAGTGAATAAATTAAAATGAATTTTGTCGGCGTCGTACGAATACGGAAAATTTGCTGCAAAAAAAATGAAAGGCAGTGGTCTTGACAACAAAACTAACAGTGTAGATTTACGGTCCTATGCGTAAGGATAGGTTAAATGCGCACACCACGCACCGAGACCTCTTATTAAATTTTTTGGCATTTACCCAATTTTCCGCACTCGTACGACATCGACAATACAAACGATTGACGGGTGAATTCATGAGCAGAAACTATTTTTTAAAATGCATCTTATTATCGATGAACATACTTTAACGATAGAAATTATCGAAATTTGATAAAATTACGAAACGTGGAGCACCAAGAGACGCCTCGGTAAAATCATCTGGCGAAACAGTGGCGAAAAATAACAAATTTTTCGTTTTCCTTAAAGCGCCGAAGCAATGAATCCTACATATTGAACCGAAAAATGCTCGTGTTTCGTCTGATGAGTTTGCCGAGACGATAAAATATTCAAAATTTTGACGCGTCAGCTATGCACCAAAAAAGCGTCAGCGTTCTCAGCCCTGACGCAATAGTTTTTCGGTTTTCATTTATATTAGTTGCCAATATTGCCAACATATAAATTTTTGTGTTCAACGACTATTACATGTTCTTATAGTTAAAATACTTACAGAAAAATACAATAATTATGTACACATTATCAACAGGTATTTGGGAGAAGTTTTTCAAAAAAAAGGATTATTTTGTTGTCATAATCGGTTTAGATAATGCTGGGAAAACAGTGAGGATCGCCGTTTCTTTCAAATAAATAATGGATATTATATTCCAGACCTTTTTAGAGCAAACAAAGGCTCATTTCATAAATGATTACGGGGTTCTGAATCCTTCAAAAATTACTGCGACTGTTGGATTAAATAGTTTGATAACCTTTAAAAATAAACTAAAATGAAAACTTTTAGCTGGAAAAGTTGAGCTTAACAACACTTGTTTAAATTTTTGGGACCTTGGTGGACAGGAAAGTTTGCGTGAGCTGTGGCCAACATATTTCGAAGATGCAAATGCTCTGATATTTGTAGTTGACGCGACCAGATCCGATTTATTTCCTATAGTTTCTTCCTTATTTAGTAAGCCAAATGAAAATATGTAAGGGACATGAAGTTTTGCGTAATTTCAGAAGACGCAATGTCAAATGAATTCGTTCAAAAGCTTCCAGTGCTAGTAGCCGTAAATAAAAGTGAAATGGAAGGAGCTTCGACAGCAGCTGAGGTGTGCTTTCTTTATAAATTCAGATAATGAATTTGTAATTTTTTACTGTGTGTTACAAAGAAATTCGATAGTAGAATATAAAATTATTAATTTAGGTGAGAATGCTGCTTGAAGACGATGAGCATGAGTCAGATCTCGCTGTTCTTCCAGTTTCAGCGCTCGAAGGTACAAATATAGAACGTTGCGTCCATTGGATCGTACGAACATTGGCCAGTCAGCCATTGTATTTGTAAATATTTATTACATCGGCTTGTCTGCGATCTAACCAAAACTTCTCAGTACTAATACGGTTATGTAGTTGTTAATTTATTAAATGAACAAAGTCGTTATCAAGTAATATTGTGCGACTTCGACACTATCAATTGTAAAATCCTGGCTTGCGCCGTTTTATTTGCGGTAAACAATAATAGCTTTGAAGTAGGTACTTGTCAGTAAAACGATCTAAAACTTAAAAAAAAACTCTATATATATATATATATATATATATATATATATATATATATATATATATATATATATATATATACTTTAGAATACATTTTTTTAATTGCATTATAATATTTCAGAATTCTTACTAACGTTTTGAAATATAAAAATATTTTGAATCGTTTTTCTGAGTAAGAGATCAATTGCATGTAGTCAGTTGGACGGAGACCGCGTGAAAATTGAAGATAAGGAATATTACAATCGCAAAAACGAGCACAATTTCATATCTACGCGAATTTGATGCACATACTGATTAAATTAAAATTTGAACTACCGCCTCGAAAATGTGCGATGGTCCGCAATTATGCAAGACGCTCTTTTGTGATGGTAATACATATAATCAAAGGCCTAATAAAATATTACAATGTTAAATTAGTTAAACAGGAGTCAAGGTATTAACGGGATCTAATAATGAACTGTCGATAATTTGCGATGGATCAGCAGCTAACGAAGTCAGAGAATTTCGGCGAGGTTGCGGTGTAGTAACGTAACGAAGACGCTGAATATACAAAATTGTTTTGAATCTGAATAAAAATGAAACCTGTGAAAACGTTCCTTTAGCAACACAGATGCTATAAATGGCAAAAATTGGGACAGCGAGAACGGAAAGTAGCCGAATGAGCCATCCAAGTATTACACTCCACCACGGAAATGTGTAATTCGGCAATTGTATCGGCATAAATGAGCTGTTATAAACAGTCATAAGGAATATAATCTGAAAAAAGGTTCACAAAGTGTAAAACTAAATAAGCGAACCGATATAAAAATTGGCGAACAGGTCCAGCAGATTCTCCAATATATTCCTGGATAAAATCCAAGCATTGCCCTTAAATAAAACTATTATGGTACTATGCATATTGCGCAAAAAAAACCTTAAAAACCTTAAAAACCCTCAGACACTTCCACGCTTTTGCAACCTCGGGTATCACACATATTTTGTTAAATTGCTGTAAGAATCATGAAATATTATCGTATGCGCTTTCAACCGTAACATTTTTTTAATTGAAGTTTTTCGATTACAATTGTATTAAAAAAAACTTAGGATTCTTGCAGCGCTTTAATAAAAAATGTGCCCTGCAATCTTCGAAAAACCGGGAAGTGGCCGAGGGTTTTGAAGTTTTTTTTTTTTGCTGCAACCAGCATAGCCATCTTTTGGTCTATTTTTAGTTTTTAAATCGGCATAATACCATTATAATAAAACTAATTATAGTCAAGGACGGACAAAGTTCGGGTGCGATTACTGCATCAATTGAATTTCCACCGAGGAAAAAACTCTTAACTCTTGTTAGGAATGTGTATTGATTAATTTAATTATAAAAATGTGAAACAGCATAATTTTTTATGTATTTTAAGTTCTTTGGTTATTTTTAGAAATGTCGCATGGCGGAGCGTGAACACATTTTGTGGTACGGTCAAAGCTTCAAAAATCCGCTTAAAATGCGAAAAAAACTATTTTTCAAATTATTCATTCCGCCAGACCATTCTTTTGTTTTTCAAACGGTTTTTTTTGAAAAACTTTCCCGAATATGCATAGTGCATAGTACCGTTTTTTTACGAGACCAGCTGATTGGTAGCTCGATAAATTAAAATTTTTCATATTGGTCCGTTCATGATTATAAAATTACTATATTCAATAGAATACCTTATATCTTTTGAAAACTGGTCAATTCCATAAAACCAGCACACCGCTGTAGTTTCGCAGGTTACCACAAACAAAACTGAAAGGGAAACACCATATTCGTCTAAAAATGGGATCACGTATTGACCACCCTGAAAAATTCACATTAATTGAATAAGAAAACCAAGACATCAATGCCTATGCATACATAGCTAATTGCTGGGAAACTTCCGAAGTAGTACATTATACAGATTCCGAGGACAAACCATTTACGATTTTTTGACAAAAATCGACTTTCATCGCAAAATCCAGTTATTAATGCTTCAATTCCAGCAAACTGTAGAAAACAATAATGCAAACCCATAAACATAAACACTTCTCACCGTCGAATCAATACCGAGTGTGATAAGCATCACAAAGAAAATGAAAGACCAAACGCTACTGTAACTCATCGTGGCGAGAGCTTGTGGGTATACAATAAAGATAAGTGAGGAATCGTGATCTCCGATAACGTCCTTAACTTCCTTGTTGGTCAGGACTGCCATGTATCCAAGTGTACAGAAAACCACACATCCGGAGAAGAACGAGGTGCCACAGTTAATTATAGAAGTGACAACAGCGTCACGATAGCAATTGTTATTGAAATCATTGTAGCTGCTGAGCGCAAGTAAGACTCCAAATCCAGGACCAAGAGAAAAAAAAATCTGAGTAGCTGCAGCCGACCACACCTGAAAATTGACTGAAATTTGATTTAAAAATTTCCAAGACCTACAGCTGGCTCTTTGAGTTTCTCAAAGTCTGGCATCAAATAGTAATAAATTCCCTTGGCAGCTCCAGGAAGCGTCAATCCTCGAATCAGCAAGATGGTCAGAATAACATACGGCGCTGTCGCAGTCACCCAAACCATTTTTCCTGAACTTTGCGGTCCTTTCCACAAAGCAAAATACACCATAGTGAAAACTGCAGCAAGGCAGACGGCCATTGAAGGCTTCACACCACCAAGATCATCGAATCCGGTCGATTTTTGCACTTCCAAAACCTGATAACTAAAAAATACAAAATAAAAATAAGCAAAAACAAAAACAATTTACAGATAATATTCTTCAGAAGGCGTTGTTAAGAGTTCACCAGACTTCGCGACCGAAATATTCAAATCATCAGAACATCTTGGCGTATTCCATGAATTATTGCAGCTTTTCCAAGGAACTTCCGTCTATACTTTTGTTTGCTATATCTTCATAAGAAATATATGTATTTTTCTTACGGTAACTGAGCTGACAGTGAAATAGACTGCTTGGGCAATGATAGCATTGTAGAAAATTGCGATAAATGTACAAATAACGCAGATTCCGTAACCAATCCCTGAAATAGAAATATCGAGACTAACGCAGGACAGGATTATCATCCGCGCCTGGCGAACCGATTATAGATAAAACATGGTTTGCTCGGCAAGCTACTGATCTTTTTTGAAAAAGTAAGCTGCTCTCGCAGCATACTCATTGTAAGCTTAAAAAAACATTATGAATATTCATTATTTTTTATAATAAAACATCGATATTTCAGCATGTAAATAAACAAATCAAACCTCTAAACATCGGACAAACTTTTCTCCAAATCGAAATACATCCGGAACGATGAAACTGCCCGAGTACAAGTTCCATATAAAACATTGGTAGTCCGCCTATCAACAACATAATCAAATAAGGAATCAGGAATGCTCCTCCGCCATGTTTGTAGCACTCTGATGGAAATCTTAAAAAAAAAAATACTATTCAGTATAAATTTTAAAGGTTTGTAAATAAATACCTCCAGATATTTCCCAAATCAACCGCATATCCAATCACCGCCAGCAAAAACTCCATTTTTGTGGCCCATTTATCTCGAACCATCGATGACCGGCGACGAAGTGCCGCCACACGACCTTCTTTCGTCGGTGTGAGACCGCCAAGAGCTCAAAATCAAACCTCGTGAGATATTCGAAAAAAAAATATCTACCTGCGATCGGCTCATTCAAATCAATACCGTTCGAATTTGAAACCGATAGAGAAAGATTTTTTTCACGTGCTGGCAATGCCATATATTCAGCAACAGTTGGAGCTAAAGCAAATTAATAAAAAAGGTTATAGCACTCTGCCCGTAGATCAATTTCGCTAATTCGCTCCAATCAATAGTCATTTCCCGTAGAAACATATATTTATGAACACGAAAAAAGTAATCAAATAGAAAATGAATAAATTTAAGGAGAGGCTTATACACGAAAATTTTTGTTTCATGTCCCATTGCTCTCAAAAGTTCATCGAATTAGTTCGCATATTATTTATCAACATGCTAAATTAAATGATAGCGAGAAATACGTAAACTAGATCAGTTTCCTTACATCAAATGATAGTTATGAACCTTTTCAGAGCATAAAAATTGCCGAATTTGTCAGTTGTACCTAATACAATCACGTAAAATATATACTAAGGAGGTACGGAAATTTTCATGTTGGAAAACATGAGCAAAATATATTGCAATAATTTGAGACGTCTGGAGCGCTATATCGCCAATAACCTATCCTTAGCCCGTAAATCTACACTTTTCATTAGGTGCTAGATGATAAACAATCATACCTTTCACGCTCTGCGAACGACTAACTCTCCGTGACTCGGGAGCAGACAGCATGCTCGCGGCACCACTTGACAATTCCGCTGAAATCATTCAGAATTGGCGATCGTGTATGAGTTGTGCAAATCGAAGTCCTCCTCATTTATTTGAATATCATTTGTGCGGAATACGGGGCTCCATGCCACGAAAACATGCTTGTAATCCGATCGGCGAATTTCTGATGAGAGCACAACTCACATACACACCGTGATTCTAATTACGGTAGCTAGTCGAGATAAAAAGATGGCGAGCGGACACGAGAATTATTCAAAAATTAATTAAGGCTTATCTCGGTTAAATTCGAATTTCGTGTTATGAAACTATTAAATGACCCCCTCCCAAAATAAAACCACAAAAATTTTCCTGAACACGAAAATAAAGTAAAGATATGAATATGTTCGTTGGAAACCGTAAAATAGTGCCGGAAGCCACCATAAGATGCCATTTCCGTTCAGAAAATAGAATTTTTGACGCCTTGTCGGACACCTGATGACATATGTAAATGAGCTGAACGAGGATCTTTTTTTCATTTTGCAGATCCGGGAAAATATACAATTTTTTCGTGTGGGAGGAAAAAAAGGAAAGTAAATATAAAAAGAATAATGCGCAAAAACCATGGCATCGAACTCAAAAAATTAACGATCCATTAATTTTTCAAAAGCATTTAGACATATTTATTTCCATTAGTCGTGTGCGAGTCGTTGGAAATCGAGAAAATTTTTTAAAAATTTCGAATGTAAAAGGAAAGAAATAATTTTAGGGAAATCTGTCCGCGGGAAAAATCAAAAATACTAGAAATCCTAAGAATCTATTTAAATTTATCAAGACGTTATTAAAGGGGGGGGGGTGTTGTAAAATTATTATTTTACCACCCGGCAAACTCATCGTGCAGAATAAATCGGTTTTGGCTACACGCAGATTACAATGTTTAGCCGCTTTGAAGAAAACAACTTATTTGTTCTATTTTTCGGCACTGTTTCGTGGAGTACGACAAATCACTGTTTTGTCCGATGAGTTTTCCGAGCAATGTTCAAATATGGAATAAAATACCACCAGTGTTTATCAGGACACTTAAAAAATTAATATCAGAAATCTGTTACCTTGCAGTTGTTTGTGCTGTTTTCGACGGATCGAATGCCATCGCAACATGTTCTAAATACGGAAAATGAAATTTTGCTCGGCTCAAGAAACGAGTTTTCGCACAATTTTCATGGTGTGAAAATGAATAATAATAAGACTTACCGAGAACCAATCGTGTTGAACAAAATGAAGAAGAAAATGAAAAAAATGCGAAGAAGGCGGCGAAAGTTGACGATGAAGACTCATCCATTGTTATAATAGCATTTATCAATTATTAATCATCTGATTTTCATAAGAGTTTTTTCTTGCACATCGTGTGGGTGTGCACTTTTCAATATTACTTGAATTATGAAGACTGATCACTGGGATTGAATGATCCGTTCTTCTCGTACAGCATCTAAATGTAAATTTAAAAAAATATATATAACCTTATTATTTATAAACATGTTGATTTGAAGCACAGCCAAAAACCGGGCTTCCACCGAATTAAAAATTCGTTGCTTATATAAATTTTTTGAAACACATTTTATGGAATAGTTTGGAAATTTTTACATATTTGATTAAATTCGATAATTTTGACATAATTAAACGAATAGAAAAAATTGAAACGAATCAACCAAAGATTAATACTGAGTATTACCATTAAAAAACCAGCGGCTTTCAAAACTGTGAACCAACACATTAAAATTTGAATTTGACAATGTGAATTTGGGTAACGTACTCTAGCTAACATGTGCCGATTTACGGTTAGTTAGATTATATACATTTTTTTCAACTATTCTCACCAATAACATCGTTTACAAGTGTTCTTAGTTGGACCGTATCTGGATTTACTGCAGATCCTATAGGCCTCTGAAAATATTACTACTAAATTGTAAATTTATTTTCTGTCTAAATATTAAATGCGTGTAAACTAAAATTCAGAATACGCAGACATGCGAACGTCTCTTTGCCTCGAGACACTTGGCCATTAGCCAATATTTTTAAAAATTTTGTTCAGTCGTTTGACGCCGGAAATCCAATCGCAAAAAACAACGAGGGTTCTCCATTTTAATATTATATTTAATATATAAATAACATATTATGTTTCTTTCCGATAAACCAATACCATTTCGATTTCTAAAGATCTATCTTCCACCATTGGCATTTGAAATTTTGTTCTGTGTTCAATGAGCTCTCTTCCATGAATATTTTGAACATGCCTATCCACATGTGATCCTTTTGTAAACCGCCGGCCACAATACCCACAAGCATAGAGACGTTCACCGCTAAAAATTAATGCATTTCAATTTCCCGTCAATTTCGATGTTTTAATCATTCAAATCAGTATTATTATGTTTACAGCAATTAATTGATAATAAACAGTTGGTTCAAAACAATTCGTGCCCGACTCATTTTGCTATTTCCTATTTGAAATCACATGGCTGCCCAAAGATCTCACCTATGAGTTTTTTCGTGCTGCTTTCTCGCAGATGCGGAGGCGAAACGTTTCCCACACTCCCACAGACATTCATAGGGTCGCTCGCCTAAATATAAAAATATTTCGCAGGCGAAGTACTTTAAAGATTGACCAGTATGTAATCGCATATGACTCTTTAGAGATTGATGTTGCTTGAATCCTTCGTGGCAATACTCACAGTTGAATGGCCGAACTCCCGTGTGTGTTCGTTCGTGTTCAATAAGCTTGGAAGGAAACTTAAATTAATTAATAAACAAATTTGATCGAACATACTATCACCTTAAACTGTTTTCCACAGTGTTCACATTGAAAATGTTTTGGTTTTATGCCATTCACTTTAACATTGCTGACATTTTGAGAAGTATTTGAAACCTAAATTCTCAAAAATTAGCTAAATAACCTATTTTCATACAGTATTTTGCATCAGCGCAATGGTTCTTCCAACTGTTGAAGTAGATGCAATTGGCATAACACCAGCCGCCTCACTCGCCACGTCATTGATTGTTTTTTCGAGTCTTTGTTGTCGTATGAGCTTCACGTGCTTAAATATAACAAATAAAATCATTTTGAACATTTCCTACAGGATTAACAGTTGGTAAAGCTATGATAAAAAAAAGTGTGGAAAAATTAAGTTTTCTAAACTAATAACGACAAATTTAGATTCAAAACGTAAGAAACTACGGCAGGCAAGTACATGTAGACGAAAAAGTATCGAGAGGGGAAGTGGAGAGAAGAGTAGTTTAATATTAAAACTAGTTTCAAACTTTGTAAATATGTATAGCGCAATGTACGAAAACTGAAACATCGGACAGGAAAAGAACACTACATACAAAAGCAAGAAAACTAGTTTCATCGGTATAGTCAAGAGGAATAATAATAATAATAATAAATTTAAAAGCAATTTGGAGATATTCAAGACAACTAATAGTAATAATAACATCCCAACTCCGTCAACCACTCCTCCAGCGACACCGACTCAAACACCAACTCATACAAAACGAAACAACGGAAAACATAAAGAAAAGGAGAAGAAACGGAAGAGTCGAGAGAATACTCGAAGCAGGGAGGGCGAGGAAAAAACCATGACAATCAGTGCACGGCCGACAACGATACCGGTAAAAAAAGATTTATCCGAAAACACTTGTAAGTCCGGACGAAAAAATGCGAAAAAGCTGACAAGAAATGTAAAAAAACAATCGCGAACCAGTGCACCATCGACGCCAAGAAATTCTCATCCATCGACACCAAGTATAAGTATGGAAAAATATGAAAAAGAAGCAGAAACTCAAATAAATGTAGAGAAACCGATTTCAGCTTTGAACATAGAGGTAAATTTTTAAACCGTTTGTGATTTTTGTTTCTTTATAGAAGCTAGAATGCACTTATAAGCTAATTCTTGATGATTTGCAAGCCAAAGCAGTTGGTGAAATTATAAATGACGAATGGGAATCAGTCGATGATGTGATGGTTGATGATGACAAAATTTCCGCATTCTTAGAAAATGAAAATGCAAATCAAACAGAGGTTCAGATGGAAACAGATGGTTTTATCTATATAATTTAATGTCAAGGAAATTGAATGCCTTGACGAAAATCGAGTCAAACTACAAAGAAACGACGCTAAAGAGAGCGACTACATCCACGCGAGTGTTATCGAACTAAATTACGTAAAAAGCAAACAGAAATAGTTTTAAAATATTTTTTTTCCTTTGCAGATAAAGCGCCGATTTGTTCTCGCGCAGCTTCCTCTTTTAACTTCGTCCAAATATCTTGAAGACTTTTGGTCGATGGTTTACTATGAGCGTCTCCACAATATATTCCTTTTATGTTCACTGTCAGAATCATCCAAACCAGAACCAGAAAAATTTGGAGAATATTTTCCTATCACATTCGGCCAACATGAATATTACGGTCAAATTTGGGTGAATAATCGGAAAGTTGAACCGGCAAGCGATGTTGAATCACGGCCAAATGATATTTATCACTTGGAGGTGCTTCCAGAAGGATGTGCCGAATCTGTGGCAGTAACAGTAACTGTAGTAGCAAAACATTTGAAAGAAGTTAATTAAGCTGGCTGTTTGCCCATACTGGCCAGAAGGGGATATTCCGACAGATGAGTTCAAAGTACTACAGACTTCAATGAGCGCATTGGGAAAAATTGATTCGGTGCTACAGCCTTGTTAGATTTCAGCTTATTATGTAAAATTATTTTTAGTACGAAAATGAGCCAATAGGAATAGTCAGCAAGAAAGGAGCTGGCCGCACGGGAATATTTCTAGCAATCGTTGCAATAATCAGTCTTTTCAACAAAGGACAACCAATTTCGGTCAGTTTTTCAGCATTCGGGAAAGAATCTTTATAATTTTTAGATTAAGGACGTTAGTTTCAGTATTAGAAAGCAAAGGCCGGGTGCAATTGACAGAAAAACGCATTTCATATTTATTTACGTTGCTGCTCTGAAATATGCAAATGTTATTTATTAAACGAGAACATTTGGAGATATTAAATTTCAGATGCATTGCAAAAATAGCGATCTCAAAAATCGAGGGTTAGCGGTTTTGAAAGAACTTCAAAAGAAAATCGAAATAGAAACTTGTGAAAACACAAATACTGCTCTGACGCCTCAAACACGGTCATTTGATGGTGCTGCTGCGACGAAAACTACCACAACGTCATGCTCGAATGAATGTTCAACGACGAAATAATAAACAAATAATCCTTACGTATCCATTGGCTGACGAACTATGACCGTGATTATTTTCGTGCTCTAATAACTGCATTTCCATTTTCCTCATACTCCCGAGTTCTTCCGCATCATCGTCCATTTCTATATTCCATTATCATACTTGGATTAAGTATTGACGACGTTGCGCGACTACGGAAAATTGGATAAATCCCATAAATAAAACAAATGAAAGTGTTCGTAGCGCAAATTAAAAGCGTATATTTACGGACCTAACTATAAGGATAGGTTAAAAGCGCACACCGAGACCTCTCCTTACTTTTTTGGGATTTACCCAATTTTCCGCAGTCGCACAACGTCGGCAAAATATTTTGTGTCAAAGTCCGGCAACTGCTGTGCACAAATATAAGAAGTATGGCAATTTCAAAAGCTTAAACATTTTGGCTTATAACGAGATATCAATAAAAACATTGATTTTAAAGGCAGACTTCTATATGATGTGGCCTATCTCAATAGGTCGTTAACTTGAACGAAATGGGATTTTAAAAAAACAATATTTTCTTTCACTGAAAACACGATATTTTTCCTGCATTGATTTTCGATACGGTTTCAAGTTAAGAGAAATAAAATCATTAAAAGGAAATATCCAATGACTTTTCACGAGACCAAATTGACAAGCGCATACTAAGAAATCTAACCAAAAACTCCACTATAGACGCCGGACATTGACTATAATTACCATTGAAATATTCGCGTTCTTGAATGTCGTTCAAATAACTTGATTCATGAATATCTATAAGCTGATCTACTTCTTCATCTTCGACCATATCAAAGTCCTCTTCAGAACCATCAACTATCCTCTGAAATAATTTTAATGTGTTTCTTGGAGAAGGAAACAACCTTATATTCTGTACTAGTTGTTGGTATTAGGACAATAGGCTGGGTTTCTGTTATATTTGGTCCACCTGTTTGATGTTCATTCACCTCAAAAATTTACATCAAAAAAAAATTTTTTTAATATTAACCTCATCATCTTCGTACACCTGCACTGCAATTGATTCTGCCACCATTTGTCGGAGCCTCTTTTCATCTTCCAAATTTCTTTTAAACTCTACATTCTAAAAAAACATTTCAGAAACGAATAAATATTTAACCTTTGTTTACCTCGGTTTCTGGATGGATTTGCCTAAAATGTTCTATCAAATTTTGTCCGTTGATTGCAGGAAAATCACAGATTCCGCAGTTAAATGGGAATTTCTGAAAGTGCCTACTCCAGATATGACTTTCTAGGTGCTCCAAGTTTGCTTAACAGTTTAGATATTAGCGTTGGATTTGTTTAAACTTACGTTCTTCTACGGTACATTCACAACAACGAAAAACTATAGGATACCCAAGCATTTATATGGTATAAATTATCCAAAATTAAGAATCGTGTGGCGTTTACAATAGTGGGAATTTCCTGAAAAAATATATATCCATGGAGCGCACTTGCGGCTTTGCGCATATCAGAAACGTTGGATATTTTTGAAAATTGGACCAAATAAAAATTTTGTTGTTAAAGGAATTTTCTTGAATAGAATTCTATTGAATATTTTGGATATGGAAATTGTTTGATAATTGCTTAAACTTGGTAATTTCGGCTTACTCGACCGAATATGAGAAAATTGCCTTGGACGGGCCGAACAATGTTTGTTTTTTTTTTGTTTCGGCCGGCGTGTGTCGAGACATCGTACAACTGCATATACACTGACACAAGTACGCTCCACGGAGACATTTTTCAGGAAATCCCTACCAGTAATAACGGCTTGGGAACTCGGTCATTATTCATTTACGGATTAGTTTCTTGACCATTTCCACGGATTGCATGTCGTTAAGACTGCTAATCGTTGGTATATCGATACATTTAATTTTGATATATTCCATATTCGACGTATATTATACCAGTCCAGTTATAAAAGGGATAAACGCGCATTATTTGAAAAACGTGGAACCTCCATCGAAGAGAGTTGTAATATACTCAGCAGGTTTGAGGTTCAGACGATTTAGCCAACCTTTGAAAGTATTATAGATGGATTGAGATATGATACATTCAATAATTGGCCGGAAAAATCCCCTTTTCTACATGATATAATAAGAAATCGCAAGGTTTTTGGAGATAAAAAACAGTGGAAATTTTGGAGATAAAAAACAATGGAAAACATTTTCCAGGGTGTAGCAGGATTGTCCTTGTCTCATGTTCCAACGGAGTCTCGTCCGGGACACGTTGCGATATTCGCAGGAATCACTGAAGATGTTAGCTCAGTTGCAAAGGGCTGGAAAAAGAATCCAGTAAAATTTGACAGTGTATTCAATAGGTTAAATTTGTTTAAAATATATCTACTATTTGTAATATTAAAGATCGTCGCACAGCTATATGTGGGGTAGTCCTGATATTGTTTCATTATTCGACGATATTCCAGCTGCAACATCATTTTATTATTCAGAAGAAGAAGAAGATTTCAGTTCGGATGATGCTTCAAATTTGGACAAATGGGTTTTTGATAATTTTGAGGTTTTGAAATCTTATTTCAGACAATTTATTTCTTTTTAGAATTTTTTAAAATCAAATTCTGAGCTCAAAGAACAGTCTCAGGTGATATTTTTTCTTCATTTATTGGGCATTGATACTAACGGTCACGGACATAAACCGAAATCGAATCAGTATATTGACAATATAAAAGGTAGAATCGCCTGAATAGCTTTTCACTGAAATCTAGATAAACTTCAGTCGTGGACGATGGTATCGCTAAAACTACTGAAATTATCGAAGAATTCTTTGGAGATGGAAAAACTGCATATATTTTTACATCAGATCACGGAATGACCGATTGGGGATCACATGGTGCAGGTAGCGATGTTGAAGTTCTTACACCATTTGTTGCATGGGGGGCCGGAATACGTAAAGGAGGTGTTAGGCATGCGATTAACCAGGTTTTCCTAAAATTTGTATTAAAGTGATATCAACTACTTTGCAGATTGATTTCGCTCCCCTTATTTCGATGCTAATTGGTACCGCAATTCCAACCAATTCAATGGGTGTTCTCCCGGTGAGTTTAATGAACTCTGGGAGCCAAAAATACGAATTCCGAGCTATTCTGGCAAACTTTCTACAGGTATTCAAATTTTTAAATTTGATTCAACAAGAAACTGTTTTAGTTGAAAGAGCAAATCGTGCATTTAAGAAATGGAATCTCACATCGTTTTTGGTTCCAGCAATTTCCACATTTTGGAGATAAATCAATGAACGCGCTAGAAAGTGAAATGGTCCGTCTAGCGAAGATAGGACGATTCGAAGCAGCCACATCGTTGTTCGTAAACAAAGCTCATCTCCTGAAAGACGCAATTGTGTACTATCATCGTTACGATCAACAACTACTTGGATCCGCTGTGACACTCATATTTTTCTCGTGGATCTGCTTGATTTCCTCATTCCTGATTCAAGACAAGCCGATGAAATTAGAAAAAAGCCTGTTAATACCCAACAACTTTTATCGCGTATTCTTGCTTCTCGTATTCAGCTTTGGAGTATATTGTCCATTGTCACTGACTCAGTTCTCGTACATTTTACTTCCTGTTTATTTATTCGCGATCTTCGAGAACAATACGAACGTGAGATGAATAAAATACAACATTACCATCCAAAAAAACGAGATCACTTGTTTATAAACGAGTTTAGGGTTTCTCGTTTTTTTGCGATGGTAATAATTCAAAGTTCAAAACTTAGTTTGCAGATTTCGACATGGCTACTAAAATGCTTCTCAACAAAAATAGATTTACAGAAGGTTTTAAGGGACAATTTCGTCAAGCCATTTTTAGGAATTTTGGGGATGCGTATGCTAAACTATTCTGCCAAATTACATATTTAATATTACAGTTATTCTCATCGCCGTTTTCGTTTTAGTTTTTATTGATCGTAAATTTCTGGTGCTGGTTTTCCTGCTCTTAATGTTTCTTCCTGCAGCTTACAACTCCGCAGTTGTTGATTATTGGCCAGTAATTCTTTAGGAATTGTATACAAATTCATTTTATAGGTCTACATCCTGGAGGATTATATGTTGTTTCCTTCTACCATTTCCTTTTCTACCATCAGTCGGTGTTCAAACGCATATTTCCTTATGCATAGCTAGCCCAGCGATTTTGAGCTATTTCTGTAATAAGATTTCGAATAGAGGATGTTGTGCAAGGATTCAGGGGCTGCTGAAAGGCTATTCAAAGGTTCTTTTGGCGGCTTCATTATTCATTTTCATCGTAAATTTTGGTTTTAACAAGGTATTTCATCATTTACTTCTTGTATGCAATAATGGTATTACAGCCTCCTACCATTGCTCGATGGATATCATGGATGTCCATCCCACTATCATTCATCACTCCTTCAATAACGAGCCAGGCATATATGGTGGATCGCCTTATAGCCTATTCTCTCGCATTCTTCATACCATATTGTTTACTTTCAATTTCCTACGAATCCCTATTCATGTTAATATTCATTATGCTTCTCATGGTATTCTTCAGAATCGAAAATTCACATTTATCAGATGTGGAGCTGATGAGCCTCAAAATTCCGCAGTATAAGTGTGGTATAAAGAAAAACGTTATGTTGAGGTATATTTATACGTTTCAGTTAATCATGTCGCTGGATTTCGCGGAAATCTTGTCGATATCCGACGGTCAGTTGTGTGTGTTGCCCTGGTGTTATGCACATTATTTGGAACAGGAAACTTTGCATCGATAAATTCTTTTAATCCTTCAACGCTCAATTTATTCATTTCAGTTTTTAGGTAAACAACTATTTTTCAAAAAAAAAAAACATTTATAAACTTCAGTCCGTTCACAATGGCAATTCTGTTAATTCTAAAGCTTCTGCTCCCGATTCTTTCTGTTACAAAACTGATCGCCGCAATTGTTCGTTTTGAAAAAATTACTATTCAAAAAACATGCTCCATTGTCTTAATAATTACAGACCTGATGTCAATGGTATAAGTTATATATATATATATATATATATATCTACAACTATTTGTTTAGTGTTTTTTCCATCAACTGAAAGATGAGGGAAGCTGGCTCGACATAGGAATGAGTATATCACAATATATCGTTTCCATGTGCATTTCTTTGGCCTTACTTTTGCTATTATCGATTTCAAGCGCCTTGATGAGAATGGAATTTTCAAGATGGTAAACATTTTTTATTTAAACCATTTACTTCTCGGCCTTATTGTAGGATTCGTTCTGAAAAATGCTCGGATGGTTCGCCTTAATTTTCTTATGATGCTTTCATTGCGTTATACTGGTTTTTGTTGAAATTTCGGTTTAATAAGAATAAAAATAATGATAATAAAAAATCGTTATGTTATATGAATATCACAATGTCATTTTAAAGTCTCTGGCGCCCGGAGAGCACTCGAATTATGCACCCATGACCGAATTTGGAAACGAGTTGCGCATGCCATGCGAGAAGTGATTGACAAGCATTAGCATCGCCGGACAGCTCCATAGCCTTGTAAACGTATTTCATCAGAATGTCGCCTTCATCGATTGAGAGTTTCTAAACGATAAGATTATAATGAAATTTTAAACAATTGAAGTTATCCCAAAATAACTTTAACACTGTTAATTTTCTTTAAAAAATGAATTCAAATCATTATTTTCTTGTCACAATTACCTGAACTGCAGGTTCGATTTCATGTGACTTGAATTGTTGAACAACTTTAGCAACAAGAAGTGTCGCACGATCCTTGGCAGCCTAGAAGTATAATTCATAAAACAAATGAACGAAATACAAGTTTACAATGTTTATCTAATTATTTGGAAAATTAGAAATTTACATTTCTGAGATAAACAATATATGAATAGTTTAATGAACAAACAAATTAAAATACCTGATCCTTAGTTTTTGTTGGAGGTGAAAGCAGGGCAGCACGCAAAGCATCTTCCAATCTGTTCGAACTCAAATAATTCTGAATTGATCGTTCGTCTGGTCCAAGTCCCGGAGTATCGACTGCTGAATAAATTATTCTTCAAATATAAATAAATAAACATTTCTGTAATTACTTTCATCATTTTCATCGTACTGCTCCGGGTCGAACGCGTCGACATTCAATTTTCTATACGCGGTGTTTTGCATATTCTTCGCCATTTTTCCAGAACTACAAAAATGTCGTAATGTCGTAAGACGAGTTAGAAGGAAAACAAATACTGAGTGACTCAAGGTTTTGAGTGCATAAACAATTCAAAATCGTGAGTACGCAGCTGCGTAGAGAAATTTGTGCATGGCCTAAGAATTATACGAGTAAAACCTCGGCCAAAACGATTATTCACGTGAATTATTACGTGATCACGTAATAATTTGATTCATATATATATATATATATAATCTCTTATCAAATCGTGTCGTAGAAACGGAAGGGGAGATTCGAAACGAATTAAATGTTTCTCTACTCTCTCAAATACTGTTTCATCGGCGATTCATCCGCGTTTCACCGAAATCTCTATTCACCGTTGCTTCTAGAACATGATTTGCTGAAGCAATTTCTTTTTTTTTCGAAAAAAACTTCTTTATAAATATATTTGTTTCAAGGTTCTGAGGAATAATGAAAAACTTGACAATTAGTCGTGTTGAAGCCATAAAAGATTCTCGATTAAAGGGTTTGATGACATAAATATAACCAACAACATCGACATAAATATTTAGGTGCTGATAATTTCGCCATTGACTTGACATCTTCGGAAATTTATGTCAGTACTCCAGCAAATTTATACTGTTTGGATAAAGAAGAGGTATTTATTTGAAAAAAAAAAAGAAAATGAAAATTTTTATGAAATAGATTGTGCATACCATAAACTGGCAAAATGCAAGGAAGGACGCTGAAGTAATTTTGTTAACAGCAAGAAGTTTTGGACAAAGTCAGGTTGTTGCAGTATTATCTGATGGAAAAGTTTTGGTAGTGGAGAATAAAAATAATGTGCAAACTTCTTATTTTTTATTCTTCAAATAATTTTATTAAGGTGATTGAACTAGAATGTACAGAAATCAGCGATAAATCAACAGCCGCTGCAGCGTGGAGCACAGATGAACAATACCTTGCAATCTGCGACAATGTCCACCTGGTTCTTCTAGATTCGTCTCTTATTACAGTAACTGAGAGGTTGCTGAAATTTTCGGAAAATGAACAAAAAAATCTTCCGGTGAATGTAGGATGGGGTTCAGAACTCACACAATTCCGAGGGTCCGCAGGAAAGATTAAGGTGCTCATTTTATGTCTTGCTATATTTTTAAAAGTCTTTCAGCCCGAAGAGGAAAACAAACCGGAGAATATTGAAAACAATTCTAATCGCACAGTTGTAGAGTGGAGGTATGATGGAGCATATGTTGCTGTTTCCTATATTCCACCAAACAGTCCGACTAGAATTCTGACGGTAATCTAAGGTTTTAATGACCTATATCAATAAGCAAATTTTAGCTTTTCAATAAAAATTGCGAAGTCTTAAGCAGTATGAATGTGCGTAATATTCATCTGGCGCACTCGTTCGCAATCAAACCAAATTCCAATCTTATATGCTCTTCGATTCTTAAGCAAAGTTCTTAAAACAAATTTGAAAAACTATACAAAGTTTTATCAGATCATGATGAAATAGCCTTCTACGAGCAAAATGGTGAAACTCGCAATGGATACTCTGTGAAATGGCCAAAAAACTCGCGGAGAATAATTGAAAAACTGTCGTGGAATTCTACTGGTTCGTTGATTGCTATAGAAATAAGTGAAGGAAAGAAACAATTCGTGGAGTTCTGGAAAATGTCTAATTACGAATTCACACGAAAGTTGGTATGGAAGATTTCTGATCCTTGGATTTCTCAATGGAATGTTCTACAAGAATATCAGTATAACATAATGATAAAGGAGACGGGTGAATTCTTCTCAGTGACGTTGAAACCGGATATATCGTTTTGCCCGGAAAATTCTCTAAATTTTGTAGTTGCTACAGGTATGCGTTTTCATTTGAAAAAAAGAAGGCAAACATTTTAGATGAGGTTCGAATCTCTAATCTATGTTATAGTGCAATTCCACCACCACTGTGTGAGACCTCCATCTTTGTGGAGGAAGGAATTTCGTTAAAAGCAACAACAAAACAGCGAGCTCATTTTTTAACATTTGATGGAAAAATTGAAAGCTGTAAGTATTGCAGTTTCTGTAGAAAAATACATAGAATATTCAGACGAGCGAAATAGTAACACAACCAATTTCACCAAAATTTCTCAAACATGTCATGTTGACGTTGGAAACTTCCCATGTGCTATTCTTAGTTACGATAGTACGAACTTCATTCTTTGGAAAAAAGTTGGAGCTAGTGATGTTGTTCAATTGATCGATGGTGATAATGGAAAAAGTATTGAGACGATATTCGAAGGAAAGGATATTGGTTGGGTTGGAGTGAATCCAATTACTCAAAACATTGAAATTGCTACTCTGAATGGAATGTTTTTTGATGCACGAACAAAAACTAAGATTTTGGAGATCGATAAATTCCTGTCGGTCCAAGTTATTTTTGTCAAGGCTCGGGAATACTAAGAAGTAAATATGAAGAGCTTACATTTTTAGAGCTTTCGTGTAATTCTAACTGATGACGCCTGCTTATATCTTAACTCTGAAAAAATCGCCCACAATGTCACTTCTTTTCTTCCAAGAGAACATCAAATTATTTTCATTGACTTTGAAAATAAACTACGATTTCTGGACATAGAACTGGGAACAATTGGAGAAGGTAAGAGTATTTTTTAAATCTTAAAATTGCAAATCGGGTTTTAGATATTCGTGACGTCGAAATTGGTAGCGAATTGATGGCTTGTGATGCTCGTTCAGCGAATGTTGTTCTTCAAGCACCACGCGGAAATCTGGAAACTATTCAACCAAGACGGTTCGTGATAGCCGAAACTCGACGTCTTCTAGATCAAGAATTTTATATTCCGGCTTTTAAATGGATGAAAAAACATCGAATCGATTTGTCATACGCGATCGAATATGAGAAAGAGGTATTAGAAATATTTCACTGGGTGTGGAATTCAACATTTAGAAACTAGCGAATAACTGCGCAAAATGGTTAGACAATACTGTCGATTCGCCACTTCTTGAACAGCTCGTAGTGAGCTGTACTGAAAAATTCCCAAAAGAAGGAAACGTTCTATGCGAAGCGATTCATCAAATAATTCTTGGATCGGAGGATTTAGAACAAAAAACAAAGCTTTTCCCACTGTTGTTGACTTCACTGCTTCGAAGTGATCCGCCGAGGATTAAGGATTCCCTCAAAGCAGTTATAAAACATTCAGAGTTATTGAGTAGGCAATTTGTTCGTTTTTTAAAAAAGTGTTTTTAATGATTGTTTTACAGTTGATCGGAGAGACGTTTTCATCCGACAGAGTCTACATCACATTTCATTCTTTGTTCCTTCCAAAGAACTTTTCAATTGCGCCTTGTCTACATACGATCTGAATCTTGCTCAGCAAGTTGCTGAAGCATCAAATGCCGATCCAAAGGAATATCTGCCTGTACTGAACAACTTGAAGAAAGTTAAATGCCCATTGGAATTCAAATACCGTGTTGACGTTGTCCGAGAAGCGTGGGTTGAAGTTCTTGATGATCTCTTTATACTTGATTCAAGTGAGTCGCGAGGAAACGATGAAACATGGTACACATATCATTTGAAATTATTGACTGTTTTGTGATGTTAAGGTGGAAATATGCTTTGGATATAATGCAGAGGGAAACAATGCAAAACCAAGCATTGATGATCTTAAAGCCAAGCGATAAACGATACAAGGATTGCTGTGCGATTTACGCCGCTGAACTAGAAAAAAAATTGAACTGGAGAGAAGCAGCACTTTTTTATGAAATGGCTGGATATGTTGAGAAAGTCTTCGAAACTTCTTCGAAGTTTTTTTTCATTATTTTCATTTCTTCAGACGCTAAAATGCTGGGAAATGTCACGTGATGTTGATGGAATGGCAAATTCTGCTCGTCGATTGTCGGTGGAACCAGCAAAACTTAAACTCGCCGCCATTAAAATGTCAGCAACACTTAAAGAAGCTAGAATGTACAGAGAATGCGCAAAAGCTCAAAAACTCACCGGAGCTACACAGGCGCAGATTATTTCAATTCTCTGTGAAGGATTTGAATGGGAAATGGCACTAAAAGAAGTGGATCATATTGGAGTGAACGAAATACTTAAAAAAGCTGCTAGCACGCGGCAAGAAACTATTACGACGGAGTTGACCCGAAGAAAAGCGGAGTTTGACAAATATTTTGCCCGGCTTCAAATTGTTAGAGAGAATAAACTGAAAAAAATCGAAAAATTTTCTGCGGGAGAGGTTGAAGATTTTAGGGTATTCTAATTCATTTTGACCACAATTGGGATAGCTATTTTAGGATGATATTTCCTCTATTTCAAGCATTAGCTCACGGTCATCGAGAGCTTCAATGGCTTCCAGTGTTAGAAAAAAGAAGCAAGTCGAGAAAAAGAAGAACTCGTTGAAGGAAGGTGGTGAATTTGAGGATTCTGCCTTACTTATTAATCTAGCTGAGCATTACTCGTGGGTAGAACAGATAAGAAGTACAAATTTCTCTTTCAATATTATTTATGGAAAAAATATATAAATTCAGAGGAAATCTCCCAACTCATTCCTGTTCTTATCTCTGTCGGATTGATGTACGAAGGGATGGCGTTAAGAATTTCCATTCAAGATTTCACTGAGCAACTTATTAAGCAAAAGAATGCTATTTGGCCAGAGGTTCTGCACGTTCAACATTTGCCGGGCCCATTACACATGCTGGTAAAAAATAATGACTTTAAACATCTAATATGAAATTCTTGTAGTTTGATCCTAATCAGGAGCAATCGCCGATTCCAATGCCACCAGTTTTTAAACTAGGTAACTAATAAATATCTTAATCGTTATAGAAACAACCTAAAATTGCAGAACCTGAACTCGTCGCTCCAAACCCGACATTTGTGCCAATCTACCCTTAATTGATTGTTAAATTCGTTCTATTTCTTTAACTCTTCCTTGTTGATTCACTCGTATTGTTACATTTTGCTCGGATAAAACGCATTTTTCAGGAAAGAAACGTTCAAAGAAAGCGAAAAAAAAGAATTAACACATTTCAACAAGTCGATTCCCGTGGGGAAATCTTGCGAGCCCTAAATGAAAAGCGGCGCGCTATTCTATATAATCCGCTCGAAAATATCAATCATATGACTGGCGGCGTCTACCGTAGTCGTCATCGGATGGCGTTCGCGCCCTATTGGGAATTTTATGGCGATGCGCGAAAATAGCAAGAATTGGCGGCCACACCCACTTAGCCGCGTTATTCAACGGTAATGTTCTGCTCGATTGATGCGCTTTTATGCGAGAATTCTGTAGCAACGGGGCCCATTAAGAACATCGAGGTGAATTGCGCTGAAGAACTCATGAAAATGGCTGAAAAGGCAAGATCAGTGGTAAACGGTAAGTTTATTTTTGATTTCGAGATTTGCGTTTTTTCTTCTTACCAGCAGAACCTGAGCAAAATTCAAAACCTACTACCGACAACTTCCTTCAAACCATCCCAATCTATCCTGTTCCTCCTATTTTCCCACTAATTTATGATCATCTGGCGCTCAGCTGTAAGTCGCAAAATTACGCAACCGCCAAACGCTCATTTTAGTCAACGCTTGGCAAGCATGGGGAAAAATGAGGCGGCCGCGCACCGCATTCAGCAGCGAGCAGCTGGTTGAACTTGAGAAGCAATTTGCCGACAATCACTATTTGAGTCGCCCACGTCGATATCAATTGGCCCAGCAACTTTCGCTTACAGAAACACAGGTATAAAACAAGTAATATAAAATAAAATATTTATAGACTCCTCAATAGAATTGATTTTTTCTATATAATTGTGATATGCAGATTTTGGAAAGAAAACGTTTCGCATTTTTAAAGCCACCTCCGTGAACGCAGTAAAAACTCTATTATAAAATCAGATCAATATTTAGTTCGCCAATGAAATAACTTTGTAAATTCGATTCGGAATGGATCTGGTTTTCCACATATTGGATGGACTTGGTGTTAAATTCCTGCTCTAATAGATCCCACTCGTCGGTAATCGCCGCTTTCAATACATCAATGGATCGATATTGCTTGCCATGGCGATAAAAGCCGCGAACCAGCTCTCCCTAAACATTCTTCATTGGATTTAAGTCTGGCCACTCCAAAACGTCGATACCTTCTTTGCTGAGGCAATTCAAAGTTGATCGACTCACATGAATTGCGGCATTGTCTTGTTAGAATACGAACTTTCTGTGTCGAAAATTAGGTTCTTTCCATTCCATAAATCGTGCCAATAACACTTATTCTCATAAGAACCATTTAGTTTAAACTTTTTACGCCTACTACAACCCACCCTGACTTTTTCCCCACACCCTGGGTTTTCCACCCCGACTTTTCGGCCCACGGTTTTTATTTCCATACCGCCCTGGCTTTTTTTCCCCCATCCTGACTTTTTCACCCCTACTCTTCTAGGTCTACTACAATCCACCCTGACTTTTTCCCCCACCCTGGGTTTTCCACCCCGACTTTTCCACCCACGTTTTTTATTTCCATACCACCCTGGCTTTTTCTCCCCCCCACCCTGACTTTTTCACCCCTACTTTTCTACCCACGGTTTTAAGTTCATTATAATTTTCAAAAAATCACTTTTTCGATTAACAAAAATTATAATACATTTATTACAAAATTATCACATTTGCCTAACGGGAAATGTCGAATTAGAACAAAATTGAGCAAAATGGCGAAATAGTAAATTTTTAGAGTTGTAGCGATCCATCCAAGAAGGCTATGGTGGGTCAATTGGTATATATGAATAGATATTGTTAGTAGTCTCCGTTAGTTTAATGAAAACAACTAAACACCGGTTTTATTCGGCAACATATTTATTTAAAACATTAAAAAGTTAACTAATTATTTTATACCGTAAAATCTGTATCAAAATGGTACTTCTAACAAAACAGCCTTCAAAAAACTTCTCAAAGTATTAGGGCAACAATTTTTTAACACTAGGAAATGTTTTTATGAAATTTGTAAAAAAAAGCTTCGAGAAATTGAAAATGATATAGTTTTCAAACAGGCTTGACGGTATAGACGTATAGACCATTTTCGATTTCTCGAAGCATATTTTTTTTTACAAATTTCAAAAAAAAGATTTCCTAGTATTTAAAAATTGTTGCCCTAATACTTTGAGAAGTTTTTTGAAGGCTGTTTTGTTAGGAGTACCATTTTGATATAGATTTTACGGTTTAAAATAATTAGTTAACTTTTTATTTTTTTAAATAAATATGATGCCGAATAAAACCGGTGTTTAGTTGTTTTCATTAAACTAACGGAGACTACTAACAATATCTATTCATATATACCAATTGACCCACCATAGCCTTCTTGAATGAATCACTACAACTCTAAAAATTTACTATTTCGCCATTTTGCCCAATTTTGTTCTAATTCGACATTTCCCGTTAGGCAAATGTGATAATTTTGTAATAAATGTATTATAATTTTTGTTAATCGAAAAAGTGAATTTTTGAAAATAATAATGAACTTGAAACCGTGGGTAGAAGAGTAGGGGTGAAATAGTCAGGGTGGGGGGGGAGAAAAAGCCAGGGTGGTATAGAAATAAAAACCGTGGGTGGAAAAAAAAGCCAGGGTGGGTTGTAGTAGGCCTTATCATCCGAGAAAATGATGTAATGATAATCGTATTGTTTTTTAAGAAAAATTTTGTTAAAAAGTTATCTTTGTCGAATCAGTGGGCATGTTGTCTCGCGCAAATGCGAGACGACGCAACTTGTTATGGTTTAAGAGGCTCGGAGCAGGACGCATAACTGTCCGGAAACTGTTGGGATCATCTTAAAGTGTCTTAAAAATCGTCGTCTTACTATCATAAAGATTCCGCTTGTTTTTGATGTCGTTACATGACTTCATCGTGTTGGATGCTACTCGGATGATCTTCTGTCGCGGGAGTTCAGTTTCGCCAAGAAGAAATCCTTCAGTGTGACCATCCGGCGATTTTTAAGAAAGCGATGGTAGCTTTTTCGGCATCGGTTAGCAAAAATCCCTGTGACATGTTCAAATGTAAGTTAAAATAGGCGGAAAATAAAGAAAAAATCTTACAGTTCTTTATTTAAAGATACACTGCTACTTCTCCTTTAGGTCTCCACAATTTCACACCTTTCACGGGGGGTCGCTTTATAAATGTGAAACCGTTGCAAGTGACCAATTTTTAGTGTTTTCAACGTCACTTGGTCAATTTTTATGATATAGGTTGATAAATGTGAAACGCACTGTAGTTATTGGATCTTGCAGGGAAGGAATGTTTCACTTTCAGATAAAGATCTGGTTTCAAAACCGACGAATGAAAAGTAAACGATGTCCATCACAATCACGAACAACAGATCAAATCATAAGCTCAAAGCAACAATAGATTAAATCATAATCAATCATAAGCTTATTATAGTGGCTACAAGATATTTGAATGTCAATAAATTTCCATGCTAATTGTTATTAACTCAATTCACTAGCACAGTTAAAATGAATCAAATATTTAAAGATACCATCCAAACTTGAAATTTTAAAATAAATGAGACGGATGTTTAAATCGCCACCAAACAGTGATGTTCTCGGACTTTCTCTAATTTTTTGGTTTTCTCGCAAATACCGTTCACCTTCTTCTGTTACTTAGCCTCTTCGTGGCGAAAAAGATAAACTGCTCATTCTCCTCTACATAACTGGGGATTTCGTCAACCTAGTGGAACATGCTCAGGCTAATCAGTACACTGACCCACGCAGGCCGTGGATAGAGTCGAATACTCCTCATCCGGGCGGCTTCGATTCGGCCTAGCAAGCCGGAAGAAGTAAACAGGGACCCAGTCCGCTAAAAACAGTATAAAGCGTAGAAATGTCCCGGACCCGAGCTCTGTCCCTGGATTGACAGTTACAGGACAAGCAGATCGGGAACAATCCGGGCCTGATGGCAACTGTCTGGTCTCGGTTAATGGAAAATCGCCCCGAAAAACACGAAAAGTTCACTTCAGAATTGGCACTTTCAACTGTAGATCGCTTGCTACAGAAACCAGACTCTCTGAGCTCCTCAATGAACTCAATCGAATCAAATTCGATATCATTGGACTCAGTGAGACGAAAAGGCCAACGGAAGAGCATATGAAACACGTTGATGGGACAGCGGGCAAACGGCAAATCCTAGGCAAACGTCATGAAACTTCTGTTGTTGGAGGGGTCGGCTTCGTAGTTCATAGCACCCTCGCTCCCCGTATAGAAGAAGTAAGATTTCTTAGCCACAGGATCGGCATGCTAACATTCAAGGTTGGAAATAAGCTTAAATTCACAGTCATGCAAGTTTATGCTCCAACCGCCGATGGTGAACTCCTCGCAACCTTCTGTGAAACAAACCGCTTATGGCACACAAACTCGCTTTTCCAAAAGCCAGCTCATAAGCGTTGGACTTTCATTAGTCCGGATGGCCTTTTTAAGCACGAAATCGATCACATCCTACGGGAGGTTTGTAACAGATACTTCGGTGCTGCCATCATTCACAGTAGGAAGCGACCGCCTTCTCCGTGCGAACATCCACTTCAACATAAATTGGCTGAAGTACGATAAAAGCAGGAAGAGAAAGGCGCCAAAGAAAGTATTGGACCCGGAGATGGCTAAAACAATAAGCTCGATTGTTAGTCTTCCAGTAGCCAACAGCGTTGACGAAGATTACTCTAATCTAACAACGCTACTCAGGAAACTACAAGACCAAGCCATTGTTAAACCATCAAACCACCGGACCAATAGGATCTCTGTCGAAACACAACAATTGCTCTCGCGCAGACGAAACATGAGCAGGTCCGATCCCAATTTCAAGAACCTCTCAAAACAGTGCCGAGAAGCAATCGAACGAGATCACAAGGAGTTCACCAATTCCCGGTTACTAGGAGCAGCCGATCAACGCAAAAGCTTGAAGAGAGTAGCGCGAGACATGAACGAATACAAGTCACTGATTCCATGCCTCAAATGCTCTACTACAGGAAGAACTCTCACCTCTAGAACAGAAATGGAGAAGGAAGTGGAATCGTTCTACACGAAGCTCTTTGCGAGTAGAGCCCCACAAGTGCCTACGCCTACGACAACGTAAGTCAAGGATAGGCCCCTTCCATTTCTACGAGAGGAAATCGTTTCGGCACTTCGGTCCTTCCCAAATGGGGAATCAGCAGGCAGTGATAAAATAAGCGCAAACTTCCTCAAATGCTGCCACGAAAACACTATCGTGCTGATAACGGACCGATTTAACCGCTACCTAGAAACCGGATCAATACCGAGACTGTGGACCAAGTCAGAGACAACTATCATCTTCAAGAAAGGTAATAGATACTCCCTGGAGAACTACAGGCCAATCACGGTACTCTCTGTTCTATACAAGGCTTTCACAAAATGTATCTTGAATAGAATAAGGAGTAAACTAGAAGCCAATCAAGCTGTAGAACAAGCTGGGTTCCGCAAGGGCTTCTCAACAGTGGATCAAATCCACTCTGTCCAAAGACTGCTAGAAGTGGGACGAGAATATCAAATCCCACTCACACTTGTCTTCGTTGATTTCAAGAAGGCGTTCGACAGTGTTGAGCATTCAGCAGTGTGGCAGAGCCTAAGAGACCAAGGCGTTGAAGAAGCGTATATCCAGCTACTCCAAAGTTGTTACTCTGACTGTTCCACAAGCATCACGCCATTCCATCGACAGGTAGAGATACCTGTTCGAAGAGGAGTAAGGCAAGGTGACCCAATCTCGCCGAACCTTTTCTCCGCGTGCCTGGAGCTAGTTTTCCGTCGATTGTCTTGGAGTCAATTCAAAAACGACTCAGAAGACAACACGAACACTCCAGGATTACGAGTGAATCGCCGCAAGCTTACACACCTGCGGTTTGCAGACGACGTCATGCTCATAGCGCGCAGTCCGCAAGCGGCATCCGAGATGCTAAGTGAGATGGTTGCGAGATGAGAACAAGTAGGGCTCCAGATTAACGCTGGAAAGGCCAAAGTCCTACGTAACCCCTTCGCAGACTTGACGATGTTGACGAATATGTGTACCTTGGAAGACTACTCACCCCCTAAAACGAGCTAGTCAAGGAGATCTTCCGCAGGAGAAGAGCAGCTTGGGCAACGTTTAATGGAATCAAGAACACCACCGATTTGATTTCCTGTAACAAAACCCGCGCACAGCTCTTCGATTCCATCGTTCTCCCAGCGCTGACTTACGGATCAGAGACTTGGACCTTCACCAAAGCTCTTGCCAAAAGAGTCCGAATTAGTCACGCTGCGCTTGATCGAAGATTGTTTGGCCTCACGTTATCACAAAAACGTGAACAAGATATTCATCGAGAGGACATCCGCATCATGTCTAAAGTTCGGGATCCTCTACACCACATCACGAAGAGGAAGATGACCTGGGCTAGACACGTTGCTAGAAGAACAGATGGAAGATGGACTACTCTTCTAACGGAGTGGCGGCCGTGGAAGTGGACCCGGCCAAAAGGAAGGCCTTCCATGAGATGGTCTGACTCGCTTCGGAAGGAGATCACTACAAGAACAGCTGAAGGAGCCGTTATCACCCCCTGGTCCACCCAAGCCAAGGACCAAAAAGCTTGGAAAGCTGTGGTTCGCGCCTCAACAGGCGAAGGACGAACCGACTAAGTGACTAATGTAAGTGATTACTATTATTTGAATATGTTATTATTATCATTTAATATATACATTATAATAAATATGCGAATAATACATTAATTCCATTTCTTGAAGTGGACATGTTTTTTCCGGCAGTCATCCGATTTTGAACTCGATACCGAAGTTGACCGCGAAAATTTGGGATGCATCCAGTTACAGTAATTGCGGGAAGACGATGGCAAATGAACAAGTGGTTCGATGCGGCGCTGTTTTTCACGGCAATTGCTACTTCCAATGTTTTTTAAGGAATCACGAGAAGCTGAAACATATAATTGTTTAAATTTAGCTGAACGGAAAATTTAACCGGACAGATTAATTTTAACGTGCAGATACAAACTTCTGCATGTCTGAAGATGTTGATGCTGTACTTTCCGGAAGAGTCAGAAAAAAATCATGCGAAGTTTTTCCGCCGCTTATGGACTTATTTAGCGTAATTCAAAATAGTCCAAATAGTCTTTTTTAGCGTAAATTTGAGAAATTTTACGTGATTGCATTAGTAATAAATGACAAGCTTGACAATTAATGGCGGAAAAACTCCTTTTAAACGATTCTTAAAATATTTAAAAAGAAAAAAAAAATTGAAAATAAAATTTCTTAAATTAAAAAAATGAGCCCACCTGACATAGTCGTCCGTTCTTTGCGTGTTTACTGATAGCCGTCGTCGACACACAACACCTGTTTTATGCGAATTATAATCCAAAAACCATACAAAAACGTGCTTTGGCGCGCGAAATTTACTTTTTCGAAAATGTGAGCAATTGACAGTGAAAAAATGAGTGTTCGATAGGGAAACAAAAAACCGGGGAAAATAATAATAAAGGGCCAAAAACTAGATGAAAATTCATCAGCAACATTCAAAAATCATAAATTCATGCAGTTAAAGGTAACTGCTAGCAAAAGAAGTTCCAAGGAATGACTGGCTCACTGACTGAGATGGACTTTTAATACGTCGGCCACCAGACGTTCGACTTCTCGCTGGAGTTGATTCTCGAATTGGCTCAATATCCTCCTCTAAATCGTCTTCATCACCACCTAAACACCCTGAGTATTTAAGAAAATTTGCAGAAAATAAATAAACCCATCATTTGACGTTGAACCAGCTGTTTGTACAATCCATCCTGTTCCATCAATTCTTTGTGATTTCCCATTTGTTCAACTTTGCCCTAGAAAAAGATAAAGTAACATTCGTCAGACAATAACATCAAATAAACAGTCATGAATATAAATTTGAATAGAAACTATGTTTAATTTGTCAATGCAAAAAATTTAAAAATACATATTTATTAATTTTTAACAAAGCTACCACACTAAATGCCCCCACCCAACTTCCTAAAGTTGGCATAAACTGTTCAATTGTTTTAATAGAATAATGTAAACCCGTATACCTTATTTATGACCACGATTTTATCCGCGTTTTCGACGGTCGAAAGCCTGTGAGCAATTAAAATAACAGTTTTTCCTTTTAGATTTTTTGAAATAGCTTCTTGGACCTGAAGCATTTATTGAATATTTTACTGAACCCTTAAGTACCGTGTGCTCCGATTCGGCATCGAGCGCAGACGTGGCTTCATCTAACAATAAAACAACAGGTTGTCTAACAAGAGCTCTAGCTATTGCTATTCTTTGCTTCTGCCCTCCTGACATCTGACTTCCCTTTTCTCCAACATCAGTATTATAACCATCCGAAGTATCCATTATGAATTGATGAGCATTCGCAAGTTTCGCTGATTTTTGAACCATGTCGTCATCATATTTGTCCATTCCATATCCAATGTTCTCAGTAACAGACCTAGCATACAGTACTGGTTCTTGTCCAACCAGGGCGATTTTTGTGTGAAGGTATTTGTGATCGTATTCTCTCACCGAGACGCCATCGATCAATACTTCACCGCTAGTGGGCTCGTAGAAATGCTCAAGCATGGCAATGCATGACGATTTTCCTCCACCAGATGGCCCGACAAGAGCAACAACTTCTCCAGGTTCTACTGTGAATGAAAGGTCAGTCATAATAGGCAAATCTGGGCGAATTGGGTACGAAAAAGCAACATTCTTGAACTCTATCTTTCCAGTCATCACGTCTGGCTTATAAGTTCCATTGTTTTCGACCTTTGGATCTCTGTCAATGAACTCAAACACCTTTCTCGATGCCCCAACAGCTTGCATCAATCCGTTCCACACTTCTCCAAGCTCCTGAAGCAATCATAATTAAAAATTTTCTGTAGAAATTTTCAAAGTAATTTTTGTGATAAGGAATAAAAAAAAAACACAATTTATGTTTTGGCAATTTCACTTATTTGACAAGTTCGCCTACCCGAAGATTTTCTCCGAGTTGAAATTGGTACAACAAAAATGACACCAATAATCCAGATTCGACCTAAAACCGAAAATATCTTTTTTTTTAATTATTCGATACCACCTTGCTTTCAATAACTAAATGTCCGCCATACCAGAGTACAATTGTTAAAATTCCCATTTGAAGTAGCTGAAAATATAAAGCTGAAAAGATAAAAGTACATGAGAGACCTCATTAGACCAAATTAATCCAATAACTACGAAAACTTTGCGGGTTGCAATTTTCAAAGTCACGTTCAAGAATTGAAGAAAACGACTTGATTCGTAATTTTCACAGGCAAAACTTTTCACAGTTCTAATTGAACTCAAGACTTCTTCAGCAACATCATTAGCCTTCGCAACAGAATTTTGTGTTTCTTCGGACAATTCCTTAAACGTCATATCGCGTTTACTCACAATTATATTAATCTCTCAACGTACATCATACCAGACTCCGAAGATTTTGTTTATTAAAAAAATTATGGGAATGTTGATCAACGTGATCATAGATAGTCTCCAAGATAATGTGAACATGAAAATAAGCGAACCGAATAACATTGTAAGATTTCTGTAAACGGGGTTTAGTTTATATTTGGAATCTTCTAGCGTTATCAATCAGCTTTGTTTATGAACCTATTCAGTTCCCTGAAAAGTTGCAAATTTGTCATTTATAACTAATGCAATCACGTAAAATTTGTCAAATTTTATGTTAAATTTGACTATTTCGCCTATTTTCATGACGCTGAATAAGTCCATTACCTTGTAAGGACATTCATGTAAAGTGAAAGTGTATTCGACATAGTTTGACAATCCGCAGAAAGTCTCGAGCAAATTTCTCCAGTCTTGTTCATATCGAAAAACCCAATTTCTTGTCGAACGACTGCTTTAAATAAATCGCTTCTAATTTGTCGATCTATTGTCGCATGTGCATATGTGAAAGAGCCGCCTCGAAGACCTCCAGATATCGTACAAGCCAACGAAAGCATTGCCATAATGAAAACGGTACGATGAAGTCTTTCATAGGAAGCTTGCTCTCCAAAAACAGCAGTGACAACTTCTCCAGTATAATATGGAATAAAAACACGACCTGCAACAAAATTTCCATACCATCATACAACCATGGTTCATCATGAAAAGCTCAAGAGTAGCAAATAATCATAAATCACGCGGCATGGAAACGATCTCGTGGCAATGCGAGCGCTGAGCGAAATGTTCAAGGAGGGAGGAGGACGTACACCCAGCAGCGGGTTGGGAACATGTTCTTGCATGCTGTCGGGGGCACACACTCGCTGGTTATGTGTCCTCTCATTCCCACTTGTCACTTACTCAACGAATAGCATAGCAAAAAGAAAAACGCCATTCCATAATATTTCCATTGGCGTCCCATGTAGCCTAAGAGACGATATAGAAGTTTGAAAGTTTCTCTTTGCTCGGCAGCTTTTTCTTCTTCTTCCTAAAAAAGTAAGTTTTAAATAGAAAATTAACCACATAAATTACTCGGCGAAGCCTTTCTTCATGTTCAACATCACCGAAAAGAAGACTATCCCCGGTACCAGCTACAGATTCAGAAACATGCGTGAGAACTGACGACCAAATTCCCTAAATGGAAAATTACTATAATATATAAAACAATGTTTGACGAACTTGAAGTATCAAGCTGGCAAATGTGCACCAAATCATTAGAATCCAATCACCAACTGCCAATTGGATATTATCATCTTCATAAAATGCTAGAAGTTTGGAAGGAGCAAACGCGACTATAATGAGAATCACAGCAAATACGATGTTTCTAGGAAATTCACAAAGTTGATCCGAATGTTAGGAGTATCATACTTGCACTTTTCAGCCACTTGTCCAAATCCGCTGGGAGACGCCCATGCAGAAACAGCCCCACCCAGTAAAATACTATCACGGATCAATGCAACCGCCTGCAATTTTTATTCAGCCGAAAATAAAATTTTAATTACCAAAAAATCCACAGGATTCTTACGGAAATCGTAGGCTTTCAGATCGAACCAATGGGCAATATTGTCAATTGTAAAGTACTGAATAAAATTGGTAATTGAACTCTTCAGCAATTAACAAAAAACCTTTCCATTCCAAGCTAGGCCCAACATGTTGACAGCGAGATCTATGACTATGAACGCTACACATATAAACAACGCTTGTCCACCAGTATACAGAGACGAACCCATGTTTGTCTGAAATTTACGAAAATTCACTGTTTGGTATATGTTAATATAGAGTGCGTTTTGAGTAATAATCAGGCAGAAAAAAGTGAAGCGGTTCCTTACCACTGATAAGCGAATTGTCACGATAAGGGATCATGAAAAGGCTGATTGGGCAGTGAAATTGATTAATTAAAGCATTGTAGCAATCTGTGGAAACCATATAAATTTTAAAACATAAAAGTCACTTTATAATATATAGAGAAGTAAGCAGACCAGTAAAACCAAGCAGAGTCAAGGTTCAAGAAAAACGCGCCGTGTGTTTCGGCCTGTTACGTAGGACCAAAAATGAAGTATTAGTTTTAGTGCTCAAATGAGTTGCTGGATATGACAAAAGTAAATTTTAAAAAGAGTTATGCATGAATCACTATGAGATCGTACATTTTTGCACAGTACGGGGGATCGTCAATTCCAAAGTGACCTGAAAAAAATTTCCAATTCATTCGGAATACGATAAAAATCCCAGAACGGCGAACTATTTGTGTTCAAATTAGATATGTTTTTGAAAAACGGCCTTGGCACACGCCGCTTTCATTTAGTGCTCTCTAAATTTTTTCACATGAATATGGAAAACCATGTTTGAAAAGCTATTAGGAGCGGTTTTTGTTTTTATCTCTGAGAAATTCGTGCCGAGACACAACTGCTTATAAAAAATGCAATTATTTAGTTACGTGCCTCGTGTTGTTTGATATTCTTAAAAATAAATTTAATATTCATCGGAAAATTTTTTGTATGTGCTACAACATATGATTCGCAAGTTATCACGTCGTGAAACCGACTTTTTCTTGCTCGATTTGCTTTTAACTTCATTAATTTTATTCGTGTTTTTTTTGCCGAATTTCAAAATAAGAAATAACAAATTGCCAAGTAAATGCATGCGTAACATTGAACAATTTACACAGCAAAATATTTTAAAGATTAACACAAAATCGTTAAACATTAAATATAAAATTCAATAATTGGTTCGGAATGAACACATAGATGATTCAATGTTGAACTAAGATGTAATTTTGTATAGCAACTTCGACATCGGACCGATTGACACCGTTGAGAGCTTTGAATAGCATTAGCATTTTCTCTGTGAATATCAACTGTCCCATCAACGCTTGGAACGTTAAGTTTGGATGGCTCATGTATATAAAACTTCTGTGATATTTTCGAAGTGTATTTTTTCCATTCTGAAGGCGCTTTTTGTAATGCATTGAATAGTAACCAGACTAACTATCAAAACAGTAGCTTTCATGTTGTTTGACTCCAGAATTCACAATTTCCTGTCCACAAACATAACAAACTGGAAGCTCATCTGAAAATTTGCAAATTCATGAAATGTATGTTCTGAAATAAAAAATACAAAAAAAAAGCAAACCTTTTCCATTAGCCATCGTTAACGACCTGGTTCTAGGCCTTTCAAGCGTTTTCGGTTTCGATCTTTTACGTTTTTCTGCCGTTTTTATTCGCATATCCTCATGCTTTGTTTCGCCTTTTAGTTTATCGCTACATGATTTCATGTGAATAGCAATTGAATGCTTTGAATACAGCCTCTGACAGAAGTCACATTCCACAAAATGTGGCATTGTGCGTTGCGACGAAATCGAATTAGCATGAAAGGGTTACTATGATACCACGATGATAGAAACGCCGGCGGCTTCCATGGCAACCACGTCGGCCAATATTTATGGTGGATATTTTGAACAACCAAATGGAGCATTAAAGTTGGCCTAAAAAGAAAATTGTTTCGATCGTGCGCCCCTGCAGCAAGTTTCAATGATTGCATTTTCTGTGGAAAATATCGTTTATCACAGACCGACGATTGTCTGACCTCTCACTAATTTCATTTGTTACAGTGAAAAATACCGAGGCGAGAGAACAAGAAACCCGTTTTTTGTTCATCTTGCCTTCAGCCTTTCTCGAGTTAACTTAGTATTTTTTAAATAACGGTTTCAGAAATGGGAATTTCTCATTATCTAGTATTCTTCGCAGTTATAACTGTAGAAACAGCCAATGCAAAACCATCGACAAGGATGTGCGCTTCATTCGCAAAATTTGCAGAAAGGTGTGTAATATTTAATAATATCTCTATTTAATTATAAATACTAATTATGTGTGTCGGTAAAGTAAAAAAAAAAACTGGCTGGGACCTTACTTTGCATTTATAATTTTTACTTCTAAACTCGATTCACTAAAAATGAAATTTTTCAGATGGAACCCACTGCCGGAAACACTCCTTACTTGGTCAAAATCAAATTGTGATAAAATCCAACCAAGGCCAAGTGATATGTCATGTGAGGATGTCGTTCAATTCGTCGCAGACTGCGATTTCAGTGCTGGCACCTTGGCCGACTCAACGAACCGTCAAGTCGCCGATAGATTTTATTCTCAAACATATGAGAATCAACCAAGAGTTCTACCCAAATATATTTATTACAACGATAACACTGCCCGAGACTATGGGCACTTTGGAAACTGGTAACAACACTTCTAAATTCCCAAATATTTCGAAACCGTTTCAGGTACTACCCAAACTATTATCCGCCCACTTACTTGGGGTTCTTCGATGGTCGTCCAGCGAGTATGGCTCAACTTGAAAATGACTACAAATTTGCCCGAGGAGGACATTATCCATACAATCGGTTAGAATTATTTTCGAAAAAATGTCTAATAGTTTTTAGAGCTGACAACATTGTAAATATCGGACTACAGCAGACATACCTTCCAACCTGTCTCCATGATATTTTCTACTGTGTTCGTGCTCAAATTGGACAGCGCCCTGATGCTTATCTGGTATATTCCAGTATTTATATATACTATATATCGTGCTTTAGAACTATCGTGAATATCGTAAGGATCGAGATCAAATTGCTAACGAAATCCGCCAACGAGAGATACTTCGGCGCAAAACGAAAGCTCATAACAAACATCATCATCATGCTTCCGAATAATTGTGTACATATGTTGTAATATTCATACTAAGAAAAAAAAGCTAAATCTATATAACGCGGAAAAGCTGTTTTCATCATCTACGGTTGTTCAATTCTATTATAATTAAACTATTTATTTTATTCAATTTTTTGTTTTTTTAGTAAAAAAAAAATCATGTTATGTAAAAGATTATTACAGACAGACAGATTTAAACTCATTTATGTTTCTAATAAATGAGAAAATATCAAAACGCATCATGTGCGCTCTAGCGCAATAGTGACTTGAATATGTTCGATCTGCATGATATCTTTTTTTTCGTAAAAAAATCCATTTCACGAATAAATTCATATTTCTACATCACCCCGTTTCTACGGCACTATTTACATAACATCAATTTTATTTGACGATGCTTTTTAGTCAATGATTTCTTGATGAATAGCTTCGTTTAAAACAAAATATTCAAATTATAGGTATCTTAACAATTCCATCGTGATGCTTGTCGCAGAACCGAAAGATAATGAGTTAAATCTTGAAAAAATTGACATAGAAATCCGCATGGAGAAAATTCGGCAACATGCTTCTAGGCTTACATGGGAAGGATTTGGACAAGCAGTTCGCAGAAATCTTCTTGAGAAAAGAATTGGATTCGATGCTGAAGGAAGGCTCGATGTTATTAATGCCTTATCATTTATGCGCAAAAAAATGCCGGTAAATGAAAAGGGAACATTTGAGCAGCGCGCTAGACTCTTAGCGAGTAGTTTGGAGTAAGTATATATATATATATATATATATATATATATATATATATATATATATATATATATATATATATATATATATATATATATATATATATATATATATATATATATATATATATATATAATATTGTTAAGAATCGTTCTAAAATAAATATTTTATTAGGTGTGATATCGCTGTTCATCCAGAAGGATTCCTGCTTCGTAATAAGGATGTCACGATCGAAATTGGATATCAAAACGCGGAAGTAACCTCTTGTAAGATCAGCTATTGGGACGAACCTCTCTTCGACGTTGATGAAGCATTAACAATGCTAAAAAACGGAGAATTTGCGCAACTACGAAACAGTGTTTTCGGAATTTTAAGTCTTCTGCCGATCAATGTTACACAGTAAGTTTATGCATAGTACTTCAAAGAGTAAACGATGGAAGTGAGCGAAAGCGCGACAATTACACAAATTATGAAATTTCGAAGATAATGAACCGAGCGTGTTGTTTGATCCGTGCTGTAGCGAACCAAACAAGTCAAAAGGGCGCCAACAGAGACCTGAAAACATACTTTTAAAAAATAGTTTGAATAGAGAGAGAGGAAAGTACCAGCAACAAGCTTTTAGTCTCATGGAACTCAAAATGAGCTACTTCCTCCAGTGTGGAAAATGTCCAAAGCAAAAACGCGGTAAAGATTCCACAGACTAAAAGGGAAATAGATGTGAACGTTTTCCAAATTGAGCTAGAAGGTGATTGAACCAATGCCAACAGTCCGGATAATGCATACAACAATGATATCCAATTATTGTTTTTACATGATTCATACACTGAGAAGATGAGCAAACCAGCGCCAGCGGCACCTTGAAAAATGCGTAGAAACATTTTTCTTTAATTGAAGTGAACAGAGAATACAACAATTCAAGTTGAGACGCAGAATGATAGACCAACTGAGCGATTAGATGTTGAACGATGTAGCCTACGCGCGACGATAACAATCAGTTAGATTACTACAAAGTTGTGATTCTCGGTTGTCGGTGAAATAAAGGAGGGGTGATTTGATGATTGCAAACAAGTACAGAACGTTCACGATGCAAAGCATTTCAGAAATGATCGAAATATTTGCAAGGATGCCCTTCATGTAATGGAGCAAGTCCTCGTTCGAGAGGCGTGTGATTCTACCTTTACTGCAATTAATACAGCAAAATATGGGTAATATTTGGGATTATATGCATTCGGAATTCTGTTTGAAAATTTTAGCTTTTTTTGTCCTCGGACCCCTCTTCGACCTGGAAGACTGTATTATGTGGCCGAGCCGATGTACTTCCGCAGTCCTGGTCGCGCTGAGAGAACTCATGCAAATGACAAAGATTTGGATATCCTGCCGTATATTGAAATATCGTTTATTCACAACGATACCCCTTGTCCAATGCCAATATCGGAGAAAAAGTGAGAACTTCAGTCTGAAAAACGATTCGACGATTTCGATGTTTCAGTGGTGAATGGCAGGAATTTGTTGAAGCACGAGCTTGCGTGCGCTTGAAATTCTCTGGCACAATTCTTATTTCTCACACCGTTCTTAGGCGTTTAGAAAAATTGATAGCAAAATCTCCTCTTGTGCGACATTACACCAATACGTATCGTTATATGAGTGGAAAAGATAAATCGGTAAATGACGAATTTTATGAAATATTGTAGGTTGTGAGGTTTATAGAGCGAGGGATTGACAATGATGACAAAATTTCCCAAAGAAATTGTTCAACATGTCTATGAAATTGAACCGGAAAGTCTTACCACTGAAAATGATCCAGTAATCGTTGAAATGTATATAAAGGATTTGAAAGACCTGGAAAAGGTTTTTTTTTAAACAATTCTCTATAGTTTAATTTTTAAATGCAGGTTATTACTCTTTTGCGATCCGAATGGATGCATAACAGCTTTTACGAGTCGATGTTGGCGGCTTGTGTGGGCAACGAAAAAGTTTCTTCAACTGAGGAACCGTTTTACATGAGAACATTTTTATCTCGAAAATGCTTTGAATTTACTTTCCAATCAGTTATTGGAGTAGTTACTGGTATGATTATTTAAACAAAATGTTTAACGATTAATTTCAGTCGAAATTGGCGAAGTTTCGGATGGAAAATGGAAAGTGGAAACTAGAAATCCCATGAATGGCGCGCTTCTTGCTGGCGAACTTGACGAAAGAATGACGGACACAATAATGAAGTTCGTAATTTCTTTATTTAGATACACACGAAAATCCCACATTGATATTTCGACTACGACAATGAGCTTCACCTACTTACTTACATTAGTCACTTATTCGGTTTGTTCTTCGCCTGTAGACAAACTAGTAAGGTAGCACGTTGTCGTTGTATCAATAACGTATGATTTTTTTTGGTCAATTGGCCTATTCGTTACAACTGTCGCGATTGCTTTACATGATCGCGATAAGCTATTTCAAGTAATATTTTACGTTCGACTTTCGATTTATTTTTTAATATAGTTTTCACATATTACCAGCTACAGTTCAAGTTCTTAAATTGTAATAATGTATATTTATTAAATATTTATTTTCATCAAAAACTGAAAATTGTAAAATTAAAGATGTAAAATCAAAAGAAATCGGGTAAATTTGTTTTTAAGCATGCAATTCTGATTGAAATATCTTATTCCCCGCTAAAACTCAGGTAAATGAAAATTAATCGGATTCGAAAATAATTTCGTTTTCCATCGAAATCGAATATAAATAAATCTGTTTCGAATTATTCCAGAATTTCAATCGAATTCGATTTCAAAATTGAAATTGAGAAATAATTAAATCGATTTTGAAGATTTTTGAATCGAAACCAATTTTTCAAATCGAATTTAAACATTTTCTCAATCGAATTTTATATATTTGATAATCGAATCAGGTTAATTTATATTTCATTATTCTTCAAATTAGATTGATTTTCATTTACCTGAGAAGAACTCCGACAATTTCGAGATCTCAGCATAATATCATTCTTGCAAATTTGTGAATTTAGCACTAGCCTGAATTCATTCATGAATACTCAGCAAATCGTGCCGTAGAAACGCGAGATTCAGTGTAAATTTTTCTGAGCAGGCCCGTAAAAATAATTGCTGTTTGGAATGTTTTCCCTTTCAGATTAAAAATTATCTCAGCGTATTAAAGTTTTCGTTGAGGAATTAGTTTCCGTGTCGAAATTAATGATGAAGAATTATTGACAATGTTTATTTAATTGCGGTGGCCGAGTTACGTATCGCGGCCGAACTATCAACACTCCCGATGTCGGCCATACACTACAATTTATGTTATTTTTTTGTTTTCAGTGGCTGGAGTATACCATGCACAGTGGCCATCATAACTTCGAGTTTTGAAATCTTGACTACGAAATTCTTAAATTCAGAACATTCTAAAATGGATTATTCTCGTGATGATGATTCTTGTAATGATTTCAATAAAGTTACTCCTGCTTGGTTGCCATATTATTTTGAAACTAACAATAATTTAAAATCTCGTAAAAGAGTGGAATCGAAAGTAAAAGGTAATTTTTTAAATTGATATTTGATGAAATTTTAAATCCATGTTTTTAAACGATGAAATAGAAAAATTTAGATTAAAATTATATATTGATTGGTACATGGACCGTGTGTACAACGAGATTTCCTCTGGAAATCGTATGTTAAATATATAAGCCTTCATAACTGACATTTCTTCTTTTGTTGAATTAGCGTTTTTATGGCTACGATATTAATTAATTATATTTAGAAATTTTAGACAATTGTTAGAACGATGAGAGGTTTTAAAATATTTTGTAATTCAATTTTATCAGTTTTTTGAACAAACGATGTTACATCTGCAGCAAGTTACAAAAGGCAGGATGACGCCAGTATGCGTGGTGGAGTTCTTTTATTTTTGGCTGAAGTTGATGAGAATGTGAAAAATGCTGTTGCGAATGCTGCAGCGGAACGTGCTAAGCGAATCGAGAAGAAAAATGTATATAGCGATTTAGTAAGACCAATCTAAAGACAATTAGCTTTGTAATATATTTTAGGAGAAGATGCGCAAAATGACGGAACTTGAGGAGAGCAGCAGGACACAAATGCATCACCATCAATTGATGAATCCGTTAATGCGACAAAATCATATGAGCACATTGGAAACAGCAAGAATGCAAATGAAACAGTCGATGAGTGCTGCGACCGCTGTGGCGTTGGCCAGTCAAACCCCTACAACGCCATCCATGTTTGCTTCACCAATGGGACACCCTATGAACACCGCAAGAGATAACTTTTTCGATTTTTCTGATGTGGGCTCGCCAGCTGGTTCAATGTCTCCGTCTCCATTTTCACAGACATCTCGTGGTGGCAAAACGCCGCAACCTCGAAAACCGCGCGCTAGAAAAACTGGAGAGACTGTCGGAATGTCGCCGAATGAAGCAAATCCAGCTCCTGGACGCGGACGAGGAAGGAAGCCTAGAGGCGCTGCTACTGCGGGAAGTCGCAAAGCTTCGGATTTTATGATAGAACCGAGTCGTCCGAACTTCCAAAGGTCTTTCAGCGAATTAGGTAAATTTCAAGTTTTCTAACACACATTATAAATTGCGAAATTAAAGCTGCTTCTCCTGGAAGCACTACACCAAGAACATTTGAATCTCCATTGGCGCAAGTTATAAATAATTATAATGATGAAGATTCTGGTAAGATATATATAAAACTAAAACGAAGATGATGTTTTAATTTAGACGATGAATGCGATCCACCACCCCCGCCAAAACTCATGCCTCCTCTTAAGATGTCAATGCCACCGCAAGCATCGCCAAAGTCACTTCAGAGCCCAAATAACCATCAAACAATTACGCCATCGCCACTGTCCGTACCACAACGTCAAAATTCATGGAATACTCCACCTGATATCAAACCAGATGTAAGCCTTCTAAATAAAATGCTGCGTGATTCGCCTGCCACTGTGGATAACAAAAGGAAGAGCATTGATCTTGAAGCGACGATATCGAAAATTAAGAATCAGCAGCAACAGCAGCAGCACACTTATCTTCATCATCATCAACAACACAATCAGCCACCACAACAACATCATCCAGGACATAATAGTCAAAACAATACCTCCCCTGTAACCGTGCGTAAAAGGTTAAATGATTCGCAATTCACAACATATTTATCTTGTCATTTTTAGCAGTCTACTTAATGACATTTTTGATGACGGATTGTCTCCTACTGATCGAAAGCCGTCAATCAGTACACTTCAAGCTGCGATTTCTCGTCAAAGTTCTTCAAATAGTGTAGATGTGAAGGCGAATGATTTAGAAGATATTAAACCACCAAAAATGCCACGAGGAGCTCGAAATTCGCCAAACGTTGATACGAAATCGAAAACGGAGAAGGAAAGAAAGAAAAAGGAGTCCAAAGAAAAACAGCCGAAACCTGAGAAAGAACCGAAGAAGCGGAAAATTGAGGCATTGAAAAAGGAAAAAGAGCCGAAGGAGAAAAAGACAAAAGCCTCAGATATTCCAATTAATATTCTACCAACATTAAGCCTAAAGAACTTTAAAATTCCAAAGGTGAAGATTTAATTTATATTTAGGGCTACATTTACATATGGGTATTTTAGAAAGAAGCAAACGATGATCAACAGGAATCTTTACCGCCAGCTTCTAGTGTCAGTAGACGTGATCCTCCGATGTATCCTGGTGGTGGTCCAGCCTTCAACAACAAGGATTCTGATTATCATAGCTTTGGTGCGTTTCGTAAGTTTTAATCGCAATAAATCACAACAATATTTTACATTTTAGCGAAACCACTCAAGAAAAAAACAAGTTCAGTTTCACTCAGCTCTTCTACTCCAAGTTATTCTACCTCAACCTCATCATCTTCATCATCACGTAGTCGTAAAACTCAGCCAATACCCCCACCTTTGCCTCGGAGTGCATCTTCTGCGTATCCCAGCGGGCGTTCCGGATACTCTGCTTCTTATTATAACCAACAAAAAACTGTGGCTTCGTATGCGCAAGGAGTACCGCCAGGAATGGGACCGCCAGCAGCTGGGCCGCATTCGCATAGTTACTCAAGTGGTCAATGGGTGAGACCGCCAGCACACAGAGATAGCCATCATCAGTATGTTTACACATCGTTTACTATTAATCCACCAAATTTCAGTAGTTCAAGTAGCAGGGATCGTGCTGAATTGAAAAATGACGATAACGGACCTGATAGTCCTGAAGAGACGCTTCGTATTGCCGATGAGTAAACACAACATTGAGCCACGTCTTTCATATCTTTGCCATTTATTTGTAATATCTACACATTTTTAGTTTTTTTTGGATTTTATGGGATTCGTCGAGCGAAATGATCACGCACTAATAAACCGTTGCGCATTGATATTGTCATTGATCACTGAGAAATTGTGCGCGATGTCGGCGACAAACACAACCCGTTCTCTGTGTCTCGTTCTCCCTCGTCCTTCAAAACATAAATACCAGATAAAAGATTGAATTAAATCAGTCTGCTTGATTCAAAATGCTACTTTCTGCTAACTTTATTCGATTTTTCGCAGTAACCTTGTATGGATTCCTCGTCACAACACTTATTGTGGTGACATCTCTTTTCTATTCGGAAATCGTCATGTTAATCTCTGTTTGCTCCGCTGTACTGCTGCTAGTATTACTCTATCCGCTTATGGCGATTTTTCGAATCACCATTGCTTATGACTTGGAGGTTCCGCAATGCGATTGGATTCGAACTCATATTGAAGTTCCCGTGGAAAAGAGAGAAAATCCTTTGGGAAATATTTCTTTTGCTCATGCGTACATATAATTTTCATTTCAAGCTGGTGATGATATTGCTTTAATTCGTGCTTTAATTTTTTATTTCTGTTTGTGGAAAATGAAGAACTTCCAATATAACTTCGTTTTCAAAATCCTTACGACCAAGGGAATAGGATGAACACTTTACCGAGACGATAGACCGGTAAAGTGAAATAGTGATTCAAAAAGTACGCAATGTAGAAGACGGACGAATTTGACAAATTTGAATGATCAAGCGCGTTAACCATTTTTGATCTTCTCTGGTAACTCAATACCAATCGGATCCGACAAAATTCCGAAATCAACCTAATTCGATTGGAAAATCTACGTATAAGATTGTAAAATTATCGGATCCGATTGGTTTTTTTTTCGTTTTTTTTCTCTTTTATCCTTGTTCGTCGTAAAACTTGTTAATGGTTAGATTGAAAAGTGAAAATTCCTTCCAAAAATGTTACAATATCATTAAACGTCGGTTTTTTTCTCAATGATAAAAGATTTGCCGGAATTATCGAGTTTCGGATTCGATATAAAAATGTTGTCGGATGCGCAGTTTGAATCATTCCTGGTTTATCATGGGATTAACAATTCTTTATGGGTGCACAGTATTTTCAACATCGGCAATTATTTTTGCTCTCCTTTTTTCAACTTTCATGTACCACGACTTATACGAATTTCACAGCGAAGTCGATGAAGAACTAAGCAGCTTCAAGGTTTGATGTATACTTGATGATGAATAAAATAATTTTTCAGGGAATTTACAATGACGCTTGGTCAAAACTCACTGTTTCCAAATTGAACTCCCCATATTTCGAAATTTCTCGCATTTTCAAAAGAAGCGCGGACAGCTGCAATTGCGGTCCAAAGGCAGAGAACTGCCCAAGAGGCCCTCCAGGACCTGCTGGAAGGCCTGGACAACCAGGACTTGATGGTGAACCAGGACAAGATGGCAACATTGGAGATGGTTCCTTCGATACAAATTCGCAGAGCAATGTTATTGACTGCCCAGCTGGCCCACCAGGAAATCCAGGACCCGACGGGACTCCTGGTCTTCCGGGACCCGACGGAATGTCCGGATCTGACGGCGAGCCAGGAAAAGAAGGACCACAGGGACCAGATGGGCCAACTGGACCACCAGGCCGTCCAGGAGCACAAGGATCACCAGGACAGCCAGGACGACCAGGAAAAAGCGCAACTAGACAGATTGGAAGACCGGGACCACAGGGGCCACAGGGACCAAGAGGCCTACCAGGACAACCAGGACAACCAGGAAATCGTGGAAACGATGGTCAACAAGGAGATGTCGGATCGCCGGGAGAGCCCGGTCGAGATGGTGATAAGGGATCGGATGGAATTTCAGGACGGTAAGCTATCACTATAAACAACCCATAGTAAAACATTTTTCAGAGCGGGTGAAACAGGACTTCCAGGAGCTGACGCTGCTTATTGTCCATGTCCAGACAGATCCCCAACCATCGAAAAAACACCAACTGGATATAAAGTCAAGAGAAGACTCGTGGTTGTGCACGCTAACTAAAAAGACACAATTGCAAATAAAATTTAATTTTTTTCGAGCCCTTTCTTTAATTTAGCAAGTTCCAATAGCAGTTTTTCTCTCTCCAACTGCCATTCCGCAATTGAATTCGACGGTTTTCTGCCTTCCAAACTTTCTTCGATTTTTCCAATAATTCCTTCATCTCGAAAATCCGGAATTGGTTTAAAATCCGCAGTGACTTTCCGCAATCCATTAGCATATCTATTGAAATAATCACGAACTCCATTAGCATTCAAATGAATAGTTTCCAAGGGACCTTGAAAAGCATACCGTGGTCCGAGACCGGCTGACATTACCTAAACGGAATAATGTAAAAAACATTAATTTTGTCAAAGACAGACAGCTGTCGGAAATTTAACTAATTTCGGTGAAATACAGTTTTTTTTTTGGAGCGAATTAAATAAATGAATAATATACGGTTTTCTCATTACCACGTCTAAATCCTCGGCGGAAATAACATCATCAGCAATAAGATTCCAAGATTCTACGAGAAGGGCGAATTGTAATCTATTCACAGCGAAACCTTCAATTTCCCGTTTCAACAGAACTGGTTTCTGAATTACATTTTGCTTGATCCTAAAAAAGGAAGATTTAAACTTGTCCAACAGCCTTCAAAATATCCACAGTTTTCCTAACAGCTTCCGGTTTGGTCCACGGAGCTGGAACCACTTCAGTCAAAGTCAAGTATAAGGGGGGATTTACGGGATGGGCAATAAGATATCGATCTCTAAATATATAAGTTGAAAAAAAAAACAATATAACTATACAAAATGCCTATTTTTCAAGTGCTCCGTGAACTTCAAAGCAGGAATAGTTGATGAGCTGCTAGCAACAATCGTTTCAGGTCCCAAAAAATAATCGATTTTTTGATAAAACACTCTGCGGAATTCGACATTTTCTACGGTTGATTCCTCAAAACGAAATCTTATTATTACATTCGCAAAAAAAAACCAACACGCTGCGCCGATTTACAATGAGTTTAATTAGAATAAATACAAAGTATATCCAAATTTACAGTATTTAAAAATTCAGTGTTTAAAGTGGGGAAACCTTTAAAAATATAAAAATATCGTTAAAACTAGGTAAAAAAAATCAAATTAAAAAAAACGAAGTTCTACGTTAATTCATCGCGAAGAACACAACAAAAAAGTTCGCGATGTCATTTTCAGCTTAAAATTAAAATTTAACGGATTTTGTGTGCCAGTTATTAGCGAACAGTCGGCGTCCGGCGACTGCTGTATGTCGGTAGATTTACGGTAATATAATAAATTATTCACGTGAAAATTGAAAAATAAGCGTTCACACGTTGCGAAACTTTTTCAAGTCGCATGCGTGTAGATTTTCTTGCGTGTAGAAGTCGCCGGACGCCGAGTATACATGAATAGGTATTTGAGACAAAAAATCCGTAATTGAAATAAGTTCCATAAATGAGTATTTCGCGTACGTACACATAATGCATTTTATCCCACAACTACTATATTTTAACGTGTAATTTTCACGCATTTGAGCATTTTGAATGTCTAACTTTAGTTTCTAGATCTAAGCCTAGCATACCAATAAAAATTGCCAAGAAATATCGAAAATAAGTGAAATTCAAATTTGGTAATGAATGGCACACAAAAAGACGTTAAAAATTACGGATAACGTTCACATCAAACTCATCGTAAATTCGGTTTTTTGCTAATGTGTTATTAAAAGACAAGTTTCGCTACCTGCACATAAATTGCATTCTCTAATGCAGTCTGCAAATCAAGCGTTATCGAAACGTATTTCAAAGCTTCAACATCGTTGCAAGACCCACGGTTCAAGCCATTTTCCTACAAAGTTCATAATTAAAGGGAAAAATAACAAAGCCAAACATTTAAAAGCTTTAAATTCTTTGCGACATTTTTTAGAGCCACGTGTAGCTGATTTTCATTAACATCGAAAAGCTGCACTTCATACCCGCCACTGGAAAATATAGTGGCCCAATTGGTTCCTACTAGACCACTGAAATTAAATTATTTTTTTTTTAATTCTAGAAATTGAAAAACCTTCCAATGATGGCAACTTTACCACGAGACATCTAGAAAATGCGTAATATACAAGGATGAGAGAATGATAATGAAGAATAATAACGTATTTTATCATTGCTTGCCGACATGCGTTCCGCCTTCCAAAACATTCACGATTTTATATTACTAAACAGATCAATAACAATAGAAGTAGACCAAAAAACATTAATAATTATTCAACAATCTGTAACTAGAAAAACACATTTATTTGTCCTTTTGCCCCGGTCCCGGTTTGACGTGTCTGCCAGGGCTCTCAATGCTTTTTTCCCAATCAACAACGTGCCCCGGAGAATATCTAGTGGAAAATAATATACTTTTACTGAAAGATATCAAATCGTACTTCAAAATATTTGGAACATTCTTTCTCTCTTCTTCACTATATTCGTCAAGGCGTTTCACAACATCTTGAACCTGTCTTAATTGACTGGAAATATTTCTCCGCACGAATTCAGGCATGTCCTCATCAGCAAATAAATGAAGTCGTTGAATGTGTCTCCTCCTTAACATATTATTACCCAAAGCCTTATACACAGACAAAAAAGCAATTCGACATGGATCGTATTCATGGATTTGCCATGCTGGTATGTCTGCCTTACTTCTCGGATATTCCTGAAATATTAATCTTTTATGAAATAAGATTACTTCGATGTTCGAAACCTTGTTGAATTCATAGATTGTGTGTTTCCAATCGAACGCATGCATTGCGATATCCTTGCAATTTGTCAACACCACATGATCGCCGCAATCAGTTTCTGGGTGATAGATTGGTTTGTGTTTGCCAGCGAGATAATTGGCGACTTTCTGCCCGATTCTTTCAGCATCCTGTGACATTCGAAAGTTCCAGAACCATTAAGAAATGAAAATAAACCTGCTGATTGGCGTCGATAATATGCCACTGTCTCGAAAATTTCAACCATTGATTCACTCTATCAAACCTTGATGTGACTCTTGTAGCAGACATCTAAACCTAAATTAAATTGCAAAAAGAAATTACGTACTGATAAAAAATGGTTGAAACCAAAAACCGCGAACAAAATAATATATTTTTAAGCAAATGCATTTATTGGAAGAAAATATGAAATGCTCATCGAACAAAAAGAAAAACAAACAAAAGAGGGTACAGAGGTGTAAATCAAGTGTTTAATTATAAGGGCAGGAAAATAATAAACTGGAAAATTGTATTTAAAACATGACAAGTTTCATATAGCTAATCGGTAGAACTAATCTATACAGATGTACTCGTGAACATTAATTTTGGTCGGAAAAAAATTCACCAAACAATTTTATTTTTGTATTCCGGGAGAACAGAAAATCTTTTTACACTCTCATATGCCAGCATCACCAGGCTCGAATACAATGCATTATTAACACATCGCGGTGCAAGACCCTAATAATATATATATATATTTTTTTTAATTTTTCAATTGAACCCAATTACTACCTTAGTAAATACTTGCGCTTTTTCGTATTTCCATAACCTGATTATTGTTTCACGGTATGTTGTTCGATGTACCTAAACATTTTTAACGTTGATGTTTGTTTCGAAAATTTTCTTACTTGTAACCGTATCCTGAGCATTTCCAAAGGGTTTGTTACGCACGCACTAGCCACTCCTCCAATAGAACCACTAACAGCTTGATCCAAAAACAAATTCCTATCATCAATTTCAGAAGCACTCATCGGTTTCACCCCGTATTCCAATTCGGTAACTTTTTCACGAATTTTTCGGAAAACGGAGAGAGAATTGTAGTATGTAGACCAGAACACCATTGTGGACGGAATGTAAAGCATAATTGCGGACAGAAAACCCCTAAAAATATAATATTCAAAATATGAAAAGAAAAAAGAACCTGTAGAAACCGGAAATTCCATCAACTTTATACACAGCTCGAATTACCCGCAGTCCAAGTGTCCTTTTCTTTTCTAGACCATCATTCCGAATGGCATCGGCAACAGCAATATTTCGTTTTCCTCCGCCAAAGGCTTCGGGATTATTATGAACCATCATATGCTGAGCTACAATATCAGTAGGGACGAAAATTAGTTGGGCACAAGGAGAAGCGATTCCACCTCAAATATAAATCTGTCACATTATAAAAACCTTAAGTTTACCGGCTAATGCTGACACTACAGAATGATTTTTAATACTTAAATGGGTTTGAAGTAGATCGCGTACACGTTCATAAGCTGAAGAATACAGGAAAGATGCGGATAATTGCGGAAGTGTCATCCAAAAGCCCTGCAGTTTTGAAATGTAAATATTGTCGGCGTTAAACGACTAAACGATATAAAATATATATTGGCTAAATATGTATATGAAAAGTAGTGTCAAGGAATTGAGAAGTACGCGACACTGCGGACTTTGTTTTTTTCAAATTGTAATCAATAAACTTAAGTATAAAATTGTTTTGATGAAACGAAATTAAAGATCCCACATCCTTTCTGTCGTTCGACGCAGACAATAAACTCATAAAAATTACCTTGTAAAGCGCCCCAATTCCTTCTTGTCGAATAATTTTCACAAAGGCATCCCGCATTCCATTATATACATTATTCTGACGTTGTAACTGTAAGCGACTTTTCACAACCGACATTGGATATAAAAGACATCGAATCGTCCATGAGCTGCATAACGCCATCGGGTAAAATTTGTAAAGATTTAAATGCTCCCATTGGATGACAAGAAGCTTGTCCTTTTGTGTATTGCTTAATGGATTATGATTACTAAGTCGTTTAGTGGATAAATTGCTCGCTTCCACGCCAGTTTCAGCGTCCGACGAGGACATCTCTGAAGAGAGATAAAACATTATCAAATCATAATTTAAAATTAACTCACTGGTTCAAACAAATTTATGACAGAAAATAGCTAAAATGCATAGCACAACAGCTAAATAAAAATGACTAAAAACGAAATTTAAGTATTTCAACTGAAAAACATTAAATAAAGCAAATGAAAGAACAAAATATGATAAATGCGTCAACCCAATGATTGGTTGGCGCCTTCTGCGATACATTGACACGATTGTTGCGTTACTTGATAATTGCAGCTAATTCGTTCGTGACTTTGCATCAGG